ATCATTTTGTTTATCTCTTTCGTTAAAATTCTCTCTTTCCCACGTTCTATCGCCTTGTCTTCCTACATCTAGTTCCCTCCCACCTTTCTTCTCTTATATGAGCATGGCGTTCAACTTTAAAGGAGGATAAGTGGGGTGTTCACATCGGTGAGGGGCACAGGGGCACATGCTCCAATCTAATCCAGTTTAAGGCGGGAGAGAAACGCGAGATAAAGGAAGCAAATTTTGTTTATTGTTAGATTGTTAGATTTTGAACTGAAAATTAAAGATGATCCTTCTTGCTTGGATTTTAATCATTAAATTGAATATTGATCTGATTTTGTCTAGCAAGCATTGTGCTACATGCTCCATTATTCTATAACATTTCCAGACCTCTAACAATCATTGTATATCCACTTTCATCTGTTTTTAGTTTAAAACTGATTCATCGGAACCATTACAAGGAGACCCTCCCCCACCGCTCTTTATACCCACGAGACCGTCAGCTCACAAGACCGACATTTTCATATCTCCAACTATATAGAGCCTTATTTGGTCGTTCTTGTGGGTAATCGGTCTGGAGGGCTTCTCAAAGACTGATCCGCAGGGCATACCAATCCGGAACGCCCAAGACAGAGTCTCCAATTGCCCTATTCTAAGGAAAATACAGAATTTTGAAAGTGTCAAGAAATTGTATAGAATCTTTAAAGAATCAAAAGGAATGTAAATTCTGAAAAGTGAACATTTTCACTATTTAACATTTTATTTGTTTAGATATAAAAAACAGAGAGAAGGGGAAAAAGAAGAAATACACTAATAAAATAAAAATTGCTACATTGAGTTACGGATCGGCAACGTATTCGATTGAAACCAAATCCCAACGTAGGTTATGCATATTGCCTGCACCAACGTATACATCACTGTCTGATCGGGGGAGGGGGGAGGAGGGGCGGGGGCGGCGTCGAATCAGCCGCGGCCCTCCTTTTTTGGCAGTCTAAAATAATGGAAATGGGACAAAGAGAGAACGATGGAAAGAAACATGGGATAAGGGAAAATAATGTAAAAGAGAACAAGATAGAGGGTGGAGGAAAAGAAGAGAGAGAGAGACAGACAGACAGGCAGAGAGACAGACAGACAGAGAAAGAAAAAAGGAAAATCATCATAACTTACATTTACACTAACAGATTACTTTTCCGATGAGTTGGCTCGACATGTGCCTAAGAAGACAAAACGATACAAGAGTTCTATAAAATTGTCTTTAAGAGAGAAAAAGAGAGTATTTATAAAATGAAATGAAAGGGGTTATGTGACTTTCGAGGAGGAAATTCAATTTTTGTTGCTCGTGACGGCTTTTTTTAATTTTAGAAATATTAATTCCAAAATTCAAGAAATTCCTTGGGGCCCGCTCACTCTACTCCCGGCAGAGGCTTTGCCCCTTCACCCCATCTGTAAAGATTGAAGTGATTCTCAAACAACATTTTGTTGTACAGTATAAGTGTCCTTAGGAAAACGCGTGGGTTTTATGTAGTTTAAGATTCTATAAACCATTCCTGTAGACTTTTTATTATTTACACAATTTCTTGCTGTCTGCTGCCTTACTGAGATCACTTGAGCGAAAAAGGTAACAATGTATAGCAAAAGTCCTTTATATTCAGTGAAGGATTCATCCTTTTTATCCAGATGGATATTCTACCATGCTTGAACAGACGTGCATTTCAATCTCAATAATGTGGGCATCATTTCATGAGATGGAATGTTCAATCTGAGGGCTTTTTGTGCTCTTTGAATGGGGCAGTGCAATTAAAATTTCAAGGAATTTCAAGGAATGGATTAGAGTTTTTATCGCTCGCGACGGCTACCCAGATGCCTTATAAGGCGGACCCCTAGACCCCATTAGTTAAAATTACAATAATGATATAATAGCTCACAATTACAATGCGCCTAATATTTTGTTTCTATGCGCAGTACATATTATTGCCCCGGTCATTGAATTCAGGCTTACCCGCACACAATGTATGCATATTCTCCACTCCCTGGGGAGAATTCCGGCCAGTCGCCATTTTACAAGCGCCACTTGCTCATCCAATTATCGCATCCTACCGGGTTCCCATTTAACACCTGGGTGGAGAGTGGCGAATGTAGATTAACTTTTTGCCAAAGGACATTAGGGCCGCGGCGGGACTCGAACCCCGTACCTTGCAATCGTCAGTCGGGTGACTTATACATTAGACCACAGTAGTAAAGATAGAAGTGGTTTCTATGAAAACCCGCTGTTGTATAAAATTGTCCTTAGGAGAGAGTTTGAGTTTCCATCGCCCAAGACGGTCATCTAAAAGGTCATCTGAATTGCAAAAACTCGAAAGGGTCCTTGGGCTCCGCCCGGAACCCCCCGACAGGGGCTCTACCAGGCCCCATAAGCTCTGCCATGCTGTACGGATCCATTAGAAAACAATATAAGCCCACTAAATAATGTATACTAATAGTAATAATACATAAGATGTGTAAGGCGCCAAATCCACTTGACAATCAAATGCTCAAGGCGCAGCTTGTGCAAAAGATGAAATACATGATACATATATACAAAGTGCAATAGGAAAGGTACAAACATGAAAGGTAAGGATAATTATATATATATAATTATATATTCAAACGTCTTTGTGCTCTGCCCCTGGACCCCCACTAGAAGGGCTAGCGTTTACGCGCAATTGCAGTGTGCTTCGCCCATTCGTTGGCGTCGACCCCCTCCCCTCTTGAAAATCTTTGATCCGCCGCTGAGAAATTTATAATTTTCACCCCATTTCTCTGAATTAAGTATACATTTTTGCTCGCTCGCAAAATTTAAGTTTAAAGTTTATTATCTGGAACTGTGCGACAAGTTGTACGACGTTGGTCTCCCCAAAGAAATTCATCCAATTAAAAACTCCACGTAAGAGGCATTTTGAAAGTTTGAAGAGAATTCCATCAAATTCCAGGAAATTGGGTGTTCTTTTTCACTACTCTATTTAAACGAGTGGGAGCACTGGCGGCTCTGTTAAAAAAATGTATAACAATTCTTTTTGGATCAGATATATAGACCAAAAACAAGCCTAATCATCTTCAGTACACAAGTGTCATTACTGTAAAATTTAGGAGTAGATTGTCTGAAACAAAACTGAGTAATGCTTGAGTCTCGCCTGGCTTTCCAGCAATTGTTCTGTTGTTGAGTATTATGATCGACCAAAAGAATTTTTAGGCGAATGGCATCCCATGTTTTGGACCTTGCAACTTTCATTAACATCACATCTGGACCATCAAAGGAAAAGTTTGAGAACCCCTGGTCTACGGGGACGACACCATATTTCATGGGTTCTTGGACACCTACCCCCATGGACAACCACCCGGACAACTACCCCTAGGACAACTACCCCGGACAACTACCCCAGACCACTACCCCCTACGACAACCATCCTCTAGGACAACTACCCCCGGACAACTATCCTAGGGGGTAGTTATCCGGGGGTAGTTGTCCTAGTGGGTAGTTGTCTTAGGGGTAGTTGTCCTAGGGAGTATTTGTCTGGGGTAGTTGTCCGGGGGTAGTTGTCCCGGGGAGGGGGTAGTCGTCCTAGTGGGTGGTTGCCCTAGGGGTAGTTGTCCTATGGGGTAGTTGTCCTAGAGAGTGGTTATCCTAGGGATCGTTATCCGAGGGGTAGATGTCCAGATGACCACCGGCAGTTAATGTATAATAAAAGTTATAGCCTCGGGTTAAAGATAAACTGGAGTTCTGGTTAACAAAAGAAAATGAATTCTCAAAGATTCAAACGAAACTTACACTGAATGTTCAAGATTACAAATAAATGTCATTTGCCAAACAATTTTGGTAGAAAATGTATACTGGCTGAGTAATGAGCAAGAAATCAAGGTTAGTAGCCCCGACACCATTTTTTAAAGTCCCATATACATCTTTCTGTGTACAGTGCCTGTTACTTTACCAAGACTGGGCCAAGTTTATTATGATTTTGATGACTCCAGAACCTTGCAGTACACCCCAATACTTACATGCTACATGCTACATGATCAACTTTTTCTGATCCATTCCAAACCTTTCTTTCACAATGCAATCGCATGACAAGAACTCAACTTTGTCTTTAAGTAAATGTCAGAAAGAGAGAGAGAAAAACAAATCCGACAATTATTTCTTTGGGCGACCTTGTGATGTGAACTCATTATGATGATTCCCGGCATTTATATGGCGCCGTATTTCAGTTTCAAAACATTCGAAGGAGAAGGCTCCTCCGATGAAGTTAGTATTACCATAGCAATGGCTATTAACACATATGGTGTTACAGATTGTTCGGAGTTGCTGACGCCACGCATGTATTCACACCCACCGTCTCGTCTTCCACTTTGTTCATGATGTTTCTCATTGTATCATCAGACAAGGCTCCATGGCTTGAATTGAATGTAACTCAATAAAAATTCATAATAAGATACCATTTCAGATCGCCACATATTGAACATGAAAGTGTGTCTAAAAGACTCCTAGTGTAGTTGTTGTTGCTGACCCACATACTTACATTGTTCGTTATTTTCTTACAAGATTATCTTCCCATTGATTTTTTTTTGTTTTGTAGCATTTTTTTTATTGTATTCATTCAGAACACACACAAATAAAAACATTACAGCTTCATTGATTTACATAACATATCAAAATATAAAGAAAATTGTACATCCCTCAAAAAATACATAAGCTAGTTTAATACACAGTACATAATGTTTTCAAATTAATTATACTGAATGAATATTATAAATCTAAGCCTTACGCACAGACAGACACACAGACACACCACACACGCTCACATACTCAGACACACATACAAACTTACATATCCCCCCTTCATTGATGACGCCATTAAAAAGATTTTGATGGGGAGGGGGGGGGGGGATTCCGGGTCAACATTTCTTTCGGCTAAATAATAATCAATTTTTTTTAAAACTCTCTTAGGCAAACTAATTATGATGATAATTTTGTTTCTTTTTTTCAGGGGAGTCTACATTATGCGGTGAGAATGAATCTAGGGAGCACCACGAGCTGAATGGATGGTATAATAACAGAGCCGATCCCAGGATTGGGACGTATGGTAAGTTTACTTCAATGCTATAATCAGTGCCGTATATCTACAAGGGATACGGGGGTGCACCCCCGTCCCTCGCTTGATAGCCTTGTTTTATTGGAAGGTAATTTTTAAATTTTTAATTTAGGTTTTATTTCCACATTAACTGCATATGAAAAGAATTTACAAAGTAAGGCATAGACAGGGTAACAAAACATGTACATAATATTCGATAGATACAACAGTAATAAAAACGATTTTTTTTTTTTTTAATTTATTTTTTTATGGCAAGTCATTAAATACAAATGATGCTAACAATAATCTGCAGTAATGAGGAGGAAACCTTGGAAGCATTATGCTTGTAATTAAGGTTCCCTTTACATAATACGTTTATTACATAATAGATATAAAACAAAAAACAAAACAAAAGAACAAAAACGGGTGTGTGGTGCAGCCAGCCAACAAGTGTTGATAATACCGATGGTCTCTATCATGATGACCTTAAGCGTTTTCATACTGAAGTAGAAGTTTGTGTTTCAAGTGATATTTAAAAGTAATTAAACTTGGCAGCTGTTTGAGCGAAATGTCCAATGAGTTCCAGTACACCGGACCAGTATAAATCAAAACAATTTTTTTAGTAAGGTTCTCAGTTTGTGTAAGTGAAAAAAGGAAGACCGTCGGGTTGGATAATCATGAAGTTGTTGATTCCTTTGGAATGTCGACGTGATGGCATGAGGAAGTTCGTTAGAATTTAATCGAAACATAAAACAGCCTAAAAAGAAATTATACAAGTCATGAACTTTCAATATATTATTTTCTAAAAATAAACTATTAGTGTGGCTTAACCTATTAGTGTGGCAGATTATTCGATCAACCTATTAAAGACAAATACGTGTTGGTATAAGTGTTTTGGAACACTGCAACTCATCTGCTATTCATAATCTTTGGAGTGAAAGCATTCCATAGCTAATCAGGCCATGCATGAGAAAGGTTTCCTATTAAACCCAACTTTGTATGAACTTAGGAAGATCAGGTAATCAGGAGTTTTGAGAGCGTGAAGATATAGACGGAATATGTAGTTATTTATCAAAGGGATATGATACTTCGGAGAATGAAAACAAAAAGCAAAATGTTGTGTTCACTCATGGGCAACTAATGGAGTTCTTTTGGAACTGGTGGGATGTGAATTTGTTTTGTAACTTAGTGTGAAAAGGGGCCTTTATAACACGGGTATCAGGTCATTTGGTAAGGGATTTACTCTCATAGTTTCAAACTTTACTGGATACTGTAGTAGTAGTAGTCAGTGGCGGATCTAGGGGAGGCCCGGGGGCCCACCCCCTCCCCTGGCCAAAACAGGTAAATCTAACCTTCTTAAAAATAAATAAAGAAGACGGGCCCCTCCCCCTGACGCAAGGGGGGGGGTGTTGATTCTCACGAATTTTGAGAAAAATAATGCCCCCTCCCCCCGCTTATTCGCCGGCTGGCTGATTCAACGCTAAAGATTTTTCTCACGAATTGGGCCCCCTATTTGGCCCCTCCCTTATCGCCGGCTGGATCCGCTCCTGAGTAGAAGTAGTAGTAAAATTTATTTATTTACTTATTTATCAGTACTGTTGTTGATTTTTATTAGAAACTCGACTGCTTCGTCAGCTACCAGTCGGGTACCCGGATGGAGCATATTCACCTGCAGGTCCTAACCGACCCAACCCTCTCACTCTCAGCAATCTACTCATGCATGGCAAATCGGGCATACGTTCTGAAAATAAAAAATCAGCACTCCTTGCGTTCTTCGGTGAGTATCAATGTTGTAGACCTTTATTTGGAGTACAATAATATATACATGCCAGGTTCTGGATGTGACCCTATTAAGGAATATCTTAAAAACAGAACATACGAAAAGCAGAATCAGAAATGGAAAGAGAAAAAACAGATAGTGGAGAAGATGAGAGAAAGCGAGAGAGAGAAAGATAGAGAGGGAGAAAGAGAGGGAGAAAGGGAGAGAGAGAATGGGAGAGAGAGAAAGGGGAGAGGGAGAGATGGTAAAGGATGGAGAGAGGGGGGGGGGGGGGAGGGGGATATGAGCCAGGAGTAATCTAACCAAAATTATCCGAGTATAGATGCTATGATAAAACGACTTCAGGATAGTAATTCAAAATGCTGTATAACGTATTTCCAAAAATATGTATAATAAATGATGCTTGCCTGACATTGCAGCACAACACGTGATGAATGAGATCGTGGATTCATCTAACACGGGTTGTCCCGTCGAGTGGATGAATATGAGGATCCCTGAAGACCTTACCCGTATGTACGGTGGGGCAAAGATCATGCCCTATCGAAGAGGTCTCTACGACCCAGACACCGGACAATCGTCAGCAGTACCTAGAGAACAGGTAAGGATCGATATACAGAGAAATCACCAAGGGCGTATCCAACCCGGGTGGGGGTTAGGTTGGAGGGGTGGGGTGGGAGGGGGTAGGAAATAGTTTAAATTGGCTGCTGCGTCCTGAAGACACTGGACAATCGTCAGCAGTACCTAGGGAACAGGTAAGGGTATAGTTACAGAGAAATCTCCACGGGCGTATCCAACCAATTTATTACCAAGAGGGGGTAGGGGGTAAACAGTTTAAATTGCCCCCTGCGTCCTGTAGACCCACTGTAATTTTATCAAATATTTTATCAAATTTTCATGAAATCGAATCGAATCAATTTAATTCAAAGAAAATCCACAATTAGGAATCATTACCAAATAGACAGGGAATTATCCCTGCTCCCCCAACAAAACTGCTTTTTTGTTGTTGTTTAAACACGTAATAAATATCCTTACCGAATTACTTTGATTTTGTAATTAAATAGGTTATTGTTTTCTCAGTCACGTTTATACTTGATTGAGTTTTAACCACTTCTTTTGTATCACAAAGGATATTCAGGTATATTTGTTGGGAGGGGGGGGGGGGGTCCAAATCCAGAAATGAAAAGGCTACAGTTGAACCTTAAAATTCGGTCAGCTGCGTCGAGTCCTTTATTATTATCAAATATTGTCAAAATTGTTGCACTTCTAAAGTTGAAAATATTCCAGGTTCAATAAAGTGTATGTTTCAACACCTTTGATCTTATCTCCAAACGCACCTTAGTTCAAATCAAATCTACCTAACTAATCTTCTTTTGTTGAAATTTGCTTTATAGTATGTGTGTGTGGGCTTGTTGTAGAAACTGACAGCAAGGATTATGTTTGAACAAAGTTCAAATTCGTTATATTTTTTCCCGAAAAGAACATGCAAACATGTGCAAGATATGCGAAGCTCAATAAACACTGGCTCAAATAAATCCAATACCTCTATCATTATTATGTTCAATGTGCAATGAAAATCAAAGCAATTTCAGATTACGATGTGAGTGAATAAGAATTTGTGTAAAATATTTTGTAAAGTCTGTTGTAAAATGTTATTTTATGCCATAAAATAACATTTTGCTCTCATTTTATTTGTCGTATAACATGTAAGAATCTTCCATTTTAAGTATTTCCAAAGCAAGTTTCCTTATACAATTCATGTTGGTTATAAACATGAACTTAATCGAATTGAAAGGGGATAATGAAAACGCGGGATTTCTGAACACTGCAGATTTAATTTCTTAGATGAATATTTGACACCCTTTAGTCGTATGCAGGAATTTATGTCTAAAAGGATTCGAATGATAAAAAGATATTAAGTGCTTATAAAAGCAATTCCATATTTTTGAAATGCAAAGTGATTAAACGTCAAAGAAATCGGTGTATGATTTGTAACTCACATTGTAAAGAGTAATTTTTTGTATCCCAAGTGTTTTGATGAAACAGACTCAGAAAAACAAAAACATGCATTACATCCACATTTATCTCATTTTGTATCACACTATCTATCACAATAACCATCTTGCCCGATATTTCGTTAACGCCTGTTTAAAATCAGTTTAAGATGAATTTCCCATATAATTTTTGTTTCAATTGTTACTAAAATGTTTCAAATTGTCTTCATTGTACATTCATTCGTCAAAGTAAAACCTATATTCTTACAATAACATTCATAGAACTCAAGTCAATTCAAGAAAACAAGTCTATCGCGTCTAATCGTTTCCTATACTAAAATAGCACTGGTGAAGATCTTAGCTCGATGCTTAAATCCGTATTTAGACAAGGCATTTTGCCATTAATTGTATCTTTTGACTCACGTATAGGTACATTGATGTTAACGTTGTTGTTGTTGTTGTTGTTTTTGTTGTTAGTATTATCATTATTATTATCATTATTATCCTTATCATTATTATTATTGTTCTTGTTGTTGTTATTATGATGTCATGCTTCCTAGATGAACACGGTAACCCCATGGCTCGACGGCACTGGTATCTACGGACCTAACCGAGTTTGGGAATCTGAGATGAGAGATTATGAGAATGGGAGACTGAAGGGAGAGTTAAGACAGCAAGAGGGAAGGAGACACGAAGAATTCCCAGCTCGGAACTACGCTGGGTTCCCTCTCACAAACCATGCCCCTGCCACGGATCATGAAGTCTACGAAGCTGAGAGACTCTTCCGTATGTATAAAGTTTTGACGTTTTTTTTTCCTCCTAAAATGGGGAAGGAGAGTTTAATAACCACCTGTGAATGTTACAACAGAGCGACAAACATCGTCCTGACACACACCATGTAGCTTTATAAAATCATGGTGATTTCAGGGATGATGCTGTAATGATTATCAGTAAATCAAAACAAAGCAGGGGCATGGCATTTAATGTCTTATGTTTCACATAATAATAATAATATTAAATTTTATATAGCGCTTAATACAAATGTCTCTAAGCGCTTTACAAATATACTATTACCCCGGTCATTGGATTCAGTGCTTGCCCGCACACAACGTGTACACAATCTCCACTCCCTGGGGAGCATTCCAGCCAGGCGTTACATGACGTTCAAAACTGTTTGACCAACAATGACGGTCGCATCCTACCGGGTACCCATTCAACACCTGGGTGGAGAGTAGCAAGTGCAGGTTTATATCTTGCCAAAGGATATTAGTGCCGTGTCGGGATTCGAACCCTCGACCTTCGCATCATTTTATATAGACACACTTCATTAAAAAAACAATTGCTAATACAGCAACTCCTTTAAATCTCATATTCAGAATAAATAGTTAGTCCTTGCCACTGATCGTATAGGCCTAAGTAATGGTAATAGAACCGTCGCCATACATTGAGTGTTATTTTAACGAGTGTATTGATTCACGAACCTATGAAAGGAAACACATCATTTCCATAATTCATGAGTTAGTGATGATACATTCGATTTAATATAATCTCTGATTTGTAATGGATAAATGTTAATTATTTGCAGTTCTTGGCAATCCCCATAGCAACGAGAACCCCGCCCTCCTCTCAATCGGCGTCTTATTCTGGCGTTGGCATAATGTATGGGCTGACCGAGTTGCAGACGAGTGCTCGAATATTACTAAGGAAAACGACATATATGACATTGCTAAGAAGTGGGTAACAGCAACCTACCAGGTAGGTACCATCAATCTAATAATCTTTTATCATGTTTAATCATTTATCATTTTTATACATGGAGAAAATTAACATTTGATTTATAGTATGCAGTCAGACAAAATACAGTTTATATTGAGCATGAGTTTGGAGCAGAAAGACAGACGTACGACACTTGGATGTGATTTAATTACATTCACCAGCAAAAACCATGACCATCTCGCACCCAATCACTACAAAGTTTCACGCGTGCCACATAAGGACATGTTCTGATTGGTTAATCACGAACCATCCATTACCCAATTAGAATCCAGGGAGCCGACTAGGAACCAATCAGAATCAAGGACTGAGAGCCATAGATCAGTCGTTCAGAGACTGGTTTGTCGAAGCGAGAAGATTTATTCTATCTTATTACAATTTCGTATGTTTTGTAGACCAAAATGATTTTTAAAGTGAACTTTTACATCACTTTTCTTCCAGAAAATCGTGTTTTACGACTTTCTACCAGCCTTTTTAGGCATGGATGCAAGTGACATGGACAAATATAACTACACAGGTAATGGTAGCTAGAGCATGCCTCTAAACATCATTATGAATGATGCAATCATAGAATTATATTATCCATACGCATGATAATAAGCCAGCTGTACATGCACGAATGGCAAGTTCAATCTAGAAATGTCTCTCTTTCAATGGAGCCGACCACACTCAAAGAACCTCTCAAACTAGTTATCAAGAGTAACAACTTGGCCTGGCAAAAGATTCGCAAGAAAGTTTAAAAAAAAGGAAACATCTTGAAATAAATTCGCAGTCATTAGCGTATGTACATTTACCGTGTATTTATCAAATAAAGGACGAATGCTTGCAGTTTTATAATCTCATTTTGCTTTATTAATGGCATTTTATATAGCGTAGCTTCTATTACGATAACTGGCTGTTAAGGCGATAAAGCATTTAAAGGAATTGTTCCTACAGAGTACCCTTTAACTTCACCTTTTGAAGTGAAACATTATTTTCTGTTTGATTACCGTAGGTTACAAGCCGTATCTCAATCCGGGTATCTCCAACGAGTTTGAGGCTACAGCGATGAGATATATGCAAACTCTGATACCATCTGGTATAGCACTCAGGTATAAAGTTCTTCTTTTCCCTTCTCTTACCCCCGCCCCTACCCTGATTCTGTGTTACTCTAAATCAATATCTATCCACGTATCTTTCTCCAAATTAGTCAAAATATTGCCATTCACCTACTTATCACCCCCTTCCCCCTTCTCAACTTATTCCCTTCTCCCTTCCTTTCTCTACTTGCGTGATAAATAATTTGAAATTGAGAGGGGGGGGGGAGGGCAACGCCCGATTTTATCGTAACCCAGCTTTTATGCCTCTTATTTTAAGTACCGTGCTAATTCTTGGAACAAGAAGAAAATTAAAAAATTTACACCTGTAATTAAAATAATCTGACATATAATATTGATTTGATAACCCGATTACATAATTTTTCCTCATAAATCTAGGTGAATAATTAAAGTGGATATATATGTATGATTTGTTTGTAACTACAGAGAGAATGAAAACGGTTCATGTAAAGTCAAGGTGACAGAAGATGGCTATCCTGGACTTCGATTATGCAACACCTACTGGGATGGACAAGTAAGTTTGAATCCCCACTGTACTACTTATAGCTACTTGCGCCCTCTATATAGCAAACAATGGCCAATCGGTGAGCATTGGTCCCCCATGATCCTCTTTTTAATTGAGAGCTTATTTGATGAGATAACTACCTGTCAGCGACCTTGCAGGGAGGTTTAATCCTATTGGCTAAACTAGTGCGGTGGGGCTTTAAGTTCAAGTTCAATCTATTTGACATGAATATAATATACTGGCACATTCCCGGCTATCTGTCAGAGGTGATTGATTGCCACATTTCCCCCACACGTCTAGATTCTCTGCCATTCTATAGTATACACTCTTGCAGTGTCATTCCATTCCATGTCTTAATGTTCCCTTACCAGTTAGTTCTTGGTGTCCCTCTTGGTCTGGTACCTTTTACCTGTCCTTCCACCAAATCTTTCAAGAGACTCCGGGGGCCCGTTTCACAAAGCCTTTTTCAATGACAAATGACAAATATCTGTGACAAATCTGCTGATAACCAATCAGAAGCAAGGAGTTCAGTAGCTTATAACAAAAACTGTCTTTTGTCACTGATGACAAGTTTTGTGAAACGCCGCTCTGATGTCTTTTAACGTGACCAAAGTATTGCACCTTTCACTCTTTAATCTTTCCTATCAGGATATTTTAAAGGTACTATGTCCCTTTTGCAGCCAACCTCAAATGCTGTAGAACTTTGCAGGAATTATGAATATGTCATGTATGCCCTATCTGTGAAATTTAAAGGTTAGCAGTGTCCTCATATTCAAATTATGCAAGGAAACCCGTTTACTTGCTAGACTTCACTGTCAGACACTATTGAGTGACTGACTGGCTTTTTTTCTTCTTTGGTAATAACATACATGAAAAGAGTTGTAAAGGGTATACATGAGCATTTGTCTACATCAATAACCCGCTTCTTGTGATGGCCAAGATTAAACTGATTGAATCTTTGCGCAGCATAAAACATATGACCATTCGGTACAATTGTCTGAAAATTAAGACTATTACTTTTGGGCTCTATAGCCCTAAAGTCGATTTGACAACTAACAGTCGTTATTTTCCCACTTGAAGACATTTTCAAGCCCCACCTTTTTTTAGGGAAGTTCTAAATTAGTATTATCTTTCAAATGCAGTTGGAATTTAACTTTTTCATTTTTTTGGCATGCAAATGGGACATAGTACCTTTAATACGCTCTAACTTCTGCTGTATTCCTCTGTTAGTTTTCATATCTCTCAGCCTTTTATAATTTCATTTGTAAAATTTTAGTACAGATACAGGTCTTGTCCGAACACTATCATTTCAGTCAAAAGTTAATAAGGTTAAAAGAAAGAAAAAATGACATAACTTGATAAGTAATCAAATAACGGAGTTAGTTTTAATAGAACAAATCTTTTGTAAAAGTTAGGTATCCAAACATAATGGGTTAATTGGTTGACATTTTCGAAACAAGCTCTAAGTAATTGGCCTAATATGTAAAACCAGCCAAAGTACAATCATAAATTCAATCATACTTGGTCGAATTACCGACAATAGTCTTCCATTTTTGTAATTGATGCTCCAAGTGAATAAAGCATGGTCATCTTTCGGTCTATTTTTCATCTTGATTCTGACAGTCTCTACTTTTGAAGAATGGATTGGACGAAATCGTTCTCGGTATCGCCTCTCAGTGGGCCGAGGAAGATGATAACATCGTGGTCGAAGATATCCAAGGTTAGTATATAATATTCCATGCACGACCACGAGACCGACTCCAGGCCGACTACAGACCAACGACTCACAATAATCAAAATGATGTTGGTTTGGGGTCGGTTTGGTGGTGTCGCTGAATGACATGTATGCATGCAGTGGCGGATAGGCCAGGGGGAGGGGTGGATGGGGCGTTTCCATTTAAAAACCAAATTGGCATTGGCTTACCTTAAAGATAAAGGTTAGTTCTGGTTTTAAAAAAAGAAAATAATTTCTCACAGAATCAAACGAAACTTACGCCAAATGTTCAAGATTACAAATAAATGTCATTTGCCAAACAATTTTGGTAAAAAATGTATACTGGCTGAGTAATGAGCATAGAAAAATTAGGAAATCAAGTTTAGTAGCTCCGATACCATTTGTGTAGTCCCATATACATCTTTCTGTGTACAGTGCTTGTTACTTTACCAAGACTGGGCCAAATTTATTGTGAATTTGATGACTCCAGAACTTTGCAGTACACACCAATACTTACCTGCTACATGATCAACTTTTTCTGATCCATTCCACACCTTTTCTTTCACAATGCAATCGGATGACCATGCAGAACTCACCTTTATCTTTAAGTATGCGAAAGAAACATGTTCCCATTCGTGTTTCAATATATAAACTCAATAAGGCGGAGAGTCTCTGATCCACCTTTCTGAATGTGATGGCCTTTTAAGGTCCGATTTAATATTATAATTTTAAGGCCCTACATTATGTGATGACTACAGAGAAAATGAGTTCAAATTAATACCAAACATTTTCAACATATGTTTACTTTATATCAGTGGAACAAACTAAAACTAAACAAAAAACATTTCCATACATTTCTCCATATTCTGTCATTCCCAGGTTATTTCTACGGTCCATTTTATGGCTTCACTCGTAGTGACCAGGTTGCTAACACAATACAGCATGGACGGGACCACGGGCTTCCTGATTACAACACGGCTAGAAAGGCACTGGGACTACAGCCTCTCAATATCACTCAGCTTATGAACAGATGTACAAGTAATGGCTGTAAAATCACCCCAGAGGTAAGGACATCGGTCTGATATAACAGACATGAAGGATAAGATTAAAGTTTGATCCGTATTGATTGACACGAAATAAGTACGTATTCAAAACATTATAATATACCTTGGAATTTCATTATTATTTTAATAACCAACATATTCGTATGTACAGCTGCATGTCCGGCCTCAAACATTATTTTAAAAACAACAAAATCACAATGACATTTTTTCTTCTCACTTTACGAATTAAAATAACATTAGTTTTTTTAAAGTAATTTGTGGGCATTAACAGAAGTGAATCGTGACGCTAATTCGTGAGGGGTATTGGTCCAACCCTAACCCTAACCCTCTCCAAACAAAAATTCTGAATCCGATGTACCATTTTACAAGATGACGTGACAATGTCGCCTCCCCCATAGATATAAGTCTCTGTCCATTAAGTAAAATTCTCAATATTCTCGTTACCATGGTTATTCTTCCGGTGGCGTCTTCTTCCTTATGTTTACAGGTGTTCGATAACTTGACCTCACTGTATGACGGAAATGATGATGATATTGATATGTTCATTGGCGGAATGCTGGAAACCACTCAGGATGGACCAGGGGAACTGTTCCAGCATCTTATTCTAGACCAGTTCATGAGAATCAGGGATGCTGATAGACTTTGGTTTGAAAATAAAGATAATGGGTGAGTTTGTAGCTTGGCTAGTAATTATGTAGTAATGATTTAAACAAAACGTTTTTTTTAAGAAGAAAAAAAATTCTCTTTAGGCCTTTGGAAATTTTTGATTCCATGTATAATTTGTCCGATGCTTACATAATTTACTTCTCATGGAACATTTTGGACCAAAGATAGCAGTAAACAACCCATAACCTACTTTATACTTAGCACTAGCATGATATTGTTATGCGTATTGTAGGAAGAAAGTTCAATTAATGCAATACAAAAAAAACCCACCTGTATCCAATGCATACTCAAAGCTTTGATTATATCATAAGATGATTATTTATTCAATCATTTACTCCGGTTAGACATTTATTTATTGCTTTCTCATTTACCCATGCAGAACTATACATTTCATTTTTAAAGCATTATATTCACTTACTATATAACGAGGATAACATCTTAGTTATTTTGTAGTTCTGTTATTGAATGTTTCTAAACATACATAAAGAAATATATCATTCTATTATTGCGATGTTCTTTGTCGTTTTGTCTGATTGTAGGTTGTTTACAGAGGAAGAGATTGAAGTCATCCATTCCGTTTCCATGTGGGATGTCATAGTCAATACTACAGGCATACCGGATACAATGATACAGAGAAATCCTTTCAAATTCACCGCCAGTAAGATTAATATTATCTTTTTTTCATGATCTGTAAACGGAGTGGCAATAGGAGGGGGTAAGAGGGGGAGAGGGATAGAGAGAAAGGGAAATAGAATGACAGAGGAAAAAGAGAGGGGAGGGAGATAAAGAGTGAAATAGAGAGAATGGAAGAAAGACAACATGAGTAACAGAAAAGGGAATGAGACAGAAAAAGACAGAGATGCAGAAAGAGAGAGAGGAAGAGAAACATGAACAGAGAAAGAAAGAGAGAGATAGAGAGTGGGAGAAAGAGAATGATAGATGGTTGCATATTTGTAAATAGAGAGGTAGAAATGGAGAAAAAGAGGGGAAAATATATAGAGGATCAAGTTTAACAAAACGGGGGAGGGAGAGAGAGAGAGAGAGAGAGAGAGAGAGAGAGATATGGGGGAGGGGGAGGGTAAACTAAATACAATTAAAAAATAACAATTTCTAAAAGGTCTTTACCATTCTCGATTCGTCACTCTCCGTAGTAGATCAGACAGTATTTCAGATATATTCAAATCTCTTCATTGGTTATCAGTCTCAAAAAGAATCATGTATAAGCTGTTACTCATTACTTACAAAACTCTTCTTCGTTCTATTATTATTATTATATTTTTCTCATCGAAATGAGTTATTTACTAATTTTAACGTTGTTTTTCGTTTGGATATAATCATGTAATTTTTTAGCAAACTGAAAGATAATTCATGAACAGACCAAAGGATTGCCAAGGGATATCATTATTTTCGAGGAGATTTCTTCTGTATTCGTGCTCTGTCGTTTATATTGTCTTCACATTTGTGTTCAGCCTGACTATCGATGATATACTGTAATAGATTTATACTGACTTATCTTCTCAATACAGGTGATCCTTGCTTTTTTAATGTGGAGAATGCATCTTTCAAAGAAAAAGATTTAGAGCCCTGCGTACCTCTCATCATATTTGACTACTTTACCGGTAGCAAGGTCTCCTATGCCTTGATCTTTGGTTTGCTCTTCCTCTTCATCATAGGTAAGATAAATATTACGTTTCTTTGGGTTTTGTGGAAAATGCATCGGGAAAAGTAAGGAGGTTCTAGACAAGGAGGAAAACCATGAACTATTAAACTGGGAGGAGATCATTTAGACATGGAGTGAAATGTCACTATAATCAGACACGTAGCCACGGGGGGGGGGGGGAGGGGGGGGGGAGGGGGGGGGGCACATGCCCCTAAAAATTTCCAAGATCGGTTGAACTTTTTTTGACCTCGATCGATTACATGTATGTGCCCCCCCCCCCCCCCCACATCAAACTCTGGCTACGTGCCTGACTGTAATACACCCGATTCTTGCAAAGACATCAGAAAAAATAATCAACCTACGGCAATTTTAAAACCATAGTTCATCACTTCTTCTTTTTTTTTCTCTCTTTTTTTTTCTCGGGGGGGGGGGGGGGGCACAACTACTCAAAGAGAAAAGAAAATAAATAAACAAAATGTAATCGGCCCATGCTTCTTCTACCCCTTCAGTGACGTAATCCTTCTTCATTCGTTTGTTTGTATATTTCTTTATTCCAGGGTGCATCTTGACCCTGTACACCATCGCCACAATGCGCATGCGCAAAATAGAGGAAAACAAGCGAGCCATTCACAAATCAGCAAGAAGCAAACATCCAGAGAACACACAATCATATCTTGGTAGGATAATAACTTTAGTATATTTTCATAATTTCATTTTAATTTAATTTTGATGCAGTTTAATTGTGTCTTAGCTGAATTCTAATAAACGAAAGACAATTTTTTCAATCCGAATTTCGATCTCTATTCATTCTAAAATGTTGTAATTTTATTTAAATTCAGTTCAATAACATTTAGCCTAATGAAACTTACTGTATGTAAGCTGAATACAAATAATACAGTGTTTTTTTTAAATCCATATTTCATAGCACCATAAATGTAATTACAAAAATCTACATTACTATGTAAATTCAACTCAAGTGCAGACTCAATTATAACCCCCAAAAGGGTGGAAAAGGGAATAGGAAACTGTACGGATGTGAATAAATAGGAAATAGGGAGTTAGTTATCTTAGGAGTTATTTTTTTCACTTAAAGTATTTGATTACTTAACTTATTTATGTGATTTTTATTTCTCGCCCGGGCCTAGCGAATGAATGGTGTGGTTTTAACGAGCCTGTGAAGGAGATTGAGGTCTGTCTTGGTCCCAAGCGGTGTATTCGGGTGATGGGCCAGCGCGGATCCAAGCTTCATCGTAGCATTGATGTGGGTTGTCCACAAAGGATTACAATCTTCATGAGCTCAGACTCCAAGCAGAGATACATTCTAGTCAAGCTTGAGAAAGAGTGAGTACTATAATAATTCTAGTTGATTTTACTTGTACTACTACTACTACTACTACTACTACTACTACTACAAATTATGATGATGATGATGATGATGATGATGATGATGATGGTGGTGATGAGGATGATGATAGTAATAATGATGATCATAATAATGATAAAGGTTATAATAATAATAATCATAATAATCATAGTAATCATAATAATTATAATAATAATAAAAATAACCCCCAAAATGATAATTATAATTAAGATAAGAATACTAACGATGATGGTGATAGTGATCATGATAATAAATAGATAATAGCGATAATGATGGTAAAAACAACAACAACAACAACGACGACGACGACAACATCAGCACCAGGTGTATGTTATTCTTAATAACAAAAATAAAAAAGCACTTCCTTAGCTAGGACCCTGCATTTTTTATCACTCCAACATTGCCAGGTAAAAATTACCCCCCTGGGTCGAGTGGGAATAATTTGGGAAAAAACCTCGTCCAAGGATGTAAGCACCTAGCTATAGGACGAAACCGGGATTTCATGTATGAGTCGAGGGGTGCGATAAACCACAATCCTTTCTCTGATTTCAGGCATGTTTTCTCTCTTATTTCTCTTCGTTGATAGATACGACCTCGTCCTCAAGTTTCTGGATGTCGACGATCGTCTCGAGTTCGTGAGTGACCTCCAAAGTTTCATCGGACGAGAGCAGAACGGAGTGGTGATGGAACGTCGAGAGTTACGGGAATATGATCTGCTACGGATGGCGGTTACCAAGCAACAGCGACAGTCAGTTCTAGAACGGTTTATTCGGCTAGCTCTAGACAGTGTAAGTGTTATACATTAAGTATATAATCCAAATATTATTTTAAAGGCATCGTTTAACAACGTTATATTTAAGGTGCACGGCCCTACGTGATTATCAGTGTCTATGATACGGTGTAATAATGAAATCCTGAACAAAATTACGCTTCAAAATGATCAAGAAGTGCCTCAAAAAAGTAAAAACCTTTGAGTGACCGGTTTTACCATACTTATTTTCCCCGTATTCACTGTAGTGTTATGAAAACCGTTAGGAAAACGCAAAATTTGGTTTCGATTTCCAATCATAAATATCTTGATAATCAGACAGGCGATCGGTTTGTAAAAGTTATGGAGTTCCTGACTGACATAAAGTTTTTAATTGTCATTGCAGCATGAGCTAAATCCAGGATATTGTTTCAAAACCTGAGACAAAGTTACCGGATCCCTTTAACAGGAGATTGAGTTTGCACTTGATTCGATTGCTCGATAGCCTTTGCGGCAGTGTTCTAAATTGATAGTTCTAATTCCAGTCATGCCGCCATCTTTTGTTCGATAGGAAGCTGAAAGTCCTGAAGAGTTGATGGAAAGCATCACACAGATGGATGATGGTCAAGCCATCATGGAATGTGAACTCAGCAAGTATGAGTTCGGTGAACTTCTCACTCTCAGTCCAGAATCGCAGTTCGTTCAACTCATGTTCGAGCTTGTCGATAAGGACGGCAGCGGGTCGATCTCCTTCAGAGAGTTTCTCGACGTCACTGTCATCTTTGCGAAGGGTAAGAATAAGTGCTCGTTTTGCCTTGTGTCAACCTCAGCGTTGTATCGTTTTGGTTGTATTATAATAGTGTAATTTGTTTTGTTTGTTCCAGGCACAGTAGCAGCTCCTGACCCCCCTTAATTCTTCAAGCCCACGAAGAAAAAAAATTAAGCCGCAATACGCATGTAGAAATTGAGTGTAAGAACCCTTGAGCCCCCTAAATATATATATATACAGATATACTTTGCATATACTTTCTACTGGAACTATCCGACAGGATCACATATTGGTGAGTCTATTAACCTATATATGAAGAACGATTACACAACGCCTTATTATTGCTTTCGATGCAATCATAATTCATTATAATGATGAATATATCAACGTCATCAGTTTGAACGTTTTAGTAACGTAGAATTTAGCTTTAACTCCTAGTGTTTGAGATTGCAATATGAAAGAAAGATATTAAAAGTTCTTTTCCATTAAACTTGCTATATTCTTTTTTCTTTTAGGTAAACCAGAGGACAAGATTAAGCTCATGTTTGACATGTATGACGTCGACAATTCTGGTGCACTGTCACGTGATGAGTTCAAAATCATGCTCAGGTGACCATGATGGAATCCTTGTAAAAAAGAATCTATTAAGTGAAATGCCGTGAAATTGTAATTTTTAGATCTGATATTGTCATTCGTACCTTAGATAATGCTCGAAATCGAGGTTATTGAAAGTTTGCCTTAGGTTCGTTGTATTATTGTGAAAAAATCTGAGACATTTTTTATCTTAGTTTTCATTTCATTTCCAAACATAGAATAAAATAATATAGCATGCTGACATGCGAATAGCATGGTTGATATTCAATTCAAAGAAACTTATAATAAATGAATGTAAAATCATGATAACCAACATCATCACCATCATCATCACCATCATCATCACCTTCATCATCATCATCATCATCATCACCATCATCATCACAATCATCATCACCATCATCATCATCATCATCATCATCATTATGTTGATCATATTTTCCCCCTTACCATGCAGGTCGATGTTGGAGACGAACAGCGCGTCGCTGGAACAGGACAAGATGGATGATGCCATTGCATCAATGTTCAAGGATGCTGGATTCGAAGAGAAGGAGGAGCTGACACTGGAAGACTTTAACATCCTCATGGGAGATAACAAGGAGAGCTTTAGCAAATCTAGCATCGGCATAGGTTTGTTGGTTATGTTACTGCAATGGGATTGGAAGAGATGTATATAGCTATGAAGAGGCGAGCACGTGTATCTGGGACACTGTGATGGTCTACCATATTTTAAGTTAGGACGGTTTCCATGTTACAAAGGATGATCTATATATTTGAAAGGATGAGGGAGTTATAGCTGAAAAGGGGCGAGCATGTTTAGCTAGGACACTAATAAGGAGATTTTAAGTTCTGTGGGTCTTAACGTTATGACAGTTCAGTCGTTGCAGTGATGGGATAAAATAGAAGGAAAGAATATTAGGGGTGACATATGGAAATATTATTGAGGATACAAACTGTTTTCCATTCTCTTTATCCTTCTCTCTTCTTTTCCTCCTCATCCTCCTCCTCATCAACACAAACATAACCACCACCACCACCACCACCACCCCCAACATTCTTATCATTCCCATCGTTATCAATTATTATTATCATCACTTTCATTATGGCGAAGTTAGTAGATTTGATTTAGCTAGTAAAGTGCAGAAACGTAGGATCAATTTTTGGGCGAGGGTTAGTCATGGTAAAATATCTAAGCTTTCATATATTATTTATAGTCTGTTACGTAAGCTACATGAAAGTTGTGATTTCGAATCAAGGTGGATTGTGAAAGTTAAAAGTATCCTAGACAAGAGTGGAAAGTCAAACTTGTGGGTTGAGGATACCCCCTCGAACCTTGGTTGGGTCAAGTCAGCTTTGGAACTTAGATTAAACGATATTGATTTGCAAAATTGGAATAATGAAGTTTATAGAAATCGTTTATGCTTAAATTATAGGCTTTTTAAACAGAAAAGTGGTTTGGAGAGCTATTTATTGAAATTGGACGTAGGTGATAGGATACCTCTTTGTAAGTTTCGTTGTGGTAATAATAAGTTGCCAGTTACCAATTGTCGTTACTTATCTAATCAACCTCTTGAGTTATGTTCCCTATGTAATATTAAGGTGCAGGGTGATGAATTTCATTATGTTTTGGTGTGCCCAGCTTTCAATGAATTTCGTAATCAGTATGTTAAGAAATATTCTTACAGTAGACTTAACATTATCAAATTTCATCAGTTATTCAATGCAAATTCTGTTAAGCAGTTAAAGAACCTTTCCAAATTTTGTAAGATCATTATGTCTAATTTTGGATAATTTGTTTTGTCCTTTTTAATACCTTAGAGTTATGGTTTAACTGGTTGTTGCCGTTTTTAGTAGCATAGTGTAAATACATGTATATAGTAGTGTTAGTACTGCTAGTTGAGATGTAGGGTATCATGTATTTTTTTTGTTTTAAGTAGACCTATATCCTTAAGCTTGCCTTCATTTGTTTGTTGTTCGCTGCCAAAGATTTTCTCGTTTTTAAGATTTTCTGTGTGTGTTTAAAAAAAAAATTCTATATGAATATCATTGTTGAACATTATATATGTACTATTCAACTGTATTTCTTCCATGCCCCAGAAGGGGCCGTTAAAGAAATAAAAATCATTGTCATTGTCATCGTCATTGTCATTGTCATTGTCATCATCATCATCATCGTTATCATCATCGACATCGACATCCTCATCATTATCATCCACAGGAAAAAGCACCCCTGTAGGTGGTAAGAGCAAAGCATCAGGAAGCAAGAAATCTCGAGATGGAAGCAAGAAATCCCGAGACGGAAGCAAGAAGAGCAAAGACGGCAAGACGGAAAAGGGTGGCATAAGGAGTGCTCTGGCAGGCTATGCGTAAGTGATCCAATACAAACGTTTGCTGAGTTTAAACCATAGCTAGGAGAGTAGCGATAGTTGCGTCATCGTACGTTGCGCTCGTTCATGGGGCATTTTCATGAAGCATTAAATCGACCCCTCCCGTAGAGACCGACGCCAGACAGACATCAGACCGATAACAAACCGACAACAGACTGACGCCAGGACAACAGACCGACAACAGACCGACAACACCCAGACGGACAACGGACTGACAACAGACCGACAACAGACCGACAGCAGACCGACAACAGACAGACACATGACCGATAACAGACCGACAACAGACCGACAACAGACCGACACATGACCGATAACAGACGGACAACAGACCGACAACAGACCGACACATGACCGACAACAGACGGACAACAGACCGACAATAGACCGACAACAAACTAACACCCAGACGGACAACAGACTGACAACAGACGGACAACAGACCTACAACAGACCGACACATGACCGATAACAGACGGACAACAGACCGACAACAGACCGACACATGACCAATAACAGACGGACAACAGACCGACACCAGACCGACAACAGACTGACAACAGACCGACACCAGACCGACGACAGACCGTCAACAGAGTGACAACAGACTGACAACAGACGGACAACAGACCGACAACAGACCGACAAAATACCGACAACAGACTGACAACAGACGGGCAACAGGCTGATAACAAACCGACAACAGACCGACAATTGACCGACAACAGACGGACAACAGACCGACAACAGACCGACAACATACCGACAACAGACTGACAACAGACTGACAACAGACCGACAAAAGACCGACAACAGACTGACAACAGACCGACAACAGACCGACAACATACCGACAACAGACTGACAACAGACCAACAACAGACCGACAACAGACCGACAACAGACCGACAATAGACCTACAATAGACCGAAGAAAACTTACATTACCTGGAATGGTTAAGAATCGGTCGTTCTGGAGTCGGTAAGGAGTCGGATTAGCGGTGTGCCTTATTCCGTTTATAGTTAGTATTATTATCATTATATACATGTCTTTTGTATGTAAAGCGGGCGAAACAGACTACAGGATGTAGATAATTATATCGGGGAAGCTGACTGACTTCCGTGTGTTTACTTGATAAGTATATCATATCAAAGATAGGGAAGGAAATATAATCGTATTACATCCCGGAGCCGTCCACACAAGCCCACATTACACAAATATTGACTGCTCATGAGGATGATGGTGGAAATTATCACTCCCAAGGTGGGGTTAAAACCGGTCATTATTTCACCCCCGAGGCGAATTTTATTACAGAGCAGTCCATATTTATTTTATTTACCCCATCCTTTAAAACACTGAGAGATAGGACGAACTAATATAACTGGAAGGGGACCTGAAAGATTATCGTATATGATACCCCCCCCCCTTACCTGATTAATGTCCTTGATATTCTAAAACATCTATGACCATTTAAATGAAGATGTGTAGACCAACCTTAAGTTATGATTTAAATGTATTTAGAGCTTTTTAATGGATCTTCTACTTTTTGTCTTCTTTACCGCAGAAACCGTCGCTCGTCCAAGAAGAAGAAGAAGACTAATGTGAAGATGGGTACAGTAGAGAAGACATATCAGAACAACAAACTTGTCCGCTTCTATAACAGCATCACGAGCTACATCGAAAACAACAAGTTGGAAATCTTCTGGGTGACTCTTTACATGTCGATCATGTGTGGTTTCTTTCTTCAAAAGTTCTTCCGTGAGTGCCATTACACTTTAAACAACTTTGACAAATCTTACATTTTAAAAAGTTGTTAATAAGGATCGTACATGATTTCGTTCAAGGAACTTTCGCGATTTACAAACATGGCATGACATTTCTCGAATCCACGCCACTCTTAAAATCCCGCGAACGTTTATTGGTTCAGCAGAAATATGATATCGATAAATGCGAAAACAAACAAACACAAAAACACAAAAACGAACAAACACGAAGAAACTCCAGAAAAAAAGGCAACGATGATGAAATCGTGAATCGCGGGTATTTTTCATACAAGCCTTTCACATGCAACCTTTAACTCCACCACTCCTATAATGACACATGAATCAATATCCCTAGTCTTAAGATTTACATCGGCTACTTATCCAGTCCCATATCCAGTGTATATTGCTTGTATTAACTTATCAATGTTTCCATTAGTTTCCTCCATCATACCTCATTGAATTGTTAATACAGTAAAATCCAGAAAGAAGGCTGCGTTACAGTGTAATGTCTTTCTTTGATGTCCTACAAACTATGACAAAATCTTATGGAGAAATGACATTTTCAAATGCAGCAACTGTTGTATGGAATAACTTGCCGGACTATCTTAGAAATATAGAAACATACGAAAAGTTCAGGAGTAATTAAAAACAAATTTATTAAGTGATTTGTAAAATCTCTCAGTTTTGAACCCAGTGCACCATTTCCACTCCTTCTGTATTCTGTTATGAAAAGCCATGCCATTATGCCTATGTGTAAATGTGCTACACACGAACATTAAATTATTATCATTAGCGTCTTCCATCCTCCTGTATATTTCCCTCAGCTTACTTATAATTGGTAGATTGAAACCTTGTAGTTTTGAAGCAGCAGACAGCAAGGAACTGTCAAAGAATCACTTGGGTGGAGATAGTCCACATGCAGGAGTGAATGGTAGCTTGCCTATTAAAAATGATGAGCTTTGTAGATTCTTAAACAATTAAACTCCGGGTTATACCAAACCAATGACATTTTCTATGATTTCATACCATTTCAACATTTTGTCATCATCCTTAATCTCTCACCTCTTCCACTTTGCAGAATATCGAACATTCTCGGAGCATGTAGGTACCCGTCGAATAACCAGCTGGGGTCTACCCATCACCCGTGGTGCTGCAGCAGCTCTGATGTTCACCTACTCTACTCTACTCGTCACAGTGTGCCGTAATACCATCACTAAACTAAGAGAGACTTTCCTCTCCCACTACATCCCCTTTGATGCTTACCTTAGCTTCCACAAGCTGGTAGCATACACGTCACTCGGATGGTCAGGTAACTACTTTCCCTAGCCTTTTGGGGGTGTTTCACAAAGATCCTAAGTTGAACCTATCTCTAAATTGAACTTAAAAATTATGGAAAGCCGTTAGCAACTATGAAAATATTTAGTAAAAGTTATGTTATAACGCATAAGATGTTGATTCAAATCATTCATATTTTCTATTATTAAGGAGATTTCATGTTCTTGATGTGGAATTTATAAAAAGTCTGATACTTGAAATCTTGCTTTTGAATATATTCAAAATAAGGCTACAAAAGGCTCTCCATAATATTTAAGTCCAACTTAGAGTTCAGTTCGACTCGGGATCTTTGTGAAACACCCCCCATATTTGGTTTATTTTAAACAAACGCAGAGCCATCTATATCTAGAGTTTGGCCAACTTGTTTGCAGTTGCTCACACCATGGCATATATATTTGTGTTTTTGTCCTTGCCCAACATAGCAGTATTTGTCATTGTGTGTCCATCTCGAACGGGGTTGGTCAAACTCTCCTAGCTAATCTAAAACGCTGAACAAAGCCACCCCTCTACACCCTCTTTGTTGCCATGGTAATATCTTTGAAGAAAATCGTCCGGAAGACATCATTCAGTAAGGACCGCAGAGCAATGTAAAAAACAGGTTTGATTGTTTCAGATGCAATGTTATATCAATAGAAATCCAAGATGAAATGGTCGATGCTAAAACAACACGAAGGGAATACATGTACATTGATTATTGTGATAGTAACGGTGATATAAGGATAGTTGAATACATGCAATGATAAAGAGTATTATGATCTTAGGAAATACCCTATTCATGATAATTATTTTCGTGATCTTTTAAGAAAAGTCTTATCATTATATTCCCACTCGTGATGAAATGTCTGATTGTGCAAACGAAATGAAGATGTGAATTAAAAAGAAAAAAAAATTCAAAACATTTTTCTAATAAAAAGTTAATGTATGATATTGTCTTGCAGTGCTTCATGCGATTGGTCACGGTGTTAACTTCTACCACCTGTCGACCCAAGCTGCTGAAGACATGTACTGCATCTTGCCTGATGTGTGGTTCAGGTGAGCTCTTGAGTGGGAACAGGGTGAGGGTCTATGGGATTAATGCAGGGAGCTCCGACGGGGGGGGGGGGGAGTGTGCCCCGGAATGAATGCAGAGTGCCCCTAGTATGGGGTCGGGGCTCCGGGATGAATGCAGGGTGCCCATAGTATGGGGGAGGGGCTCCGGGATGAACGCAGTGTGCCCCCAGTATGGAGTAGGGGCTCCGGAGTGAATGTAGGGAGCTCCGGTATGGGGGGGGTGTTGGTATGGGGCAGGAAACTCTGTTATGGGGTAAGGGTGCTTCTGAATAGAGTGAACTGGTTATTGTCGGTGTCATCAGTTTCTCAAAACACTATTTATGCCAACAAATATTACATCTACTGTTTGTGCCTCCATGAATATTAATACTCTTTTTTCATAGTTGTAGGCAATATTCAGTTTAACACGCAAAATATTGTACAAACTATCTCGCACCTTGAGTATGAAGTATAACATATATGAAATGAAGCATTCCATATCGCCATCTTAATATGATTAAAAAAAAGTAATTCATCTTTCTGTTTTGGTCCGTACAGATCGCATGTCTTCCCAAAGTTCCATCACTGGATCGGAACTACAGTTACAGGTATGTTTGGAAATTGTTTTTTCATCTGGTTCAAACATTGTAATTCCTTAGAAGTAAAACTTATACAAAATAACTTGTTGAACCACGTCGAATTTCTACCACCTATAGGAAATTTACCTTTTTTCCTCAAAATGTAAGTACTAATGCAGTGATTTTATTATTTAGTGAGAAAGAGAAAGGAACAAGTAATGTGTTACCATTACCTTAGCTGAGTAAAAAAAAATCCACCCCCCCCCCCAAAAAAAAAAAAAAAAAAAAAAAAATCACAATGAGAGAATAAGTAAATGATCATCCGACTCTATTATATAAAACGAAGTCCGTATATATCATGGTTATTCTGAACGATGTGGGTATAAATCATCGCGACTCTATGCAATTTAAATAATACAAAGATAATTATTTAACGGCGGCATGAGGATTTTGATAAGTGGCACCTTCAAACTTTTCTTACTAAAAGGCTCGTTCAGATATGCCGCGGTATACAATCGCAAAAAAAACACGTGCAAATGAATGGCAAATGCGCGCATCAAAGGTCGTGCTCGTATTCACGGAGCTCTGTGTTATAAGATACAGAAATGCAAAGCGTATTGCACTTAGGTCTTCATTAAAAATACCGCAGCGGTTTTACCGCTTCATAATATCCGAACGAGGCCTAATAGGTAACTATTCACATCAAGAGGATTTTACTTTTATATTTTCTTGTTCATTCTCCATGACAGGGGTGACTGCAATGGCACTGGTGATCGTATGCACCATCATTTTCGTCTTCGCGAGCCAGTACTCTCGACGTCGTGTCTTCCGACTCTTCTGGATGACCCATCAACTCTATGTGGTTTACTTTATCTTGATGACCCTCCATGGTTCGGCCAGACTCATTCAACCCGTGTCTTTCTACTACTTCTGTCTTGGACCGGTCATCCTATTCACCCTGGACAAGATAGTCAGCATCGGCCGAAGAAAGGTGGAGATCCCCGTTCTCCAAGCAAATATACTACCATCAGGTTTGTTTCTCAACACGAGCTGTCATATTATCAGTATGTTTAAACACCGATATATACATATCTTTGATGAACAAGAGATGGAACTTTGGGAAATTCTCCGGACTTTGAGGGGGTGAAAGGTATCTGGGAAACCCTGTATCCCACCTACCCACTTCTTTGACTCACACCTTTAAACAGTTGGTCATTCGCCGACTCCATCCTAAGCTAGAAACGCCACAGACTAAGGACATATTCCATGCATATGCTTTAAATACCCACTACCTAAACCTTTATGATGAATATGTTTAATATTTTACAGATGATGAGATCTGTTTTTGTCTATGTCTTAGAAAGCCTGAGACCGATCTGTTATGTACTTATGTGAATAAAAGAACTCGGATTCGTACCCAGGTCGATTAAACAAAAATGAGAGGCCTCAATCGGCACATGCCACATTCCATATTCCATACCCAAAATGACATACTTTCAACAGACCAACGCAACAATAAAGTTCCCCTTATTTGAAAACTTGAAGATTTTGCCTCCTGATATTGAAGACCAGTGAAACAGAGTTGACTATGGAACTAACTCACCTTCAAATAAGTTCATGTCTTTATACAGCTGGCTTTTGATAATCATAACATACTAACACAGGCCACTTATTTATTTTACAAACCACAAAAGCCTTCATAATGTTGACAAGTTCCTAAATAAGTATTCACGGTCCTTCTTCATAGTAATGTGTTCTGATATACGTAATAGTAAAACAAACTATCTATCATGATGATTTGAGATATAATTTGGTTTTATTTAACTCTAACTTTCAGATGTTACCAATCTGGTGTTCAAGCGACCATCCACCTTCGAATACAAGTCTGGTCAGTGGGTACGGATTGCTTGCATGGTTCTAGGAGGTAATGAGTATCACCCCTTCACCCTGACATCAGCTCCTCATGAAGAGAACCTGTCCCTTCACATCAGAGCTGTAGGACCATGGACAATGAACCTCAGGTCCACCTATGACAGTAAACTGGTTCTTGGAGAACCACTCCCTAAGGTAGGTAATGGTGTCAACACTAAGAACAGAATCAGTTAAGGACAACACAATGACACACACAACACTAGAAAGACCGACATCATTGGAAACATCATGTCTCACATCACACAGCAAACTAAAAGCCTCGCAAGTCGACGCAAACCACCACAACACGCAAACCACCACAACACACACGGGTACCAAGCACCACACCTATAAACGCCAAGCACCATACGCATCGCACCACTCAACTCACAAATCAACGCTAACGCCACTACACACACTAACACTAAACACCGCGCACGTCAACGGCTAACACGACACATGTCAACTCCAACCACGACTACACGCACAAACACCAAACGAAGGGGATATACAAAGGGAGAAATGGAGAGGAAGAAATGGATCAAGATAAGTCATGTCATAATTATGATCGAAGACAGAAGAGCCGAGGGGATAAGACAAGACAATGAACTAAGTACAGTGAAATAAGGGAGACAAGACAAATTTGGTCTTTGTAGACAGGAGGTCACTAAAGCAGGTTTGAATGTATATATCTCTATATATAATATAATATACGGCGAGGGTTACAGAGAAAGAGGAAACAAGAAAGGGGACAGTTGGATTAGAGAAATAAAGAGAGAGACAGAGAGAGAGAGAGAGAGAGAGAACAGAAACGGAGATATAAGTTTCTGAATTCTTTCTTTTCAGATCTATCTTGATGGACCCTACGGTGAGGGACATCAAGACTGGTATAAGTTTGATGTAGCTATCCTGGTCGGAGCTGGGATCGGAGTCACACCATTCGCTTCCATTCTCAAAGACATCGTCAACAAGTCAACAGGCAACTCCAAGTTCTCATGCAAGAAGGTACTACAATGATACCCCACACAGCCAAACCCATAATATGTAATGTCATACGTGGGTTCGGTTCATTATCGGTCGGATGTCGGTCTCATCAGACCTGTTTTCATCAGCTCGAGATTACCAAATAACCCGCTATTTTAACTATTCCGATCGCAAATTATCCAGCTAATTTGCGTCTTCATCAGTCCGCACTTACAATTAGCGGGATATTTGGTTGAGACAATCATCCCAAGATAGTTATGTTGGGCCAGTTTACAAAATATCCCGCTATTTGCCCGGTGCGTCTTCACTAGAAAGAAGACTCGCACTATGCGCGAACGCTGAGCAAAATATATTGAGCTAATTTCTCGAGCTCGAGTCTCGAGCTGATGAAGACGCAATTTGTAACTTCGGGCTAGTTTCCCAAATCAGAAATAGCGGGCTGTTTGGCAATCTTGAGCTGATGAGGACATACCTGTTGATGTGACTCGGGTACAACCATCCCTCTTTTCAACTACTACATGGATGAGCGAGGGAGGGGGAGGGGGTTACTTTAATTTTTTTTAGTGCATTATGGTTTGCCTCTGTTATAATTATGTGAGCTTTGAATTTTTAAGAAGCTCTCTACACACTGAGGCCCCAATGCCTCATGAAAATGAATGCCCTCCTGTCAACATCTGAGTTTCAAGGCTTCAGTATAAAAAAACACAAATCATTTTTGTTTATCTATCTCTCCCAATCCTTTTAAACAGGTGTATTTTGTGTGGGTAACTCGTACTCAGAAACACTTTGAATGGCTAACTGAGATCATCAAGGATGTCGAAGACCATGATACGAATGACATGGTATCAGTCCATATCTTCATCACACAGTTCTTCCAGGAATTCGATCTCCGTACTACAATGCTGGTGAGTAGTGGCTCATATATATATACAGTCAAACCTGTCTATAGCGACCGCCCAAGGAAAACACAAAAAGGGGTCTTTGTAGACGGGCGGTCTTTGTAGACAGGTTCCTTCAGTGCATGTTTCAATGAGAAACCATTTTCAAGGGAAACAAAAAATGTGCTTGTTGTAGACAGGTGGTCTTTGTAGACGGGTGGTCTTTGTAGACAGGTTCCTTTAGTACATGTTTCAATGAGAAACCATTTTCAAGGAAACAAAAAATGTGTTTGTTGTAGACGGGTGGTATTTGTAGACAGGTGGTCACTAAAGCAGGTTTGACTGTATAACACGATAGCAACGACTTTCAAGAAATCAGATTTTCAATACGATATTGCCTTTATACATGCATGCCATGGAAAATAAAATTTTATTCGGATTACGTGACGTAACACCGTAAAACCTTACATTTCAAGAGGTGACAGAAAAGGATAATGGAATGACCCAAGAAAGATTTCTCGACCGTCTTTGCGATCATATCTATTTACATATTCATGTAATTACTGATCATAGTTTAAAGCTAATCTTGAGCCCTGGCATGGGAATCGTGTTTTGAGAAAAATTGCTATGATTTATTGTGGATTGTTTATCCTGCAGCAGATTGTTTTTTTGAACCAATTAAATAAAAACCAACGCAAGAAATCTTACTGGGTATCATCTTCGAAAAAACCACAACTCTCATTTGCACATAGTGACCTGTGTTAAAGATAAACTTGAGTTCTGGTAAAAAAAGAAAATGAATTTTCACAGAATCTAACGAAACTTACACTGAATGTTCAAGATTACAAATAAATGTCATGTGCCAAACAATTTTGGAAGAAAATGTATACTGGCTGAGTAATGAGCATAGAAAGATAAGGAAATCAGGGTAGTACTAGCCCTGACACCATGTGTGTTGTCCCATATACATCTATCTGTATAAGTGATTGTTACTTTACCAAGACTCTGCCAAATTTATGATGACTTTGATGACTCTAGAACCTTGCATTACACACCTTTACTTACATGCTATATGATCAACTTTTCTGATCCATTCCACACCTTTTCTTTCACAATGCAATCGCATTACCAGTACTCAAGTTTATCTTTAAGCACATGGCATCAGGCCTAATTACCCGGATTTTCTTATCTTTATATGCTCATTACTCAGCCACTATACATTTTCTATCAAAATTGTTTGGCACATGTCACTAAGTTGTAATCTTGTACATTCAGTGTTTGTTTCGTTGGATTCTCTGAGAATTTATCTTCTTTATTTACTAGAACTCAAGTTTATCTTTAAGTGGAAGAGCTACTATTTTCCCCCTTTTTTCTCTTCTTCTAAAATCATAATACATTATTTGTCAATTATAATATGGCGTAATCAATGATTACTTGGGCATGGAGAATAGTTCAATCTGAGAGGTGATTTCCCCTCTATTCGATCCTCCCATGTCGACATTTGCAAAGTAAGAAATAGAAAGTGAAATTGAAAGACTTTTCAAGAATAAGCCTTTTGGTTACATATAGTTTCACTGAATGCTTTTTTGCACGTCCACATGTTGCCCGAATTAGAAATGATGACTCGTCCAATTCAAATCAATATTACAAATATATACTTGTGCAAACGTATTTGTTTCCTATGGAATATAATCCAATTAATTGATTGAAATATAATACTTCTGAATAATAGATCGTTATGTTTTTTTAATTATAAATATGAGGCAATTGGTACTGAAAGGATGACAGGATGGATGACAAGATATAAAGTTCCTTTTCGCTTTGATGTCAAACTCCACTTTTCTAAATTTCCTTCCCCAGAAAGCAAAGTCATCTACAAGTTTTAAATTCAATATTTAATATTTAACATGCATACATTCAATAAATTCGCATCATTTTGCATCATTTCAGTACATCTGTGAGCAAAACTTCTACAAAGTTTCGAGTCGATCTCTGTTTACTGGTCTCCGATCAGTAACTCATTTTGGCAGGCCAGAATTCTACACCATGCTGGAGTCCATCCGCCAGAATCACACCGAGGTATATATATATATATATATCATAACATTTCCTTCATTAGGTCGATGGAAAACAGTTTGAACAGGACGTGTGTATTAAAGGGCGCTCGAAACTTGTAAAAGGCCCAAAATGTTGTATTAAATTATAATTGAAAACTTTCCCAGAAGTATGCTGGCAAAATATTAATTATTAACAAAATTCAAGTCACTTTGCATTTTAAAAATTGAATTTTGTAATTGGCAGTGGTTTATTCACCCCATTTGATTATGTTGTGTATAACACTGTGTTTCAGTTCAATATTGCATAACTTTGTCTATTATCGCCTTATGATTCAGGTGAAGAAATTCGGTATCTTCAGTTGCGGCCCTCTTGGTATCAACAAAGCTCTCGGGGTCTCCGTCGCCGAGATCAGGAAAGAGAATGCCGGCATCATCTTCGAGCTCCACAACGAAACATTTTAAAGCGTTATCGAGTTCGTCATCGACTTCGTTTGATAATCTTGGCTTGTACAGCAGGACTGTCGCTTGATGAAGTGCAGTGTTCAGGACGATCAGAAGCTCACGATGATGATTTGAAGAAAGATAGAGAGGGGGAGAGAGAGACACAAAGAGACAGAGAGAGAGAGACAGAGAGAGAGGGGGGACGGGGGTGGCGGTGAAAAAGACTAACTTTGCCCTATTTATTAATGTTCTCACAGGGGTCGCTATGGACACATGGTGGGGGAAGGGCTGAGGCGTACGTAGGTCACAGCCTATTTTTAAAACAAAAATCAGTTAATCTATACATTTTCAAGGCTTAATATGTAAATGTTGGTTTATATTACATAACTTTGGAGGATTTGTTTGAAAATTGATGCCTAATCTGTTGGCACATAATTATGATGAAACACCCAACGTTTCCCATTCAAAATGGTCTTGCGATACCTCTTCTAGTCCCTTATATTGATGTTATAGAGATTGGTGCTTACCTACATCTAAATGAAATGCCTTATCGGTTCATTGAACACATTAAAGCAAAAATCTTTAACGAGGCCATATCAATGCAGTACTGGATCAGCGAGCACATTGTATGTCCAGTTTAGAACGTCACAACCGCTAGAGATGGCGCTAGTTATCCAATTTAATTACAGTGTGACGTCTTCCTTCACCTTTCACAGTTTCACTGGAGTGTACATATATTGCATATATTGTATACAAATGTACATAATTTACGTCAGTCATTTGAAATGTAATAATGATATGTCGAAGTACTAATGTTTATTCAAGAGTTGTATTTAGTGATAATTGATAAATATACACAAAACTTGAGATGATTATAAAAAAAAATACTGCAATTTGATGATTGTGAAATTCTAGATGATGCTAGACATGCTAGATTACTTAACCTTCGTTTCCGTTCCTTTCTCCTGAAAATCGGTATGGGTACGCCTCAACAGCTAAAGCGCAGAATGTTATTAAATGAAACCAATATCTCATTCCTAAATTTAATTGTTATTCCTTTCTTCACATCCCAAAATCATTTGGATGCATCGTTATTTTGCCAGGGTTACATACATCGTCGGAATAATGTCAGTATAGTGACCGTGTCTCAAAAACAATACCCAGATTACGAAAGCAAAGAATAAACAAAAAGTTTTGAGGGGTATTCATCACATGTAATAGTTCATTTATGAAAAATGTACATTTAATAGATAAGAGTACGTATCGAGTTCAAGCAGATATTGACTAATAACTGCTGCTATATATTTGAATATTTGTAATTGTAATAAAAACATTTCATAAGTTCTTAAATTCGCTGCAAGTATGTCACCACGGTTATAGATGCTCGTTGGTTATTATACATTAGATATCACTGTTTGTAAAGCAAATACGTTTCTTATCAAACATTAATATTTGTGGTGATGAATGAAGTCTTTCAATTTTTTTATTTCTAAGTTCAGTTTGAATTGTACAAAAAAATCAAACAATATAAGTTTCGTTATTTAAATACAATTAGAACATCCAAAACATCGGAACTAACATGATACATGTACAATGAAAAGCGTAGAAATAAATTGGAAATACAATATTTATATAAATGACATATATGTTTTACCTATAATTATAAATCTAGAAGGAATTCCATAACCTATTATATGCCGTGTTGGACATAAGAGATCCAACACAACATGCTTATATACGTTGAAAGTGTGATTAGGTACAAATAATGTGCAGAGCTTTTAACTATTCAGTGTTTATAGAATTTTGACATCTTTAAAGTGTTTATTTTTTGGTTTCTGCGAAGAATTACTAATGGATGAATATTCGACACGAGGAATGTTGGATATGTGTAAATAATCTATGATCCGGTTGGAACACAAATTTGCTTTTTGCTCCTTAGTGCATTTACATAGCGGATATTAAAACTCGGTCTTAAATTGCTATCGTTATTTACACGATTCTTTTTTATCTTTGTCCTTCTTATGTATGTATAAATTTGTTTTGGGGAATGATTTAGCTCAATATTTGCTTTATTGCTGTATATCTTATGACTGTGTCATTAGATTAAATTTATCATTAACGTAGTGCAAATATTTGCTATGTTTATCGGGAGAAGTGTTGGAATATGGAAGTTTAACTTTATGAGCGCAAAGCATAATCGAAATACATGAACGTGTTAGGACATGCATTGAGTTTATTCCAGTTTTTTTTACCAATTAACGTGTGTGTATGTGTCGCCAAAAGATTGTTTAAAATAAAGAGCCATTCGTTTTAGAGAAGAAGTACAAACTTAACCTACATTCATCGTGTTTTAACCTATTTCTGTACTGTTTCATCCTTGAACACGAGTATAGATTGAATGGTAGGCCTGATATAAATTGATAGCCGCCGAGCAGCTATTATGTTATATCCTTATAGATAACAGTACTCTGTTGAGAGTCGGAAGGGCTTTAATCTTCAGTTTAATAATACGTGTTAACGTCCTTCTGGCTCTAAAAAGAAGAAATCATGCGTGCACTAGGAAGGGTTATCGTCATTTCACCTCCATTTCCTACATGCAGTGTGGAAAATCCCACTTTTATGACAATAATCCTCTGTGTCAGATACCACTGTCTGTTCATTGCCAGAAGTGGTGTTGGCTCAGTCTCCAGAGCTCTTCCTCTGGCTCCAAATATTTAAAGTATGTTAAAGCCTTTAGCTTCACTCTAACAATTTAATCCTTAATCTCACAATCTACTCTTGCAATTATATCCCAGAATGAAAATCAAAACTCATTTTAATGTATGTGAAAAACTGGAAGAAAAACACAGAGGTTTCCTTAAAAAAAAAATTGACTCTAATCGATAAGCTCGTGAATTATGCAAGATACTGATTTCAACAACTACAGTTAAAAACTAAAATGTTAAATCATCATGTTTTTAGAGTGTACATACTGAAGGGATATATATCTAGTCCTGATTTAAATGACATATAGGAATGGGGAATTGCCTGAAGTTTAGCTTGAAGTTTAGCTTGAAGTTTAGCTTGAAGTTTAAGCTACACGAACACTCGCTTCCTTCGCCTTTTCTTGTGTATAACCTCTGTCACATTTATGTAGTGCAATCAACATAATATGAATGTAAAAGAATGAGCAGCCCCCCCCCCCCCGCCCTCTTGTTTGCGGCCATCTTTAATATATAATTTACTTGGAGAGGTTAGGAATGGCTTCCAAAGGGTTCCTATAAAGCAACAAAAAAGGAAGATTGTACAAGACATGCAGGACACTAACCTACATCTCAACGTGCCGTAATAACCAACTATTGATTTGATTGTGGGCAGCGACGGAAAGACAAGACAAGACAGGGAACATGTCTGGGGGAAAACGAATAAAGAATAAAGACGTGGATGTGCCTCAAAGTGAGCGAGACACAATACAAAGGGGATTTTCCCGTTCATGTACCCCACTCATTACGCAATCTGGCAGTTCAGATGACTCATGATCGACGTGGGTGGGGGCGGGGTGGGGGCACCGACAGTTTTAGAAAGCCAAATAACACGACTGAAGAAGGGCTCAGATAAAATAATTATCGTAACGTAAGAAATAGTATAACATTTGTTTTAAAACGGAAAATTAAATTAAATTAACCGGAATGGGGAGTGGATGCTTCTCCTTTTTAATAATTGTGCGCATTAAAATTTTGTTAAATACATGTATTTGCAGACAGTGGACATAATACACTTTTCGCCTTTTAAGTTTTTAAGAGCACTAGGGTATATAGACTTGTGTGATTTCTGACTGACAAGACATTTTGATTATCTGTGCAAACATATGAAGATATTTATTTGGAAAGCGGTACATGCTTATCGAGAAACTGACTGCTATGTAGAAATTTAAAGAAAAAACAGGCTGCGAGTCTTTTTGAAATAAAACATAATTTGATGGTAATATCCACCTCGAAAGGGTAGAAGTATATGGATGACGATAAGTTGGTCAGTAATGGTTTTAATATAACTGCACAACAAAAGTTATTTAAACAAATCAAGCGTCCAGATAATGTTATTATTCTCGCTCCCGTATACTTTTAATATATTGTACATTTGGTGCAGGCCTAGTTATTTTTCTATGCTTTCTGTTGCTTTATGACACATAAAGAGTTAACCCAATAGGTTTTTAGTAATTCCATCAAACCAGGATTCAACTGCGATCTCATTTAAATGACCTTTACGGAAGTTACTCGTCCAAAAAGGAAATAAAGAGGACCGCTTTACCCTAGCGCATTGATAAGTAAGTATAGCGGTGATCCGGTCCTGTACTTTGCAAAACCACCTTCTTTGAATATTCATGAAAGGCGTGGCCTGAGTCTGTTCACCGTGCGATTGTCTGGTATGTAAGGCTAATTAGCATATGGTTGCTCAACTGTGAAAGAGGGAGAGCTTGTTGAGAGAGTCAAATGGTATTGAATTGAGTGTTATTAACTGGGTAGAATATAGAGTGAATATTTTCTCAGCGCTACAAAGTGATCAAACTGGTTTTAGTTTGGTCCCGCAGTGCTATTGAATCGACGCTGTATTTTGTGTGAAGATTCGTGGCGTTCATTTTCTGACGCCGACATTTTGATCTGTACTTCGCGTCTCTTCCCGACATAGTCCTAAGGCAAGGTTCAACAAAAAGTCGGTGATAGGAACGTTTGATCATGACTCCTCGTGATCTACGGGGACCCATTTGCGTGGGATTGCTGCTGTGTATGATCGCATTATGCTCAGGTATGTTGTCAAATTAATTATGTATATAGGTATAATCACTGCATATTAATCTTACCGCATAGTATCCATATCATTAAACTAAACCTGTGCCAAACTATAAGTTACTACGGTGACGATAGTATTCAGTGATCCAATGTTGTATTCTGTCATTTCATATCTCGATTTATAATCTGTATTTTGTTTGCAGATTGCTCCATGTTATACATATTGAAATAACGTTAACTTTGTAAAAGTGAAGTAAATCGTATATCATATTTCTTTAGAGCAGGGTGACAAGCAAGAGGACAAGTTAATCTTCATGTATCGAATGTAATTAACATTATGAGAACGTGATTTTTTTTATAGAGAGTATTCGGAAGGATGAGAGTATATATGACAGTACATTCAAGAATGTCTCTGTATATAGCATATATCGGGAGTCGCAATCATAGACAATTCAAAGTATAGTTTATAGCTCAGTGACGGTGAACCATAACGATTCGTAATATTATAGATTGTCGTACGTGTAATAACAAGAGAGCGAAGAAAAATACCATGGTCTATTGACATGATCAGGAGGGTTGCTTTTCAAAAGAATATTTGCAAGTACTTGAATCAGTGTGTTAGCAATCGCTGAGGTATAGACACTCTGCTGTACGAGGCGGGCACATTCCGGCTTGGTAACAGACCAGGAGCTGGTACTATGAAAGTTGAAGTTCAGCTTCAACTATGGTCTGCCAAATAGTATACCGTGCTACCGGGGTAGGTCAACTCTCAAAAGATTCATTCAAACCACTAATTTTGAGTGGAATTTACTACAATTGGGAATGAATGTATAAGGAAGCGATCCTTTTTAAGACTCCTATAAGAGTGAATTTTCCGCTCTTTTGCACTACGAAAGCAGCACTGCCGAAAAAGAGTAAGAGATATTAAAGAGAACAAAATATGGGAATTTTAAGAAAAAAATAAGGAAGTTAAGAAGTCAGTTATTGATAAGGAGTGAAGTCTTGAAACTATGATTGAAAGTTCCTGATAGATACAGTACCTACCATTCTATTTGTACTCGAAAGGATAACCATGTATTTCTCGATCTTTCTTGGGAGGGGAACTTTAAAAAGTGCAAACGAAAATCGAAACAATTATCTAGTAAAACACATGCATGTAGAAAACGCATTCAGATTAAAATGGGCGGGGCGAGGAAGGTAGGGATTTAGAGATGGGAAAAGAGAGGGTTGAAAGAGAATGAAGGTAGGAGAGGAAGGAGACAATGGGAAAAGGAAGAGGAATAAAATAGAAGCAGAAGAAACACAGGCAAAGAGAGAGGAGCATAATTTGGAATCGTTTAGAAGAGTTGGTTAGAAGAATGGGTCTGCATGTTTATAGCATGGGTATGCATGTTTATAGCATGGGTAAAATAGAAATATAGAAAAATATCAGAACAACATTCACGAAGAACGGAAGTAAAATGTATCTGAGTCATATAATGATTGTTATTATTATTTGCATCTTGTCAAGGCTGAATGCATGACCGTGGTAGTTCAGAAAACAAATAGTCATTGTCGAAACAGGCTATAGAAAATGGGTTTTCACGGGTCACGGCTTTTAGGTAATACATGTAACAGTATATAAGGCCGGCCGATACCTATGCATAATGGCGACCAGTGGAGTGGATACGGATTAACGACAGAGCAAGAACTAAACTTTATTATACACTGTATATAGTAGTGAAGTACGTCATATTGGCGATGCGAACAACCGAAACGATGTCTTCTCAATATAGAGTGAAAGGGATTAAGCAATATTGAGCATCATTCTAACACTTTTCCATGCTTTGTACAAGTGGAAGGTAACCCGAATAGCCGAACAACACCCGAAACGTTCCGATCGAGTGAGTTCTCGAGCAAGAGGCGTTTCGATATCACTCGGGTGTTTGTTTCGTTATCAAAATGAGGAAGTAAAAACAAATCACGGCAAGAGAAACTAACCGCCGTGGAGTCACGTGACTTGACATACTTTCAGGCATTCTTTTGGTCACATAAAAGCTTTATGACTTTGATGATGATTAGATCTATGGAGAGTGAAAAGCACTTAACAATTACAGAAGAAAACCTAACAAAAGATGAGAATGGGATATGCAAAAAATTCTTTTACATACCAGAGTTTTAAATCAAATTGTTTAGCAGTGCTTTCATGTTTTTAATTATCAAAGATGATGAGAGTTTCCAATTTACAATCGCAAATTTCCCTCTCAAAATAATTCGCACTTTTAATATAGAACAAAAGGAACAAGGTGATAATAAAACAGACTATACTGATCTATTTATGAAAGTCGCCTTGATCGTTCGTTATAATTATGCAGAGGGTTCGTAGCATATCAGAGAAGCATTTATGAGGTTCGTGGTGGAAACAATGGAAGCTTTACATGGAAGCTACCCCCAGCATTGCTGAGTGTATCACCAGGGACTGCCCCTGCTGGTGATACCAACAAGTTGTAGTATCTCTTTGGTGATACATGGCAGATCTATGAGAATACGTTACAGCATATTAACAGCTGTTTTGGATACCTGGGCCCCGTCTTATAAAGAGTTACGATTGATCCAAATCAATCGTAAGTCCTCCAATCAATCGCAAGCTACGGTCTCCTATCTCTTATGTACGTACATGTAGTTGCGATTGATATCAACTCTTTATAAGATGCGGCCCTGGTAACCATTAATTTTTAGTATTAAAGTCATGGTATATTAGTCGTATGCTCTGAAAGATTTTGTGTATGATAATTACAACGGCAGCTTGCAAGTGAACCAGTCTTTGTTTCAAATTCTAAACTGCTTGAGATGAATAAAAAATAGTCAGTTACTGAAAATGTATGCATCAATCAGTTATAAGGTTCTACCCTTTTGTCCGAGTTTGGAATTAAACAACCATTTGCATAACAGGGTTAACGACAGTCGCCGCTCCCGCGACAAATGCTACCACTCCCGCAACAAATGCTACCACTCCCGCGACAAATGCTACCACTCCCGCGACAAATGCTACCACTGACAATGCAACAGAGACAACAACTGCCACACAGCCTGATAACACTACCACAGGTAAAATGGTGGATCGGTTTTCATCCTCATAACCAACGATAATTTGCGATATATATGCACAGCATAAATAAATGTGACTTCTAGTATGGGGACTTCCTGGTTCAAAACGGAGCCACTACTCTGGCGCCCTCTGAGGTTCTTTAGTGGTTTTACTGTCTGTTTTTAATTCCTTTCAGCAGAGTTCCGCTTTGCAGCCTACTTTTGTTAGCGTAATGCAAAAATTGGTAATGTTATTGGAACTCTATTTCTGGTTATCAATCAGTCTGTCTTCATATCCTTATCTCTACCTCCCATACATCTATCTAATAAGCTATCTATTCGGATGTTATCATTGTATTTATATTTGCATGTGTCATATTTATTAAAGTTTCCAACTCATTGATTTATCTATATCTTTCAATCGGTCTGCGGTTATTCTTTCTTTATTCCTGGATGATGAACTACACCTCAACTTTCGTTCGAAGCACTCTCCAAAACATTCGTTTCCTGAGCAGTGTTCTTCTCTTTATCATTCTTTCAGCTTCTCGGTTGGCTTGTGGTTGAATCTCAAGTAGTCTGGTGAGAGTCGGAAGGTCTTAACTGTCAACTTTCACAAACAGTTAACACCCTTCTGGCTCTCAATACACGCAACGTCGATTCAGTCGTATCATAATTATGTCAAGCGGGAATATAGATTATCATGAATATAAATGTGGGCTCTTTCGGAAGGAAGAAAGAAATATAATCAAACTCGCAGGTGAAGGGCAAAGTCAATTTGTAGAGATTTCGTTATCGTTGAAATGTTGCATGTGTAATTGTTTGTACAGTATATTGATGTAGGCAGAATGAGTTGTGTAGTTGTCATTTTAAGGCCCCACTGCACTATTTGTAGCTATTTGCGCCCTCTATATAGCAAACAATGCCTAAGCGGTACCCGTTGATCACCAATGGTCTCCTTTTTCTTATGTTAATTGAGAGCTGATTTGATGAGATAACCACCTGCCAGTGACCTCGCAGTGACCTCGCAGGGATGTCGAATCCGTCCATGCCAAACTAGTGCGGAGGGGCTTTAATGGTTTAAGAATTGTTAGTTTGTAATCAATGAGGAGTCGTTTCATTTTATGAAATGATATGAAAAAGATATTTAAAGAATGTAAAGTACAAGTACGTCTGGTGATAGTTGGAAGGTCTTTAACACCAGTTCTGGCTCTCAATACACGCAACGTCGATTCAGTCGTATCATAATTATGTCAAGCGGGAATATAGATTATCATGAATATAAATGTGGGCTCTTTCGGAAGGAAGAAAGAAATATAATCAAACTCGCAGGTGAAGGGCAAAGTCAATTTGTATAGAGGTTTCGTTATCGTTGAAATATTGCATGTAATTATTGTTTGTACATTATTTTGATGTACGCAGAACGAGTTGTGTAGTTGTCATTTTAATGATTTAAAAATTGTGCGTTTGTAATTAGTGAGGAATCGTTTCATTTTATCAACTGATAAGAAAAAGATATCTAAAGAATGTAAAAGTAAGGCTTTATATTCACCACTGCATTTGTAAAAAGCTCAATGACAAAAGTTGAAAATAGATTAAGTTCATAATAATTAATATATTGATCTAAGACACAATACATAACATCAATAATACACCCCCTTGCCCTCACATAACTCCCAAAGTCTACTTTTCTGTAACACTTTTGAGCATAATTGAATCTTCTATGTATAAGTGTTAGGAATCAAGTTAGCTGTCCCTTTTCATAAAAAACCTATATCATTATCGCTACTCTCTAAAAGATACCCGCTGATTTTAATTTACGGTTGACTGTAAAACTCACAGAAAATCAGGTTATGAAGTGTAAAATAGTTGCACTCTACTTTATAGTGAAAAGGGGGCCACACCTATTTTTATCCCACCCTTTCTCTGAGCGGAAAACATGGATGAGGAGGAATTCTTAGCGCTTATACAATGATGACCCCCCCCCCCCTCAATAACAATTTCACACCCATACACCATCTTCCCAGGTAAGTGCTATTAGTTACCATTGATCTGACATGCGTCGAAAATCTACGTCGGTCTGGTAAATTTTCGGGAAATCGGTTCATTTTGTTCTTACTTTTCAAGACGTTAATTCAAGTGACCCTTAAACCCCACAGGTCAGACAACAGAGAATGCTACTACGGTCATGATGATGACCGAGGTCACAAATGGCACCACGGCCGCGATGATGACCGAGGTCACTACGGTACCGACGCAGACGGCCCAAGGCCCATCAACTGGTATGAATACCAAGAAGTTTCATCGGACCCGCATCCTGGCAAAAAAAAAAATTAAAAAAAATCAACAAAAAAAAAAATCATCGCATAACGAGCTTTACTTGTTTACTAAAGCCACCGGTTTCTCCGCCATGTTCGTCTTGTACAACCATTTTAGATTTGCATGTATAAACGCATTGTCTCTCATGTTACAAATTACGTTGGCATTTATGTTTCTGGCTGCAGCTGAATTTAAATCAAATCGTGTTTTTTTTTTTTCTCTGACATTTTCATTTGTATCCATCAAGCAGGAAAATTTGTTCTATCCATCACCTCTATACAGGATCAATGGAGCTTTATGTAAATGGTATTATAGATATGACTGCTATGAGAGGGATAGTTGTTTTTAAAGGCTCAAGGGGCCGTTACATCCGCCATCATCCCGAGGCGTGCCGAGGGGTGATCGCAGGATGTAACGTCCCCGAGACCCTATAAAAACAAATATGCCCCGAATACTAAAGCAGTCTTTATATCTTTTTTATAACAAAATGACACAAAAATCTACCAAGAATTCTTACTTTATCCTTTTCTTGAGTAAAGATTGGTTTAAACATCACAGAAAATCTGAGACACTGTCTGTTAATCTTTACTATTTTCCTGGTACCCAGAAATCTTTCGGGAATCTCACTCATGAACTATTAATCGTTACTGGCTTTGTTCGTTTCTTTACGGTAATGGCTAAAACCACGACTCCATTTTCGACCAATCAGATGGCTAGAAGAGAGGTATTCAATATGTGTTATAATCATGTATGGGCATATTGTATGACATATTCTCATTCTATTACGTGTCATCCTTATACCTCACGTATTCTATTGTATTTGATGTTCACATTGTAAAATCATTCGCTTTGTTCACATCGTCAATGCGTGGGGTACGTTCACATAATACGACGTTTCCCTGTCGTACGGGACGAGAAACCTATATAGACCGAAATAGTCATCATCATCGTTTCGTCGACTCTCATGCTAACATTATCCCATACATCATCTTATACATCTTGGCATCTTTAACACTCTCTGTTTATTCATGAAATATCGCTCTTTCCCCTCCGCTATATGAACTTTTGTATGAACTCTTCCGTTATCATGTTAAATTTGTTCTATTGTATTTTTCTTGGTGCCTGAGCTTTCCCACAACCAATGTTTTTTTCCCCGTTTCCCTCTCTATTTTTCTAAATATATCATGCATGAAATAGCTAGAAGCAAGGTCGTGTATCAAGCTTTTTCTAACATCAGGCAATCTCCATAGCATTGTTGTCGCTTAATGTGTTAATATATCTGAAAAATAAATGACATTATCCGGGGACATTTATTATAGAATATTGTTAAATGACTTATAGTCTATCAGCTACCTATTTGCATTTTCAGAAATGTGGATTCACAAACGTTTCCGTCTGCCGTTTACATTTCCCATGAATCACTAAACTTAGTACGGAATTATATTTTAGAAAATGTATGTTTTTAATGTGTTCTACAGATACAATAAATTGTTTTCAAAGGAATTGTTAAAAGTTTACAAATAAAATATATGTATATATACAGTATACAGGTATCGATGGTGAATTCAGCGAAATGGGAATGTGTACATTTTAACTCTAAACGTGGATGGCACCTTAAAGCTCAATATCCAGTGGAAAGGGTGTATATAATTTGCAACTATTAATTTAATTTTTCTTAATTGTTCCCTCTCTGACTCTCTTGTCGTGATTGTAGCCCTTGCATGTCTGTTTGTCGGTTACTCGTTCTCTGCTCCTCTCTCTATCTCTCACTCTCTCTCTCTCCCTACCCCTCTCTATCTTCTCTCCCATCAACCCTGCAGCTGTCAATTTCGAAATTAATGTTTGTAACAAGAATAGGAATGTCTTATCACTTCTGCCTCATTACGTGTTCGCCTGTCACAACAATGGTATGCTCCATTATAATTATGAACCCTAAAGCAAAACCCTATAGCATTGGTGTATATTGACAAATCAATGTCTGAGTGGGTCTTTAGATCACTATTGGATTCTAAATTATATAAAATTGTTTATGTATAAGCTAATTATATTAAATTCCATGTATACAAGCACCATGGAAAATAAATATGATATTTCGTCGCTGTTTTCAAGAAGTGACGGTAGTGAAAAAAAATTGCATTCACTTTGCGTGACGATTTTCCTCACTACCGTCACTTCGTGATAACAAGGACGATTTGATCGATCATTTCGGCTTATATCATCTTGATTTTCTAATTTCAGCCCAGACTACTTCGTCTACTGACCCTCCCGGCACTACCACCGCTCCTCCCGTAACCACCCCGGCGGATGAAGATGAGCCCATCGTAAACGACAATGAGCTGCTTAGTAAGATTCTTTTTCTGCTTACTTCTGATGTTAGGTACTTTTACAGGAGGTATCGTTAAAGCTCAAGTCCACTCCAAAAATAAATTACTTTCAATAGAACCAGAAAAATCAGACAAACCAATCAAAAAAGGTTTGAACAAAATCGGATAACTAATAAGAAAGTTATGAATTTTAATGACATAAACAACTTTGAAAATCACTACACAAATTGGCAACTCACTCATGAGTCTGTGACGTATGGTCCTCACTATGCGCTTATTATTTTCTTTATATTGATAATGTAAATTTCCTATTTTCACCCTAAGAATCCTCTTTCTTCACACCAGCATCCAAGTCACATTGTTAGTAATATTTTTTATGTGTGGATGCACAAATAAAGAGTAATTTATGTCCAGTTAAATCATGAAGAATTGAATTTTGATAAACTATTTATATAAAAATCAATAATTATGAAATACAATATTCAGAAAATAGTATCAATTCTTCAACATTCATAAAAGTTTTTGTGAAATGTCATGCACGCAATATGATACAAATGATATAACCTGGGCAAAGGCATGGGGAAATCGGGAAAAGGGAAATTAATGGGATTTTTGTATTTGTATTTATTAACATTTATTTCCTTCTCAACAGCACAATATAAAACACAATGTATATATACATGATATATGTAACAATTATTTCAACATAGAGTATACAGTAATTAATTCAGATACGGAAGGAGGCGAAAACCCGGAAAGCGTAGCTTGAGTTGGGAACGCCCATAATAAATTAACACAGTTACCGAAAGAACATTATAGACATTATTATGAAAATTACATTGTATATAACAGAACGTTGATAGGAAAGAAAAAATAGTGAAAGGAAGAGAGGAGAGAATTAAGTATAGGAAGGCATGTTCACTTATAAAGAGAAAGTTACATCAATTGGGCTGTACATGTGTCTGCGATTACATCATAAAGATAACGAAGTACAATTGTAAAATAGACAGCGGGTACATATCATTACAAACAAGCAAAATCATCAAACAGACAACAGCTTTATCCGACAGCATTGTCCTGGGAATATACAGATGGTACTAGCAACAAGTTATCAAAGTAAATAAATAATCGGTCATACAAAGATGTCATTAAATTCCACAAAAGATCATTTCACACATAAATACAAGAGAGGGTATCAATATCGAGCAATTAAATACATTTTTGCCTTACGGGAAAAAGTCTGCAAGGAGAGCGATTTGTGTAGAATAGATGGTAAGGTGTTCCAAAATTTTGGTCCAGAGTATCGAATGTCAAATTGAAATCTTCGGTTCTATGTTTAGGGAGACGAATGTTGGCAGCGCTTCTCGTATTATACGTATGGGTTTCCGAGTTGCATTTAAAATATATAAAGATTAAACTATATAAAGCAATTGATAAGTTGTGAGGACATGACGTCACAAACTGATAACCATCTTGGCAAATTGTGTTGTGATTCTCATTGTTCCATAGTTTTACATACTTTTTCAAAAATTCATAGCTTCCTTATTAGTTATCCGATTTTGCTCAAACTTTTTTTGATTGGTTTGTCTGATTTTCCTGCTTTTATTGAAAGTAAGTTATTTTTCGAGTGGACTTGCCCTTTAAGGCATCTTTAAACAAAATCAATGAGAGGTACGGGGCAGGTCAGAGCAAAGTCACGGGATATTGAGCCGAAACAGGGGGTCCTCAAACTTTTTAATTTGCAGAAGGGGTAAAAAAAAGATAACTACAAATATATAAATAATTTTGTTTTAAACCCAGTAGTCAGATTTTATCTGTGAGGCATACGTTGGGCCATTTTTTTAATTATCAAATGTGAACGCATAAAACGCTCTTTATGATGATGGTAATGATGATGATGATCATCATCATTATCATCATCCTCATAAGGAGAAGGTGGAGAGGAGGAGGAGAAGAGGAGGAGGAGGAAGAGGAAGAGGAGGATCGAGAGGGGGGGGGGATGGCTTAATTATTCTTTCAAAATCGGGTTTAACAAGGAAGTTAGTCTGGGGTCTAAGATTTACTTTGGTCAAAATGTGATAGACCCACGGTCTGGTTTAACTGAATAGATAATGCTTTTACATAAAAGGGTCTTATTTCACAATATGCTGTGCTGTACGTTTGTTTTAAAAACGAATTTGACATACCATGTTTTTTGTTATCCCCCAGGATCAATCGGAGCTTTTAAGGATGATAGTCATTCTGAGCCAGAGGGTTATGACGGCTGGTACAACAACCTAGCTCATCCAGACTGGGGTGGCGCAGGTAAGAATGACTTCAAGAAAAATAAAACCTAACTAATTTTGGCTAATAGCTTGTTGTTGTTGGTTTCAATGGCGTTTTCCAACGTCGTTAGATGATTTGTTGTGAGCCAATTAAATTTGTCTTGAAATTTCTCATTTTATTACTTAGCAAGGGAAACAAGTTTCCTGTTTCCTTGCTAGAAGTTTCGTACTAAGGCTATCGAATAAAATGTGTTTGGTTTAATTTTCATTTATACCTTTTTTTCTGTAGAATGGCTAAGTATTACTAAATTTGCATTGTTCTGATAATGCAGAAAGACACATTTAATCAGTCAGTCAGTCTGTCAACAGAAATAAAGAAAGGAATACTCAATTTCTTTGTTGAATCCGGGAGAATTAATTTCTTGATGACACACTTTCATGTAATATTGGTGTTTTTCAGAGTTACCTCTAACCAGGCGTCTCCCGGTGAGCTACGCAGATGGTGTATACGCCATGGCAGGAAAGGACCGACCCAATCCGATGAGCATCAGCAAAGCAACCATGCAAGGAGAAACAGGACAACGATCTCATCTTAGGAGGACAGCTCTCATGACATTCTTCGGTAAGGCAGGGCTCCATATTGGAATCAAAGAATATTATCTTCTCTTCGGATTGACACTGAAAATCAAGCATTTGAGTAGAAGATTAAAGGATGATATGATAAATACAGTGATGATGATGATTATGATGATAATAATAATAAGAAGAATAGAAATGATAATAATGGTAATAATGATAGTAATAACAATAATAACAATGATGATGATGATGATAATAATTATATTAATGATAACGATAATGATAATCATGATAAAAATAATAATAATAACGATAATAATGATAAGGATAACAATGATAACGGTAATCATGATGATAATGATAAAAATAATGATAATAATAATAACAATATTAATGACAAGGCTGATCCTTCCAATATTCATTACACACGGGTCGAGAGTTTGTGTTGTTGTTGTTTTTGTTGTTGTTTTTTCTTAAGAAGAAGATATACATATATATATATATATATATATATATACACGCATATTATGTTAGTGTATATACGTAAATTTGAATTCAAATTTTGTTTTTATATTATTCGGCAATAATGGTCATAAACTGACTGACTTGCCTAAATTTAAAAAAAAAGAAAAAAAGAGGCAAATGCAGATTAATGTTTCTCAAATGATATAAAAGCCATTATTTCAAGTCCTGCATCTTCAGTTAGTGCTCAAGCTAGTTTAAAAAAAAAGGATCACAAAAGAACAATGAAGGGGTTAATAAAGTGTCATTCTTTCTCATTGCTTCTAGGCCAACAGGTAGTAGAAGAGATCTTAGATGCCCAGCGAGGAGGGTGCCCCAGGGAGTATGAGAACATCAAAATTCCCGATGGTCATGAGTATTTAAAGGAGAAAGAAGGCATCTCCATCATGCCTTTCGTCCGATCCAGATATAGTTTCAACACGGGCTACTCACCCAATGTACCACGTGAACAGGTAGGGAAAACAGTAACCCAGCAACTCAAACATATCATAATTTTTATAAGGAACATAATAATATCAGCTCATCAACAGTGATCTTTGGATGTTATATATTAATGGCAACAACTTGATACACAGATAATTATATTAGACCAAAATGCATTCCCCACCCCGCTTCTCAAGTTCAGACGATGCTGCCCATGCATTCTGCACTCTGTAATCAATTGTGAATCGTCCTCCTGCCTGGTTTAATCCTATCAGGGGGTGTTTCACAAAACTTGTCACCAGTGACAAATGACAGTTGTTGTTATAAGCTACTGAAATCCTTGCTTCTGATTGGTTATCAGCAGATTGGTCACTGATATTTGTCATTTGTCATTGAAAAAAGGCTTTGTGAAACGGGTCTCACCTCTTGCACCGAATATTGATTGAGATTATACTGTTGTGTATCTATCCTTAGCTGAACGAGATCACACCGTGGTTCGATGGCGGGTTGGTGTACGGTACGACCAAGGCCTGGGCTGACGCCCTGCGATCTTTCAAAGATGGTAGACTTGCAGACAATGGTGAGATTGGTGGAGAACCACAGTTCCCCGAGCAGAACACCCTTGGACTACCTATGGCTAATCCACCTAACCCCATCGCAGAAGGTGCTGCAAGGCTACAACGCTCCGAGCGTTTCTTCAGTAAGTAGATTCCTTCAACTGGATAGAAATAGCAACGATTAGTAAGAAAATTAAGGGGGCGTAGGTCCTGTTCAGCTTGTGGATATAGTTGGTTTCGAAAAAAGATGTTCACTTTAAAACCACTACGTGAAAAATTATGGAACAAATCGGAAAGAGATCATAACGAAATTGGAATCACTACGAGGGGATCAAATATCCTTTGGCCCTCTCTTCACGCAGGAGATCAGAATTCTGAGTCCCGGTTCCGGGAAGGCCTTTTCTTCCCACTTATTTAAGAAAGTCTAAAAAATTATCAGTTTTACAGTGAAACGAGACAAATTTAAGGTAACCTAGAGGGTATGAAACATATTGAGACTTTAAATAGAGGTACGATGAAGGTGAATACATTGCCATTTCCCCATCTAACACTTTTCCTTTTCCCTTTTATATCTATTTAAGAACATTATATTCTGAAGTGGAAATTATACATATCAAATCAGACAAATTAAATAAAAAGTAATAAAGAGTAAACTCTTAGAAGCTATGTTTTTTTTTGGAACAAGTCTTCTAGTAATCTTCAAACAGCTATTCAGCCCATCGCGAAGAATAAACTAAAGATTGTAAGTGGTGTGACTGTGAGGGAGACAAAAGAGGTTTATTGGGATGGGATAAAAGTCGATCGATGCCTAAGGAGTAAAGAATCATGAATCATGTTGTCTTTTGTTTACTACAGAGCTAGGGAACCCCCGTGGAAATGAGAATCCATTCCTGTTGACCTTCGGAGTACTGTGGTTCAGGTGGCACAACTACTGGGCAGATAAATTCAAAGCTGAAACAGACTGGGAAGATGAAAGGATCTTCAACGAGGCCAGAAAATGGGTCATTGCTACATATCAGGTATATATAATCATCAATATCGGGAGCTCCCACATAATATGCTCTGGCAATATTTTATCTTGATTGTGTAAATGAATTGCAACTGCGTCCAACAAAAGGCCATGCGCGTGTGTCATACGCCCGACCCCCCCCCCCTTTTTTTTTATCATACCGAACGAGTTTCTATATAGTTACAACGGTCATTTATGACACTTATGTTGTTATTATGTTAGATTGTGTAACTGAACATTAATTGTGTTTTCCAATAGTTAGATCACAATCTAAAATTTAATCGTTCAATTGAAGCTGTTATAATTTGTCCAGTCTATTCGATGGTAGTCCCAAACTGGATGTTATTTCGATAATTACATTTGATTTAATTCCTATTTTAAAGGGATTACTGAAAAAGCTGAATCCATTTTGAAATATGTTTGTTGTTGCATTTGTAAATAACAAATGTTGTTAATGAATGATCTTGAATCGTATATACTATATAATGAATATGCCAGGGTATGGAAAATAAAGACCCAAAGTTTTTTTAATAGGCCCTATCGGAAATTTTATTTGTAATTCTATTTGTAATTCACGACACGTATAAGGATAATTCAGACCGACCCCCGTTAAAAAAAAAAATAGGTCTGATATTAGCATAAACGAAGGCTTCATGACGTCATATTTAATTGTCTGATCTCTTTTTACCCCAGAGTGTTGTCTTTTACGAGTGGCTTCCTGGATATCTTAACCTTAATGAAAATGAGACCGCAGAGGTGGAATATTCAGGTAAGAATCTTAATCTGCTCAGAGCAAGAAAGACATTAATCGTCTTTCTCACTATCAATAGACGTCATATTGTCTGCATTTTGTTTAGTACATACTCTTATGATATTGTTGTTGGCTGTATGTGCTTTGAACATTTGATTGCAAATGAATTTGGCGCCTTTCAAATCTGACTTATACTTTTTAATGTCTCTAATGCTAATGGGTGATATCGTAGTATGATTTAGTCAAATCGGGTTCGATTTTAACACTTAATTTCGTATTCAATTTGATACCTATCCAATTTATTGTTATTGTTATTTATTGTCTATGTAACTCTACGTACACATTTACTAAATACTGTGGTTTGTCAATATTTTATGTAGGTTACAAGGGATACATTCATCCGGGTATTACTCACGAGTTCCAATCGGCCGCGATGAGATTCGGCCACACACTCGTCCCTCCTGGTGTTATGCGCAGGTTTGTGTGTAGCTAGATAACTTTTATTAATTTTCTTTGTTTCTTTTTTTCCTTTTTTGTGTTCTTCTTTTATTTCAAAGGCCCAAAACGTTAACTAACAACTACCATGTACTTGAATGGGCCTATTGTGCTCGTGACACATGTAAAAAAAAAAGACATGGTCTTGAGTTCTTTGTAGATCATTATTATTTCACTGTTATTATTGTAATTAGATTAATAATCTAGAAATCAAATCAAGATTAAAAGAAACATGATCTCAAACCTTTTCAAAAAATCAACCCAGTGCAATTTAAATACCATTGTGTCACCTTTTGAAATAAGTGAACAGTAAAATGAGATAATTATTACATACTCCGATCATGATTTCTAACGGCAGTAGAAAAGGGGAACCGAATTGCCCTCAAAATTATTTCTCGAAATTCCTTGCAATCGTGTTAAAGAATCAAAGACAAAAAAAAAACAATATAATGATTTCGAGCCATCCACTGAGCGTACGAACAAGTTTTCAGGAATCCGGCAAGATACTAGGCTCAGCCACCAAAACCCAATGGTCCATATGCCAACTTGCAATAAACTCCGGAGTATAATGATCTATTCTCAGGAAGCTGCTCACTTTAATGTTATTTCATACAAAATAAATCATTATAATCAAAGTGTAAATCAAATTATAATTCCATGTTTTCTTCTTCTTGTTGATGTTTTGTTTTTAGGAATGAACAATGCGTCTTCCGGACCTCGACCATGAAATCCTCAGGCTTCACAGAAGATCAAGCCGAGTTCGATTCATCGCTAGGGAACCACGGGGTTCGAACCTGTAACTCCTTCTGGAACCCACAGGTTAATAAAACGAACAATAAATTAGACTCTGTTACCTTCCAGATGAGCGTTCACATATCACTTAACAAAGGATTAACGAATTCTAGCTTTTAACAACCCCCTGTGAACTTTGCCTATTTAGATACAAATAATATAGTTATTAAATCCCCAGAACGTCATATAAAGAGGCTAGGATTTTTTTTTTTTTGGGGGGGGGGGGTGGGGGTGGGGGTGGGGTGAGGGGTTGAGGAGGGGGATTGGGGAGTGGTTTAATTGTCAGGTTTGAATTGAATTACGCACCTGAGATGGTAGATCTACTCTATAGTATTGCTGTGAAACAGTAAGTTAGTCACATTGGTAGATCAGTTCTATGTCATGCGGTTTTGATCTTGAGATATGTTAGAAATTGAAAATGTGATGCGAAACTTTTGTGATTTGGCACCCACGCAATTGAAGACAGTTGAAATAGTTGATAAAATATACTAAAGTCACTATTTTCCCTCTGAAACACATTATGACGTGCCCTGCTCTTTTACTCACGTAGAAAACTATTCCTTTGTCCGTCCTGTTCCTTAGCTTTCTGTTTAAGTTCATGTTCAGCCAGTGATGAAAATCTACCATTTTAAGAAGCACCATACCCAATGTTTGTCCATCAGAGGTCAAACAAAAAAACATTTCTAAGCTCTTAGCGTTCTCCCAAGTTCTACTGACGATCAAAATACACAGTACCTATCTCCAAAGAAGACATTTTATGATCATAAAGGATTGCGAGATTTGAAAGTTATCAAATTTTAAGAATTACGAAACCAGTTCTCTATTCGTCCAATGAGTTGAAAAACATAACATGAAAACAGGGCAGCGATTCACGAATGAAAACGGGGCAGCGATTTACGAAACACTCGTAAGTACACGTTCAAAACATCACATTTAAACACAGATTGTAATTAACGTGTGTTCCAATGGGATGTCGGCAAACCTGAACTGTTAACGGTTTCGTGAAACGGCGCCAACGAGTGAATTATTTTTGAATGGAATGTAATGATCAATTTTTTTCATATTTTTGGTTGCAGCACTCTGTCCGAGAGCATGACATCGAAGAATTCCTTCTCGGAATGGCCTCCCAAGTCACCGAGAGAGAAGATAACATCATTACTGAGGATCTACAAAGTAAGTTAACTTCCGTACTTCTGATTACTGTTTTAGATATATTAGAACATTTACGTATTGATCTATCAAAATTACAACTATCCCCGTACTTGAATCGAACTAATTTTGATATTCATTATGAACAACATATGAACTAAATACCTCATTGCATCACGCTGATTGAGTGGGTAGCGATGCATTGTCACATGTAGATTTGGGTATTCTCAATTCTTAGACTGGACAGCCCTTTTGCGCAATATATTTCCTAAGAATCATATCCTGTTAAGAGTTTGTCAGTTTTGTATAGCCATGAATGTAGTGATTATTGATATCAAAACAATTATTACCCGTAGCATTTTCCTTATTTAACGTGATGCGAATGCAGAATTTGAAGTTTATTTATCCACATCCTATCTGAGAGGATTTAGCCAGTGACGTATCCAAATATTGACAATCAGATGGGGGAGGGGTAGATATCGATGGGAAGGGTAGGTATTTTGGATTGGAAGGGGGCGTGCCTCCTGGGGCCATAGGACGAGTAATATCTTTTAAGCTTAAACCATAGTTGTGGGGGGGGGGCGCGAAGGGGCACCGCATGCTGAATACGCCCCCTAATAACGACATCATGATTTTCTCTCTACTGTTTCCAGGGCGTGTATTTGGACCGTTGGAGTTTTCTCGTCGTGATCTGATGGCGCTTAACATCCAGCGTGGTCGTGACCATGGGTTACCTGATTACAACACAGCTCGTGTCTCACTCGGAATGGACCGAAGAGAAACCTTCGAATCAATCAATAACGCATCAGCCCATGCAGATGGTGTTGAAACATTCATCAAATCGGATGTGAGTCATAGAAGTTTTAGATAGTAATATCACCGAACTTAATACTATATTATACAACACCTACGTGGATCCTTGTCATTTGATTGGAGGATTGTTGGTCACATGATATTCAATAGATGTTATATTGCACGGTCGTGCATTTTTGGTTATATGCGCTATGCATTTTTGGTTATATGCAGACTGCGTACCTCTCTGCCGTGCGCGCGCGTATCCCTGCGTGTATCTGACGCGAAGGCAATCTGAATGTAATTGAGAAGGCTTGACTCCAACTTTAACATTAATATAAGGAGTAAAGCATAATTTGTTGATTAACATTCTACTGGATCTCCTTCGATGTTGTATAAAACAAATAATGAATGTCTTTCATTCGTTCAATGGTGCGAATATTTTCATTCGTTGAAAGATTAACGTTAATTCTATTCAATAGAATGTTAATCTTTCAACTCATGAAAATATTCGCACTATTGAACTCATAACCATTCATTAGTTGTATGAAGGGGTGACCAAAGTTCGCGGACATTTTAGAACAGCTTACAAAATGTGATATTCGATCTATGATTTCTCACATTCTACACAAGATTATTTATTTCAATTATTACCAAATGGACAGCAAAGTTTTTTTACTACAGATTGGTTCAACTAGAAAAATTTACCGTCGAAGGATTTCGGAGATATCGCGATCTAAAAATTCGATGTCCGATCGTGCGTGCGCGCTGCATCTAAAAAAGTCATAAAAACAATGAGACCTAACTTCACGCAAGGTGGTTTACAGTTGATTTATCAAAAAATGCGATCCATCAAAAATAAGGTAATATCATAATTTGCAAGGCAAGATATCGTACAATCAGTTAGTACCACTCTTTACTTACAATTTTTAGGATTTCTGATCTCAAAATGAAGATTTCCAGACCCTTATCGGTAAGTTGATAATTTTTCGGAACGGACGCAAATAACTGCAAAATTTGCCGATCTTTTGTCAATATTTTCACAATTTCGCACCCAATTCTAAAGAAAATTTCGTTTCAGGGTAATTTTATGACCCTCTTTCCATTGGTGATATCAGATTTTCGAAATCTTACCGATTTTTTGAGAAAGCGAACTTTGGTCACGCGCGAACTTTGGTCACACCGCCATATACTAATTAATGCAGAGGCGTAATAAGAGACTGATAAAAGACGGGGCGGAGACCGTACGGACGGATCGAGGGCACGGCATATACTTGGGCAGCCCTGTGTGAAATACACAATGCATTCCCTTTTTAAAGGATTCTACAGTTCCGGTGGAATAATCTGGAAGATGGAAAGCGATCTAGAGCGAAAGCTCAACAATATTTCCAAGAAAGTTGAAGAAAGAAAGCAGTAAAACTGGTCGAAATGAGGAAGATGCTCGAGACAATAAGAAGTGGAGGAGGGATTTTTATCATGGTGCAAAAGTCAGTAGCCCCTTGTACATGTCGTAAGAGGAAAAAATGCTAAAATAATGATGATGATAACAGAGTTCTAAAATATGAAAAATACATCCGTATATTTATCATGGCTTAAATGTTTCGTTTGATTGATAGGTTTTGGATAATCTGGCCAGAGTGTATGAGAATGACATTGATAAGGTAGACATCTGGGCTGGAGGTCTATTGGAGACCACTAGCAATGGACCAGGAGAACTCTTCAGGTTCATCATTCTTGATCAGTTTGTGAGGTCAAGAGATGCTGATCGGTTCTGGTTCGAAAATAACGTCTCTGGGTAAGACTCTTTTGTTTAAATTATTGTAACTCAATTCTACATCACTCTCTACTTTACCAAATGTTATTTACTGTATCTTCCTCCCTCAACCCCCTCTTCTTCCCTCCACCCCCTCTTCTCTCTCTCTCTCTCTCTTTCTCTTTCTCTCTCTATATAATATATGTCACCGAACTTCCCCTTCTCTGTTTCCCACTCCCACCACTCTTCTCTCTCTCTTCATCTTCCTCCCCCTCCACTCTCTCTCTGTCACCGAATTTCCCTCCTCTCTGTTTCCCACATCCACCACTCTTTTTCCTCTCTCTGATTCCCCCTCCTCCCCCTCTCTCTCCCCCTCTCTCTCGCTCTCTCTCTCTCTGTCACACTCTCTACATCTTTGTTTAAATTTGTTATCAACCTTACTTGTATATTTTATATAATTATATATTTGTTAAATCTTTCTCTTAACTTTGAAATATCACACCAATATCACATTATAAAATGTCTCAAACCCATCGCTCAGTTTCAGTTATGTTCTCCTGTTTGCCACTTTCCTCTCTTGTAGCCAATTCACTAATGATCAGATTGATTTCATCAAGAAAGTTAAATTGTGGGATATCATTGTAGCCTGTACTAACATCAACGGATCCAGTCTACAGAAAGACCCATTTCATTACACGCCAGGTAAGTCAACCAGTCAGAGGTCATACTCACCTTTTATCTGTCTCACGATTTATTTAGCTATGTAAGCAACTCCTAAACGATGCATCAAAAGAGTTATCATTCTTGTCAGCTTCCCAATTTCTTCAAAGTACTTTAACCGACAATTCTGACATGTTTTCTCTTTCTTTTCATATCAAAAATTCCTGGAAATCCTCACTTGGCCCATCTCAACAGCTTGTTGCATCTCAATGCTTTACACTGACCTCGTAAAAAATTCTGAACATATTACAAGGCGCTACAATATAAGATGAAACGGCCCTAGAATAGATTTCTTAAAAAGTCTTTGAGACCTTGATCACCTATTTGATAAACCTATGTTAATACATGACACCTTGACCCTGTTTCTGTCTCTAGATGATCCTTGCTATGACCAGCATCCATTCGAGGGGGAGAACCGAACCATCAGTGAAAATGACATGGAAAACTGTACCAAGCTCCAAACCTTTGACTACTTCGAAGGTAGTGAGGTGTCATACGCTCTGTCCTTCCTCGCCCTCGGTATCTGGGTTGTAGGTGAGTAACGTCACTGGTGACTGATATTCTTGACGAGGAATGAAATCCAACAAAACAAAGCCAATCATCCACTAGCGATACTCTTAGCAATAGATAGGTATACACCTCTCTAAGAACATTGACTGTGGTATGTGGCATTGTGGAATCCTCCCAAAACGCACATGCTCTAAATCTGTCTGTCCAAAATTTGTGAAAAGCTGTAGACCAAGACATTATAAATAGAGAAAAGGGGAGGAACAGATGGAGTAAAAAAAAAAAGGTAACTTCAGTCTCACCAATATTCCTACGTCTTCGCATCAACGGGAAGAATAGATTAAAGTATTATATTTTATTAGAGTCTCAGTTTAAGTCTTCATAATTATATTAAAAAAAAGGATAATGAATAAACATGTGATTGAAATTGTTATATTTTGAACCCCCTGTGCCTAGGTGTTGTGGCTGTTCTGCTCATCTTGGCTCACATCAGGCAGCATAGTATCCAGGAAGCTCGCAAGCTACAACACAGGAAAACTAGGTCACGTGATCCAAGTAGCCTCAAGACCTATGCAGGTAATTGGTCCTTATACGAGAATAGTGTGTCTGTGTGCGAGTGCTTTAGATTTCTTTTATATTGGAAAATTTACGTGTGGTATTCACCATTATATTCTGTCTCTATCTCACTTTCTGTCATGTTCTCTGTCGCTCTTATTCTCTGTCCAAATAATAATAATAATAATAGCTAGTTCTTATATGCTGACTTTGTCTCCGTCTTTTTGAGCATTATTGTGATCAAAAAGAGTAATGAAAACAATGAATATCATCGAATAGCAAAATCTTGTATTATCACTGCATGACAGTTTCATTATAATAGAAGACACGATGTTCCTAATTTCTTTTTTATAATTAACAAGGAAATTACTTTTTGTGCTTTGACTATTTATCTAGCTGCTGAATGGTGCGGTAAGAAAGAAGGATCGAGACAAGTCCAAGTCAAACTTGGACCAGGAAAGAAGATCCGAATCACGAATGAGCGTGGTAACAAAATCTTAAGAACTGTTGACCTCACCCACTACACCAAGGTAAGCATTGCGATTCTGACTTCTTTGCCCTGCCCTCACCATCAACTTCGCTCCCAAATTTAACCGCACTCAGGTGGCGTTTGCTTAAAGAACCGATACTTTATACTTTATACTTTGTAATTATGCTGCATTATTGTAGAGCGCTTAGAGACTTCTGACAAAGTAAGTGTTAGGCGCTATATAAGCACTGTAATTATGTATTTATTTATTTATAAAAGCTAGTTGCTATCGCAGTATTGCAGAAAATCGTCAGTACAGATTAACAAAAGTGTGAAATAAATCGGTAAAACGGTGAAGGGGACAGAGACGTCGATTGCTTTTATTTAAGATCATTGTTCTGCGACCACTACGAGACCTTCCTTAAGTTAGGTTCTTCTACATTTATGCTCCTTCTATCACGACGCTTCTGTGAGATAAAAGACTGACATTACTAGAGTAAAAATGTAGTATATATTTTATCATTTACGTAGAATTAGCATTCTATCTCACACTTTCTTGTAAATCCAATCAATCATTTTTTTTTGCCTTTGTATGCATTTGTTTCGTTACATACTTTGCATAAATCATTATAAGCGCAAGCCCTATTAATGAAATCATGACGTCTACATCGCGTTGTTATTTCAGGTCGGTTTACTGGTATCCCCTGACGGTAAGCGTCGTCACCTGGTCGTCAAGTTCGATCGCGAATACGACATCGTGTTGAAGTTCTCTGACCCCGATAGCCGTCTGGAGTTCATCAGCGACTTCGAATCCTTCCTTGGCAGTGAAGAGGTCGGTGTTGGACGTGAGAGGCAAGAGATCGGAGAGAAGGAACTTCTCAAGGTTGCCGTCACCAAGGAACATCGCACCAAACTTCTTGAGAAATTCTTCCTGATGGCCTTCTCCCAGGTATGTTATGAGGTTGTCTTGTTTCCTTCCCTGTATTTTGAATTCTTCCATGTATTTTGTTTTCTTTGAGGGCTTGATAGATCAAGACTTTCCACTCACTGCTACACCGTGTTCTGTGCCGTTTGGTAATTGTAGATCTATAATCAGTGTTATTGTGTATAGGGATCGTGCGGTTCTCGAGAATATCCTGGCTTTATATCTATCCGGCGACTGAAGATCTTAAATCAATCAATGATGTTATTCCTATGTTAAACATTTGTCTACACTCGGGTCGAAAGAGACAAATGAAGTTAAAATGCATTGCCTCAACTCTATCACCGTAAGTCGAAAGAACGAACTCTATCTGCAGTGTCCTTACTAATATACAATTCATACATGAACTTAATAATGTATACGAATATTCTCTGTAAGCTATTATGTCTTGTATCCAACTTGTCTTCAACTTCTTCATCGACCTTTTCTTCTGTGACTGAACAGGCCTTCAAGCTTGACTTTGACCCTGAGAACCTGGAGAGCCTGAACAACAAGGAGACCAAGGACATCCTGGAATGTGAGCTCACAAAGACAGAATTCGCCGATGTTCTTACCATGAAACCCGACTCCCTCTTTGTCGAACAGATGTTCGAGCTCGTCGACCAGGACAACAGCGGATCAATTTCATTCAGAGAGTTCCTTGATGTCATTGTCGTCTTTGCAAAGGGTAAAATATCCCCAAACCCTTTTAATTTACAATGATACATAGTGTCGTAGTTATATTCCTGTTCCCTCGCCCATGAATGATTGCAAGTGTTATATGAGAAAACAGAATGAATTCTTATTATCGTAATGTCATCATCACGTCAGTAACAATGACCTGAATGAATGTCATGAGATGTAGCCCCTAAACAGAAATCCGATAGAAACGAATCTCAATGGTTGACCATAATATTTTTCGTTTGTAATTTAAGGTATTACCTAGACCAGCGGATTTTGTATTGCTGAAAGATACAACTTGGCAGAAATGTTATGATAAACCCTAGCGATTCCTTTTGAGACTTACACCTTGTTATTATTCTTACCGTTTCCTCGATTAGGACAACCTGAAGACAAACTGAAACTGATGTTCAACATGTATGACATCGACAGGTCTGGTCATCTATCCCGTGAAGAGTTCAGGCAGATGTTGAAGTAAGTTACATATTTCTTGTCTTTTCTTTCCGTTAATCCACACCATTAAAGGAGATAACTAGTATCCTTCCAAAACAATCTAATCAATTGTTTGACTTCAGATGTCCTTGGGTTAAGAATTAGAGATGATAAGGTTTGCTCACTTGGCAAATTTTTGTTTTAAATTTAGATGAATTGGTAGACATTTTGTAAGTAAGGTTAAAATTCCTCCATTTTGTACGAGTTCATCTACCTACCGCTCTCCTAGTTCTAATGTTCGATGGTAATAAATTATCTTTCTAGATCTATGATGGAGATGGTGAGTGCTAGCGTTGAGGAGACTGATCTTGACAAGCTGATCCACGATATGTTCCAGAATGCTGGCCTTGGAGACAAAGAAGCACTTTCCCTGGACGACTTCATCGCAGTCATGGCTGAACATAAGGATGAGCTAAACAATGCTAAACTCGACATCGCTGGTATGTCATCATTTTTTTTCTTCCACTCATCATGAGCTGTTGAATATTATAAAAGAATATTAGTAATTATATTATCACTTTCGTTGCCTTCACTATCACTTGCATCAACCTCTCCCCCTCTCTCTCTCTCTCTCTCTTCTTCCTCTTTCTCTCTGTGTGTCTCCTTCCATTACTTTCACTCTGACCCTCACCTCTCTCCCTGGCGATACTCCATGTATCGCACCTCAATCTCACTACCGTTTTGACTCCAAACCAACACTAAACTAACCCGCTTCTAGGCCATTCATATTTTGATATGTTTGATATGTTCGGTCTGTTTCCAATCTGGTGTTAATCGCCTTAGTGTGACGGAGGTGTTCCCCTTGATACTTTGAATAAACAAAGATCAACTACTAATTCAAATCAATCAGAATCACTTTGATTTCACATTCACATTATGTTTACCCCCTTGCAGGGAACATTCCGCAGATAGCAGGTCAGAAGGATGCTGGACCCCCTGGTCGTGGGGCTGCCACCGTCATCAGGAGAGGCAACCTTAACTCCCGTGCCCGACAGACTATTATCCGAGCTTACAAGTGCGTTAATAAATCGATTCAATTCAATTCAATCTAATTATTTCCAATCATGTCCGTTGTCTGTACAAATACACACTCGAAGATTTTTCTAGACTTGCTTGTTGTTAAGGTGTATCACACAGTTGAAACATTTTACAAACCCATGGAACAAAGCTAACAGAATAGACCGTTTGGCCATTGACAAATAGTCCAAATTATTTGATCAATAATAGTCTATTATTGATCAAATACAGGAATATGACACCGAATACAAGAGAATGCTTTATTCCATTAGACTAAATTGGATTGATCAAAGAAAAAGTGTCAGATGTTTGAACGATTCTTCACATAACCACACAAGAATCAGTCTACTGATTCCATAGCACAATCATTGGCTACAGAAGACAACGTCGTTTTTATCAGAGGCCGTACATTTTTACTGAATGCTATTGAAATCTGTATACATTAATGTCTCTTAAACCTCTTTGACCTGATAGGGACCGTGACCAGGCAAGTACCAAGGCTAACGGAGCAGCTAAGGGTGCTGGTGGTAGTGGTGGAGGGGTGAGGAAGCGTGCCCAGTCTAAGAGTGTCCGCGTTGAGACAGTCCAACAAGAAGAGGCTAAGACTCAGAGCAGCAAGGCTTACAACACAGTTGTCCGCTTCTTCGAGAACAACCGACTTCAAATCTTCTACGTTGTTCTCTACTTGCTTGTTCTAGCTGGAGTCTTCATCGAGAGGGCTTATTGTGAGTGAACATGCTTACTGCGTGCGTAGTTGTTTCGTGTCATGGGAAAGATATCCGCTATTATTACATAATTGGATGTGAGAACTTCAATATTATAACACTCTCAAACTTCCCCTGCCCCATGGAAGAAAAATAACATTTATAGCTCAAAACAGTTCATGGCCTTTTACCCTGGCCAAATAGAGGGACATATAACATTTCGAAATCCATTTGTAATGGAGTTGTTTAACTAACCCTGTCTCAATGGAGAGACGTATACAATTTAGAAATCCATTGTAATGGAGTTCTTTAACTAACCCTGTCTCAACGGAGAGACGTATAACATTTAGAAATCCATTGTAATGAGAGTTCTTTAACTAACCCTGTCTCAATGGAGAGAATATAACATTTAGAAATCCATTGTAATGAGAGTTCTTTAACTAACCCTGTCTCAATGGAGAGACATATAACATTTAGAAATCCATTGTAATGAGAGTTCGTTAACTAATCCTGTCTAAATGGAGAGACATATAACATTTAGAAATCCATTGTAATGGAATTCTTTAACTAACCCTGTCTAAATGGAGAGACATAAAACGGTTTGTAATTCAATGTATTGGCATTCTTACCTTGTCCAAATGAAGGAATAATAACAGTGGGTGTCGTTATGCTTCATATGCCTGCCAAGAAATTTGATATTATTATATATTGGCGGTCACGTGATAAAATATAATAGATAAAAGATTCCATCTGCTTTCATAGCACTGATCTTAATTTATATCACAATTTTTAACACACAGACTACTCTGTCGAGCGTGAGTTTGCTGGTCTTCGTCGTATTGCTGGTTTTGGTGTGTCTGTGACTCGTGGAGCTGCCTCGGCCATGATGTTCACCTACTCGTCCCTCCTCGTCACCATGTGCAGGAACACCATCACCAAACTAAGGGAGACGTTCCTTCATCGTTACGTCCCCTTCGACTCGGCTCTAAATATGCACAAGTTAATCGCCATGCTCGCTCTTTTCTTCTCAAGTAAGAGCGATTTTTTATTCAATTCGTGATTAAATCCAAGGAAAAGTACCCAATGCAAATAGGTTATTCTTAATCCTTACTAGTTGATTTTTGACAGGAACATCTTAGTTTGTATCTATCAATAGTTAGTATATACAACATTGACGCTGAATGTTAATGTCTAATTTGCCCATCAATTACATACAGGAAATAACAAAACCATGAGCTCTATGTATATGTGTGTAATTGTTTTTAGAGAACACACATACGATTGTGTAAATTACAGAATCTGTTTTAATAACACGCTGATAAAAGTAACTGTTACTGTTATTGCGTGCTAATAATATCTTTGTGTTATTATAATTTCAGTCATGCACACCATCGGCCATTCCATCAACTTCTACCACATCTCAACCCAGACTGCTGATGATCTGACTTGCTACTTCCGTGATTTCTTCCACCGTTCCCATGAGCTTCCAAAGTTCCACTACTGGGCCTGGGGTACTATCACAGGTACGTAAACACCCCCTTTCAAATTTTTCAGTTTTCCTCGCAGTATTCATAAGTATACTAAACTAGTATTGCGGTGCGGTTCCTTGACTTAGATATAGTGTGTCACGATAGCTCTGTTATTCCTTTTAAGATGTTACAATTTACAAGAGATACGTTTTTCGCTTCGGTCAAATTGAACAGGTCAATTTCATTTCTTGTATCATTATAAAAAACAAAAAAGGAAGAAGATGATGACTGTGGGTGGGTTTGAGTGGTAGAAATTGGTCCGTTTTATAATGGATTTGATTGTTAACCTCAATAACTAAGGTATCAATGATTTAATAACTATTTTTCCTTCTCTCTCTTCGTTCAGGTTTCACTGGTATCCTCTTGGTAATGGTATGCACCGTCATTTACACCTTTGCCTTCCAGTATGCCCGTCGCCGTGTCTTCAACCTGTTCTGGTTCACCCATAACATGTGGATCATCTACTTCATCCTGATGTTCCTGCACGGCTCTGGTCGTCTTGTTCAACCTCCGTTCACACATTACTTCGCCCTGGGCCCCATCGTCCTCTTCACCTTGGACAAGCTGGTCAGTATCAGCAGGAAGAAGGCAGAGATCGCTGTCACCCGCGCTGAACTCCTACCATCAGGTACATCAAAGGGCGAGGGGTACAAGGAGACCATTGTCTCTCTTTTCATCCGCTAAGAAAATTTCACCAACAGAACTTAGGGGGTCAAGATATTGACTGGCTACACCACCGGGTACCTCATCAGCATAGTTCTATGGCAAAGGGGGAGGGAATATGAATACTTTGTCAAAATCTTTTCTTTGGGATTAGCCCAAAGTTCTTGGAAAAGTTTCGAAAAGTGTTTCCACAATTTTTGGAGTCTATTCAGAAAATATCAAACATCAAGCATACTCGATAAGATGTCCTTTTAAAATGACCCTTGACATTACCAACTTGATGAAACATCGCTTTCTTGATGGCAGTCCTTCATCTCCTTTGTACCGAAAAAGCTATATTTGCAAATCAGGTGGCTATTTAATGATCCGATGTGGCTGTGGGAATAACTACCAATGTATTTGCAGGAATAAAGTTTAGGGAAGCTGCTGAAACGATATGAATAAATGTTTGTAATATTTACCTCTTATATTTCAACTGACAGATGTGACCATGCTTGAGTTCAAGCGCCCTCAGGGCTTCGAGTACAAGTCTGGACAGTGGGTCCGTATCGCCTGCAAGACCCTGTCATCCAGTGAATACCATCCCTTCACCCTGACATCAGCTCCTCATGAAGAGAACCTATCCCTTCACATCAGGGCTATAGGACCATGGACCATGAATCTCAGGGCTACCTATGATCCTAACGTCGTGCGCGAACATCCTCTACCTAAGGTACATATTTTTCTTGGTCACCAAGCATATGCCCCGAGCTTCATTTCCGTCATAGATATAGGGCCAGAAAAGGAAAGGAAAAGGGGTTTTAGGTTAGATTTAAGGCTACGGTGAGGGTTGTGTTTGCTGCAGGCTTTAATTAGGGCTAACGTCTGGAATATGATTGAGCAAGAAGAAATTGACACCCTGCATGTGTTGTAGTACCATCGTCTGATGTTGTCCAAAAAATATCCACAATGTGCACCCCAAAAAATACATTCAACCAGATTTTAATGAGAAGATTAATAGTGAGAAAATTGTCTAATATACAGTGATCAGATAATCTACTACATGTACTCTTCATGCCCACCAAGTCCAAATACATATTATTTTATTCTTGTTTGATCTGTATTGATTGTAGTTGTTCCTTGATGGTCCATACGGAGAGGGTCATCAGGACTGGTACCAGTATGAGGTGGCTGTGCTGGTAGGAGGGGGCATTGGTGTTACCCCATTTGCCTCCATCCTCAAGGACATCGTGAACAAATCGACCATCGGTGCCCGCGTTACGTGCAAGAAGGTGAGTGTGTCGACGTGTATCTATCTGTTCATGTATTCAACCTGTTAATATTACCCTCATTTTTTAAAATAATCTTTTTACTTCATTTTGTAAGACTTTATGGAAAATTATCATTTGTGCATATTTTTATTTCGGATTTTCTGTTCATTTGGGGGTGGGGGAGGTGTAGGGTTGAATTAACCAACGACAACATTTTGAATGTTTTGAAACAGAATACAACTGATACTGTATCTTATCACAGTGGAAATAGGACGATGCATGGGGATTTTCTGAAGCAAGACTATAATAAATACGTGGATCTTTGATACATTTGCTAATGCATCGATAATGGTATCTTTGAAACTCAATAATTTCTTACATAAAGTTCTAAAAAAAAAGAGACTTGAGAATTTTTCAGACACATGTGACATTTAATCCTTGTTATTTCTTCAGGTCTACTTCATCTGGGTGACCCGTACCCAGAAGCATTACGAATGGCTCACCGACATCATTCGAGATGTAGAGGACAATGACACAAATGATCTCGTCAGCGTTCATATCTTCGTCACTCAGTTCTTCCAGAAGTTCGACCTCCGAACTACTATGCTGGTAAGTCTCTCCTGTTTTTAGGCGTTGGTTATGGATTTATGAAGAATATATCATGATTAAGGGACTTAAAGCCCCACTGTCCTACTTGTAGCTACTTGCTCCCTCTATATAGAAAACTTCTCCAATCGGTGCCTGTTGGTCTCCCATGATCCTCTATTTCTTATGTTATTTGAGAGCTGAGTTCATGAGATAGCCACCTGTCAGTGACCTCGCTGTGTGGTCTAATCCCTCCTAGCCACACTAGTGTTAATAAGCTTTAAATAAAAATCCAATAATTTGAGATGTAGTTTTCTTTTTCTTCTTAATTTATGAGTGTGTATAGATGCATCCACCTTTTGGTTCTTAATTTTTTTAACATTTAAGAAAAAAGTATACTAAACTAAACTGAACCGAACAGGAATCAAGCAATTGCTCAGTGAGCAGAATGACTATCTATTCACGAGTTTGTTCCAAATACCTCGGGGCGACTCTGAACACCCCGAAAAAGAGATTATATGTGTAAATATTGACGCTGAGGTTTATCCTTGTCTTAATGGAGAGATATATAACAAATATTATTTCTAATGTAATGAAAGTTTCATTTGATCACATGCGTATGATACATTAAGCTTCCCATCTAAACAAATATTTTAAAGTTTGTGCATCTGTTACGAAGATGATTAATTTCATTGACCATTGACGCTGAGTATTATCCTTGTCTTAATGGAGAGACATATAACAAAGTAACAAAATGAGTAATGATATTCATAATCTTTAATAATCTTTGATATTTCTGTCCTTGATTAATTCCAATATTGTTTGTGCCCCTTTCCCCTATAGTACATCTGCGAGCGTCATTTCCAGAAGATCTCCAACCGATCTCTGTTCACTGGTCTCAAGTCCATCACTCATTTCGGACGTCCTCAGTTCACTTCTTTCCTTCAGTCACTAGAGGATGAACATCCTGGTGTAAGTATCTCATTATTCTCCTTGGCCAAGCATAGTACTTTTACTCCAGGTTAAAATCCCGACTTAGTGGGTAGATTTAGTCCACTGATGCATAGTGCACCATGTGCCAATTTCTCCATCCTCTAAAAATTACCAGTACTCTGTAACTAAATGATAAAACAATCATATCGTTTTGACCTAAAAATCGTTTCTTGACTGGATTATTTTATTGATTGGTTAACGTCATCTTTACAGAATTTAAAAAAACTTGATACTTGTTGCTCCATATAGTTGTAGAATACGTTAAAGTGAAACTCCCCAAAAAGATAGTTTGGTGAACGAGTATATATTATCTATACTATACACCTCTCGTTATATAGTTTAGATAACATGAATCCTGTCTTCAATGATGATCTTCTTCAATAATGATTCTAATCAGAGTACTCTTTGTGTCTGAACAGGTGGGAAAGATTGGAGTGTTTAGCTGTGGTCCACCAGGTATGACTGGTGGAGTGGAGCAGGCATGTGTAGACCTTAACAAGTTCGATGGAGCAGCCTTCATCCATCACTACGAGAACTTCTAAGGATTGTATCCTAGAACCAGCACCTCAAATGACGCGACAGCGGGAACATTCGCACAGAGGCTTAATACCTTGCGTGGCTTGAAGAACCGGGGCAACTACATATTTATTGCAAGGGTAGGCTATGCCCGTGAATGCATTGATCTTTACCATGTGTCACGCATAGTAATTAATCGCTATTTTTCATTTCAAATTTACTTTATCACGTAGTACAAAATAGATACAAACACATTTATTGAATATTATAATATTTTATACGTTCACTAATGACTGTAACATATTAATTTTAAGAACTTTATGAGTAGGACGGGAGTCTATACATTAGGACACCATAATTACCGGAGGGTTTTTTCTCATATTTTTTCTCACACTTTTTGTATGTATTTGGATGGCCAATGACATGAAAGAATTCATTGTTTAAATCAAGAGAGCTTGTATATGAGATCTGAGATAACGTATTTTTGTATAACACTCTGAAACTTGTTCTATATAATTGACTGAATTTAAAAGTACTACATGTATAGCAATCTACTTTTGTACAAGTATTTCACTTGATATTTTGTTACGTTGTGCATTGTCCATAAACGTTGGTACTTATAAATGAGGGGTGTGTTGTGGCACCGTTGAGACTTTAGTGTAGATATCAAAGTAGACGTAGCTTGTGGATTAAAACAGACAAAATATAGCAAAAGAATATTACCAGGGGGTGTTTCACAAAGATCCTGTGTTGGACTTAACAATTATGGAAAGCCGTTAGAATCTTTTGAAAAAGTTATTTTAAAAGGCATAAAATGTTGATTCAAATCATTCATATTTTCTATTACAGTATCAACAAGATTTCATGTTCTTAATGTTGAATTTATGAAGAGTCTCAAATACTTGAATTTTTGCTTTTGAATATATTTTATCTTATCGCTACAAATGGCTCTCCATAATTTTTAAGTCCAACTTAGAGTTAAGTTCGACCTAGGATCTTTGTGAAACCTCCCCCTGATATACTATCAGAATTTTACCGCATTTTGAGAATGATGTTATTAGGTGGAGCATTCGTTTTCGTCGTTCTGTGTTCGTTTGTTGACACTAGAGACATGAATTGATACCTTTGATGCAGAACGAATGTAGGCGATAGCAAAGTGTATATCTGGTATATCAGTGTTGTTGCTAAATCCGACTTCGTTGTTGAATATTGTAACAGACTAAGATTGAGTGTATGTTTGAAGAATGAAGTTAGCAAAGAATATACGGATAGGCATATTCATGTTTTGGGTGATCGTGAATGAAAATCTGAATTTACCTATTAATAGTTGAAAAAATGTAGTGATAGCATTCATTTTTAAAGAAACTATTGTTAAAATGTGTTCTTGTATGTCCTTTTTGTATGTTTCTGTGCATGGTGTGTATTGTTGTGTGAATTTGTAGCGAGATTATTATCAGGCCTACACGTGTATGGCTACCCGACAAGGTGTATTAAAACAAAGAAAGCATTTAAACTAAAAAACAGCTTATATTGCTTGTTGTATATTGGGAGGGTACACAAAAATATCATGTTCAAGAAATCACTGGAATAACTCCTTATTGGTACGCAGAATTAAATGTGATCGGTTGTACAGTATTTCGGTTTTTAAACCGTTTTTTTACAACTAAACAACTCTCGGTAATAAATTAATATTAATACATTTAGCTTTTTCGATACATAACCTATGTGCAATTTTTAGCTGCAAAGAAACGTTTTGTTAATAGAGACCACTTTTTAAGTCATGCATGATTATATAAATCTCGTCTTTCAGGTTGAATCATAACAATGAATAGTTGATATCGACAATGAAAACACATATCAATTTTTGAGTGATAGAAATGATTGTGCATTTTGTTTAGAAGTAAAAAGATATGTATATATTCATATGACATTTCATTTAATAGAGTTAATAAATAGAATTGCATTTTTAGCTTTCAGAAGCATTAATGTTTGTGGTGTATGTCAACACAGAAATAAACGACTAACAAATAAAAGTTACGCCTATTTGAAATAAGCTATGAATATATGTATAACCAGATTTGTTTATATTTTGTTTGTCTTCCCAATACGGTCTAGTGAAAACGTATAGTTCAAACTCTATGCATAAAAATGTACATACATATGTGGAGAACGATAAGTTCGCTTTTTTGTTTTGTTTATTTTTGTATTTTTGGATGGATAAATAAAAGGATTTTTTGTAGACGATACATTTTCATATTATGTTTCGAAGTGCTCCTTATTTCGTATGAATCAAGCATTCGAAAACTACAACTAAGAAACCACCTTGTCACATTTCATGCTGGGTTCGTGTGTGAAGATGATGACGACGACTATGATGACTACCACTTCGAATGCGATGAACTCGCTGATCTCCGAAAAGTGAAGGGACAACAACAGAGAGAGAGAGAGAGAGAGAGATAATGATGTTGATGGGTATAACGATGATGAATGTAATATGATGAAGATGATATCAGATATTAAGAGACTCTAAAAAGGCAGTTAACCTTTGTGCTTCAAACGTGAAACTCGAAACTTAAAAAACGGAAAAACACAAAATACTAAAAATAGATTACATTAAAATATGCATTTTACATTCTTTTGTAAAATTCAGAAACCTGAGGCATACATAACTGCGAGAAGAGAATTTTTTCAAGAGACATTTTTAAGGTAGCAAATGAGGAATTTCTGTGATACAGGGTGGATCTAATAATTCCACTTTTTATACGGCTGCTCTTTTTTTATGGCCAGGAAAGTATACAGCAGTAAATTACTTAAAAGAGAAAACTCACTCGTTTTCAAGGCTCTGAAATAGTTCCTGAAATTTCAGTGATTACATATCAATAGAAGCAAACCTGAACTCAATCCTTGAAACTCGGGGATGCTCATACAACGAGTGCATTTCACGAGAAGACAGTTCATTTGCATGGGAAAATTTGGAAATTAATTACTCATTTTATCTGATTTATTTTGACAAGAACGCACAAATGGGACAAAGTGTGTGGTGTATTTTAAGAAACATAAAATACATAAAACATACTGAAGATGAAATAGCATATTGATGGTCCAAGTCTGTAAGATATACTGGATAGAATTTTTTAAAACAAATATCTGACTTGTTTGAGCTAACATACCGGATTTACAACAAAGCCGGCGTTTTATAGCATCAACAGTTTAGGATTAATATGGTAAATTCAAGTTCCAAGATTCGTATTTCTGGGCATCATTTCACGAAACCTTCGTAAATGCAAGTTCACGTACCGACATCATATTGAAACGAGTGTTCATTTTGATACAAGCTTTTCAATGGTTTGTCCGCGAACTTGTACTTTAGACGGTCTCGTGAAACACTGCCCTGTCTCAGCTTTAGCCATTGGTTTATTCTGCAGGGCTGCGTCTCACGAAACCGTCATAAGTACAAGTTAGGCGACATCCCGTTAACACGCGTTTCAATGGGATGTCGCTGAACTTGTACTTATGACGGTTTCGTGAGAAGGAAGCCCTGTTGTTTTGCTGGTTCATTCCCAAATCTTTGTCCCTGCCAAAGTAGAATCTGTTGCAGCAGAATAAGAACGCCTGTTTGGATCTCCTTAGTGATGGGATAAGGGAGATGGCCCATTAACAATTGTGTGCCTTTTAACAATAGAAGAATAGCTAGTCTGTAAGTTCAAACCTTGGATGCACTATCCCACTACCTTAACAAAACAACAACAACAACAACAAGAAAGGAACCTCAATAGCACTGTCGAAGTAAATACTATAGAAAAATATAAATATTATCATAAAATATTACAATCCAAAACTCAATTGCAGTAACGTGATACGGAATAAAGAGAAATGAAATAAAGTATACAAAAGATATGAGTTTCTTTAAGAGATGTGATATGTTTTAAATTATAAACGATGAAATGTACACCGAATTAAAGAAATCACACTTTTCTATTAAATATATCATAGTCAAAATCTATATTAAGTAGACTAAATGTATTTTGTTCACTGAACCAACGGTCGCTTGAAATCATTTGTCTACTAAATACTTTTTATAGAGTCTGTTCCGAAAGACTAACTTAATATGACCCAAATCCCCAAGTCCAGATCGGACCTTCTGCTTCTGCAAAGTCTGGATGAAAAAACTCACGGACGTTCGATCTGCAGTTAGTGTTGTTGAATATACAAACCCGGTCGTCCTAGAGTAGTTTCCTTGGCATATCATCCACGACTAAGTTAACGACAGCGTTAAGGACAAAACCTATTTACCAATGGAAGGAAATCACTCTGAAGTATGATTGAAACATATTTAAATGAAGACGTTTGGGTTTTTTCCTAAATTTTTAGTTTACACGATCTTCTTCATGATGGCGTGAGTTTGTGTTCAGTTTGCTGATACCCGGATATAAATTTACTGACACCTGCTCATGCAGAATCAAGGTAAGATAACATTTTGTTAAAATTTTAATGTAGATAACAAGTCAGAGTAAATACGTGTATATATTATCCATATCAACGAATTATCATTAATATGTTTCGATTTTATTTTGTGAATAGGGTTGTCTAATTTTGACATATCCAGTTGTAACCTAATCCATTACAAAGAAAACGGAATAGAAACTGTCTCCAAATCTTAGTTTTATAATGTTCCTAGATTAATTGTTGCATTATTGTGTTCAAGTTCACGGAAGCGGATGATTCGTCTCTAGCTCGACGGTTATATGTAATACACCTCAACGTGTAAACAAACTACTTGCGTATAGCATTTGCTCTCGAAGACAACATTTAAACATGCATATGGAAACAAAAAAAAAATCAATAAGCCTTTCCATGAATCCGACATGCCCTTACAATGGCGTTAGCCCTCGAATAACAAAGAGTGTTCACCATTCCTTGAGAGCTCTATCTTAGAAAATACCCGCTATTAAAATGAGTTTTTTAATTTTATTTAATGGAGTATTTTCTTGATTCACATTTGATTTGTTCAGCAGTGAACATGTTTTTTCGATACCAGAACAAGTCATTTGTTCCCAATTTGTGAAACCCATCGAGACGAATACTGGTATCGTGCTCATGAAAGTTATGTAATCAGTAGTGTACATAAAAGGGTATGAATACATGTCATATTTTTTAGAATGCCTACACTTATTCTTTGGGGTGAGGTTTCCTTTAACGAACTCCTGGCTCTCAAGAGACAAAACGCATAATACCTCCTCAAATTTCGCATTTTCTACTTTATGATATTTTAATATTTTATGTTAGGGAACCTAAATTACAAGCTACGTTTTCCTAAGTTTCCGACTCCGCAATACAGCAAGCAATTATCTTCTAAGTCTCAATTGTATTTTTGTTTTCTTCATTGCACGCACCATATTATTATGTATATTTCTCGTTCGTTAATATTTTAATTAAAATGACTTTGTAGAACAAAAAGTTTGTTAATTTTATTTTCTGATATGTACATTCATGTTCTTACTCAAATGTATCTTATGCGTAAAATCAACGAAAATATACAGGATTATGTATAAATGTTATAGTAAATGATTAAATCAAAATACAGTTTAAGGTAAGCTCTAGCCACAAACTCGAATTCATTGTTTGTTCTAACAAAACAAAAAAATAATTTGTCTGTTTTCACCCTTCATGAGCTAGCGGACAATGATTTTTGATGCTTTTCGAAGTGATGGCTTGCCGACCTATTACTCCCCGAACCAAACACCCGTCACAGAGGATGTCCTCATCCTCGGAATCATCTTCGCTTTCATCATCATCTTCTTCTCTCTCTTTGCTATCCTTCCAGGGATAAGAGGTTGGCAGGTAAGATCAAAAGGTGATATTGATTGGAAGTGGAATGTTGACAAACTTATCAGTTAGCATTTATCATCCGGGTCATACAACTTACCGAGGGACGTTGTTATAAATCGCATGAATAACAGCTAATATTATTATGAGCATTAGAACAGGAAAGGGACGCGTTTACTTTACTTTACTTTATCAGCCGTTGTCAATCCACTGCAGGATGAAGGCCTCAGCATGATGTTTCCAAATGCCTCTGTTCAGCGCCTGTTGGTGCCAATTTGTCTGTCCCCAGAACTGTTGCAGCTCGTCTCGCCATCTTTTTCTTTGACGTCCCCTGTTTCGTTTTCCCTCGTATGGTGTCCAATGAGTGATTGCTGAGCTCCAGCGATTGTCTTTCCTGCGGCTGATGTGGCCTGCCCAATTCCATTTCCTTCTTTTCACTGTTTTAAGGATGTCCTGGACTTTTGTTTGTTCCCTGATCCATTTGTTTGTTTTTCTGTCTTTGTATGTGATGCTTAGAATACTTCTTTCCATGTTGTGTTGCGAGGCTGCTAGCTTTCTTTCCATTTTTGAAGTTAGCGTCCATGTTTCTGCAGCGTATGAGATTGCTGGGATGATGCACTGGTTATATACCTTCTTTTTCAGGCATAATGGAAGTTTGCCTTTCATGATGGTGCTGTATCTGCCAAAGGCTCGCCATCCAGCTTTGATTCTTCTTCTTATTTCGTTGTCTTGATTTTTGTCTTGGAGGGAGAAACGTTGTCCTAGGTAAATATACTCCTCTACTTGCTCCATTTTGGTACCGTTCACTTGGATTTGTTTTGGATCTTTGGCTGATCCTGCCATGACTTTAGTCTTCTTCATGTTCATTTTGAGGCCTGAAAGTCGGCTTGCATCGTCCAGTTCTTGTAGCATTATTTCGAGGTCGTTTAAGTTGTGAGATATGATGACAATATCGTCTGCAAATCTTAAGTGACTCATGTTTTCCCCGTTTATGTTGATTCCCTTTGATGACCAGTCTAATGTTTTGAAGATGCTCTCTAGGCAAGCAGTGAAGAATTTTGGTGAGCCGGTGTCTCCCTGTCGAACTCCCTTTCTTATCATGATTTTGTTGCTGGCCTTGTGCATTCTGACAGTGTTGTAGCAGTCTGAATAAATGTCTTTAAGGATTTTGATGTATGTATTGTTGATTCCTTGGTCTTGAAGTGCCTTCAGTACTGCGTAGGTTTCTACGGAATCAAATGCCTTTTCATAGTCTACGAATGCTACGCATAGGGGGATGTTGAACTCTTGGCATTTTTCTTTCAGTTGATTAATGGTGTGGATGTGGTCCATAGTTGAGAAACCCCTTCTGAAGCCTGCCTGCTCCCTAGGTTGGTTGTTATCAAGGATTTTCTCTAGCCGGTTGGTGATGATTTTTGTGTACAGCTTATACAGGTTTGAGAGGAGGCTGATGGGTCTGTAGTTCTTTAGATCTCGCTTGTCCCCCTTTTTGTGCAGAATTATCATTGTGGCTTCTTTCCATTGATGTGGTATTCTCCTCGTTTGCATACATACATTGTAAAGTTTGGCTAGTTCCTCAGTTATTGTGTCTCCTCCTTCTTTGATTGTGTCTATAAGTATGCTGTCTGGGCCTGGTGACTTCCCTCTCTTCATTTGATTTATTGCATGTTGAACCTCCCAATCAGTTACAACTGGGATCTCTTCTTGTGGTTCTCCTGGATCTTCTGTCTCTTTATTGCTATTGTATAGTTGTTCATAAAACTCTTCAATTCTTTGAAGTATCTGGTCCTGATCTGTGATTTCTTGTCCATTGCTGTCGAGGAGGCTTGTGATTTTCTGTTTTCCATGTGCTAGTTTCTTGAAAGTTTTCTTCAGGCTTCTGTTTTCCTCAATTGTGGATTTGATCATTGTTGTGTTGTAACTACGGATGTCTTCACGTAGCTTTTTCCTTACTGTTTTGCAGGTTTCTACATATTCAACATTTTGGATGCCTATGCCTTCTGCTTTCATGTTCCTTCTTTTTTCCATGAGTTTTCTGGTAGATTCTGATATCTTGTTTTCACGGGTTTTTGGTTTTTTCCCTGCGATCTTTATGGCGGTTTCTTGGGTTTTTTCCACTAGCAGATCAGTCCATGTTTTAAGGGATCTGTTTCCTTCTTCGTCTGTGCATTTGTCCGTCAAAAGTTGAAATTGGTTTTTCAACTCCAGTTGAAATTCTGTTCTCTTCGCTTTTAGTTTCTCTAGGTTGATGCTACTTTGTTTTGGTTTTAGGAGTTTTTGCCTCTCTAGTCTGGTGTTGATTTTCATCTTGCCCATTACCATCCTGTGGTCACTTCCCACGTTCACCTTGCTGATTGTTTTCACGTCTTGGATGATGTGAGGGTTATCAGTTAGTATGAAGTCAATTTCATTCTTTGTGTTTCCGCCTGGGCTTTTCCATGTCCATTTCCTGGATGCTCCTTTCTTGAAGAAAGTGTTCATTATTTTCATTTTGTTGCTAATGGCAAATTCAAGAAGTCGGTCCCCCTGTCGTTTCTTTGCCCACTTCCGAAGGGGCCGATTGTGCTTTCTTCTCCTTCCTCTCTTTTCCCGACCTTGGCGTTAAAGTCACCCATGACTATTGTAAACTGTGTTTTACTGCCTTTCATCACGTCCGTTATTTTCTCGTAATGATTAAAGACATTTTTGCATCCTGTTTACTATTACTACTACGACTAATATTACTGCTACTATTACTACTACGACTAATTTTACTGTTACTATTATTACTACTACGACGACTACAACTACCATTGCTTCGACGACTACTACTATACCTCTACTGTTACTACGACGACATCAACGACGACTACTACTACTACTACTACTACTACTACTACTACTGCTGCTGCTGCTGCTGCTGCTGCTGCTGCTACTACTACTACTACTACTACTCCTACTCCTACTACTACTGATACATAACCTACTACTACTACTACTGCTACTGCTACTGCAATCAACTCGTCATACGTTGAATCAGTTGGGAACGCAATAAATAGTTCGACTTATGCAAAATTCGACTTAGAAAGTGGAAATAACACATGTTTTGCATTGTTTGGTCCAAAAATTGATCGTCTCTACCAAAATGCGACCTATGCGACTTCGAGTTATGCAGAGTTAACTATTACTAGTACTACTAACAATAATAATACAAACCCGTGGTAGTTTTGCCCATCCCCAATTCCGATGCCCACCCTTATATTTATGTATTATCTCCCTCTCTCTTTCTTTCTCTTTTTCTCTCTCCCTCTCTCTTTCTCCCAATTCTCTCTAGCAGGATTATATCGAGTATTAAGTAGGATTCAAGATTCAAGATTATTTTATTGGTCCATGCATGCGAACATTACATAGAAATTTTGCTTCCAATGGCTTTTTTGACAGTGAAAAATACAAATGATAGAAAATACAATATAACATTTAACAATAGAAAACGATGGACATAAAGATATGGATAATTGTTTATTATGTGCATGCGCATGGACCATTGGGTTATGATGGGTTACTATATTTTGTCAAATGGAACAAAGAATCCAACCTCCCTCGATGTTCTTCCATTCATTAGTCAAAAGACCCGCGTACAACTCCGGCCACTTTTACAAATCATATTTTAAAGAGATGATGTATATTAGTAACTAAAGTTGCATATGGAACCCGTTTTCTAGAGACTGTTGAAAATGAAAAAAAGTTCATTAAAGTCGACTCAATATCAGGGTGGACTTCTTTTCAATTAATAAGTTCATTTATCTTGTGGCATATTCTAAAAATATTTTACAACTATTTTTTGTTTATCTTACAATGCAGCGATTATTTCTGTTTTGCCGGATCACAATAAGTCTCTTTATTGGTGCTTCAATAATGCGTAAGTATAAGACCATTGTTTAAATTATTCGTATTTTACTCAGTAAAATATCACTGATATAAGTAATCTCTGAGGTGTAAGTACTTGATTCTTCTCTTTATTTTTAACAACAGTTTGCAGAGTTTGCACTCTGGGTTCATGCAACCCCAGTAATTATTATTACCCCAACATTGCCAGGTATCAATTTGAGACACCTGGGTCAAGTGTGATAAAATTGGAAAGACACCGTATTCAAGGATGCAAGCAATTTCGATCAGACGCTTATGAAGTTCCTGTTTGAATAGCTATATTGGAAGGCCTTTTCCAATTTTTTTATTATGTATTTAATATGACGCAACCACACAAAAAAGTAATTATGCATTTTGTCAGAAGGCTTCACAGCTATATATATTGCACGATGTTTAATAATTTATTTTGCTGAATATAATTCTTCGCACAAAAGCAAACATACAGGTTAAAATTCACAAACTTGATTTGCAAATGAAACGAAAGTATAAGTTAATCTTCTTCTTCTTCTTCTTTATCTCCTCCTCCTTCTTCGTCCCGCCACCACCACAATCACCACTATCATTATCATAATTATCTTCTTCTTCTTCACTTCCTTCCTCTTTTTTCCACCACCACCACCACCATCGTCATTATCATCTTCATCATCATCATCATCATTATCTTCTTCTTCTTCGTCGTCGTCTTCTTTTGCTTCTTCTTCTTCTGCTTCTTCTTGTTCTGCTTCCTTTTCTTCTTCTTCTTCTTCTTGAAATTTATCACGAAGACCAACTATGATTGCAAGCTGATGTGAGGCAGTCTGATGCAATGTATTGATATTTCTGTAGGAGCAATCCCTGAATATTATGCTCTTTGTTGTCGGCATGTATGTAGTCTCTGCTACACATATTGCTTGTAATTCTTCTTTAACCTCTTTAGATATGTTGTACATGATTTCACATAGTAAACAGTCAAATTACGAGAATCAGCTTCGTTTTCTATTACATGTCTTTTGTAGGGTGTTTGTGACAACAGAATAATTAATTTTCATTTTCATTTTCATTTTCAGTGTCAAACTTTGGTCAATCGTGGGAAGTTTCGTTCATCAGAAACGTCACGACGGCTTATCGAACCGGTAGGTCCGGGGAGATACAGGCCGATATCGGGGTCAAAATTGGGTTGCGAGCAGTTAATATCACACTCAAAGGTAAATACAATGTGATGATAATGATGAAGATAAGACTTGTAATGATGATGATGATGACGACGACAACGAAGACGATGATGATAATGATAATGATGCTAGTAATAAGAGTAATATTACTAATATTATAATAACAATGATGACGATGATGATGATGATGATGATGACGACGATCATATACAAGTAGAAGAAGAAAGAAGAACATGATTATAATATTGGAGCGCCTGGAATACATTGCGTGGTGGATATATTATGTACGCTTTAAAATGAAGCCGAAAGTTACTTACCGTATTTTAACATACTGTTATTATAACGTAGCGTATTGGCAATTGTAATGAAAAGACTAGTTCACTCTTACGTAATAATAGTATTACATCACCCTTCATTGTATGGTGTATTGATTGTTACGCTTCATTGTATCGTGTATTGATTGTTACTTTCCATTGTTCAGGTATCCCTGAAGACCAAGACGGTGATTCTGCTGCTTCGGGTGAGAGAGTCAACTACAATGAAAGGTTTCATTTCGAAGGATTGCAAGGAAGAAACGGATTCGGAAGATTTGGTAAATACTAAACGTCACTGATCGATGAAGTTTATCTTGTTGGTGATGTAACGTAGGGAATATTTTACAATTTGTTTTCCTTACAATCAATGGCCTCGACCAATATACTAAACGACCTCATAGGCAGTCGATAAATCAACCCACGGAGTGAATTTGAATAGTTAATTGTGTTTTCATTACAATCAATGGCCTCGACCAATATACTAAACGACCTCATAGGCAGTCGATAAATCGACCCACGGAGTGAATTTAAATAGCTAATTGTGTTTTCATTACAATAACATATTAATCCGAACATTTGATACTATATACAATAAGATATTGAAATCACCCCCTAGTTCAAGTTCAAGTTCAAGTTGGTTTATCTTCCACTTACTTACTTACTTACTTACTAACTTACTCACACACTTGTTTACTAACTTGCTTACTTACTAACTAACTTACTAAATGACGTACATGCTTACTTACTTACTTACTAACTAACTTACATGCTCAGTGGCGTACGCAGGATTTTTTCAAGGGGGGGGGGGGGTTAACATTTGAAATCGGAGGGGGGGGGGGGGGGGTAAGAGGACACGTTTTTTTTTTGGTCTCGATTTTGGAAATTTTACATTGTTCTTCGTGGGGGGGGGGGGGAGAGGTCACGTTTTTTAGGTCAACCATTGGCATAATTTGTTTTATTTTTTTTTATAATTAAAAAAAAAACAAAGGGGGGGGGTTCCTTCAAAATACACACATTAAAAATACCAAAGGAGGGGGTTGCTGACTTAATTACTTACTCACTTGCTTGCTTTCTTACTAACTCACTTATTACTGTTTTTGTTCCGCAGCTGGAAGAATCAATCGTGAGTTTCGTGAGGCTCAGTATCGTGGGTTACCTTACCCGATTCTATGGGTGGCTGAATACTTTGTCCTAGATGGAGAAGATATAAGATGGGGGCGCTCATACCGCTTGGCTGGATTCTACGCAGCTCTGTTAATTTGGTAAGTATGATCAGGGAGTTCCATTTCAACTCCATGGTATGATGAAATTAAAATAAATCTTGATACAGCGCCTAGCCGCCCAATACAAAAATATCGCTTACACAGTGAAATGTAATGTAATGTTATGTAATGTGTATTTATTTATTTATTTATTCATGATTTCTTTCAACGGGGTAGTTTCATTCATTTCCACTGGAAGCCAGTGGATCTGCTTTAATTTCAAGAAAGCCCTGCATAGTACAACGACAGTATAAAAACATAAGTATAATAATACATTAATTAAAAATTGTACATAGTTATAAGGAATGCATGAGCCACATCCCAATGATTCTACATGGATTGAAAAGCTACCTGATCAAACAGCTGATGTTGTGCGAAATATCAAATTAAACATAATATCTTTCAATAATAAATGTACAAATGTCATACTTACAGTTACCAGAAATAGCAAATAATTTACGTATTCTAACGGTTGATTGATTCTTGTTTTTTTTAATCCTACAGGTTATCCTTTCCTCTGTGGTTGATCACCAATATCCTCTTGATGATTGGTGCTTTACCAAATGCTTTCTTCATGCTCTCTCTGACTGGTGGCTGTATGCTTGGAGCTAATGTCTTATATGCTTCTATCAGATACGGATCTTATCTATCCATCCCATTCTCTGCTCATCACATCTTAGATTTCAGCTACGGATGGTCGTTTTATCTCTGCCTGGTCGGAGGTGAGACATTAATTAAAGCCCGACTGTACTAATTGTAGCTACTCGCTCCCTCTATATAGAAAACAATGCCTAATCGGTGACCATTGGTCCCCCATGTTCCTCTTTTTCTTATGTTAATTGAGAGCTGAGTTGATGAGATAGCCACTGTCAGTGAACACCATGTGTTGTCTAATCCTCCCTAGCCAACTAATAGAGAAGGCCTTTAAGTGCCAAAGTAGGGGCGGGAGGAGGAGGGGGGGGGGTATACTCGCATAATACGGTATACTGGGATGTACCGCTCTGGCAGGTCGATTTATTTTTGCTTTAAATAAATAGAAATGGGGTAATGAATTACGATAATTATTATTGCGTGGTAAACACTTTCTTGCTGGTTATGATTATGTTTGATTTGGGAGAGAGGCCATTCAATAATCATAGAGGTAAATTAAATTTCATAATATTGATAATGGTATCAGGTTTACTTCGCATACCATGGTAATGATGTAATAGTAATTAGAATGATGATTATCGTGAATTGCAATATATATATTTTGCAAATACCCACTCATCAAATTAACGTGTCGTGCTCTTGTTTAAGATGCTTTTAACAAATGTGTTATGCTCTTGGTTAAAACCCTTTTAACAATTTGATTACGTCGAAACAATGTATATACATATTTTCTGCATAATTTTACCACGACTTCTTCGAAACATTGATCATTGTCATCGCTCCAAAATATAGACAATGAATATGGATACAATAAGCCCCGGGAAGCATGTGAACCTTGAACAAACTTTCTTGTTGATGATCTTGTTGCTTAGGTCTGGTTGCGGTTATCCTGGCCATCGTTTGTCATGTCCTTCGTCTCTTCTTCCCTGTTGGCATGGAAGAATTCTTCGGATTCAAGGAAGATTTCTCTCAAGACAATGTTAAATACTACCATGGGAGACCAAGAACGGCAAAGACCGCGAAGCAAACACACACGAAACAAGTTCACGGGGATAAACCGGTAAATAGTCACACCCAAAACATTTCTCTCTCTCTCTCTCTCTTTTCTTTCTTTCTTCTGTGATTAATTGTATAGCTAGGGTTGAAAAAAAGAAGAGATTTTGTTAATATCAATTCCTTTTGTTGTGATAAAATTATTTTTATTATTGTTGTTATTCTTCTTCGTCTTCTTCTTCTTCTTCTTCTTCTTCTTCTTCTTCTTCTTCTTCTCCTACTTCTTCTTCTTCTTCTTCTTCTTCTTCTTCTTCTCCTTCTTCTTCTTCTTCTTCTTCTTCTTCTTCTTCTTTCCTTCTTCTTCTTCTCCTTCTTCTTCTTATTACTTATCATTATTATTTTCGTCATAGTTATAATTATTGTTATTATTTTTATTATTATAATCATTATTATTATTATTATTGTGGTTGATATTATTGTTGATGTCATCATCATCATCACAACACAAGAGATTTAGACACAGTTGAATATCCCCTTTAAATCCTCAATGTACTACTTATAGCTATACTTGCGCCCTCTATACAGCAAACAATGCCTAATCGGCGCCTGTTGGTCCCCAATGATCCCCTTTTTCTTATGTTAATTGAGAGCTGATTTGATGAGATAATCACCTGCCAGTGATCTTGTAGGGAGGTCTAATGCCCCTGGCCAAACTAGTGCAGACGGGCTTTAATTCATGGATGGATAGCTATCTTATCTTCGACTTCTATATTCATTTTCTATTATTGATCATGTCATTACTTACATTTGCATATATCTCTACATTAGTATGGTTCGATATGCCTTTTAAGGCCGTACATTTTTGTGTGTGGCCTATTTATAAATATATTTTTACTTATCGTACATTGATATTTGTAAATATCGAATTTAAATGAATTGAAGTTGTCCCTCGAAATGAAGTATATTTCCCACAAGTTTATGTTGATTGTATTAATGATTTTATCCATACTTTTCAGGCAATGCCACCTAGAAGGTTTACCAGAAGGTTGTCCGTTTCTGTTGCAAAGGCTGTTGGGATACGCGGACCAAGAATGACGGTAAAGTGATATACTCTTTTTTTTTCTTCTTGTTTCCAAAGAATTTTTTTTATTCAATCATTCTTGACCAAGAACAAAACAGTAGACTTGAACAAAGTACATGTTGTGACACATTGTTAAACCAAACATTGTTACATCAGTTGCACATGCCTCCATTTATCTAGTAATATAACAAATTTATTGCGTTTGATAGAAAGAACCCGCTCAACTTCATAAAAACGTTTAAGCAATTCAAAGATAACCGTTCCCTTTTGCATTTCGCAGAGAATATAAAGTATTTTGCATATAAAATGACAAAATGATATACTCTCTTACTATCCTGACTTTACCAGTTACCACCCAAACTTTTTCTCCTACCTGACTAATTTATCATACTCTCCCAGCTTACCATCCTAACTACTATTAAAAATTGCTATTATAGTTAACTCTCATTACCATCCTAAATACTTTCCTATAATTACTACCCTAAGTTACTCATTCTATTTGTTATTATAACCTAACATACTGTTCTAAATTACTATTTAAACTTACCGTCTTAATACGATCGTAACTTGCAATTTCAATTTACTCTCATAACTTACTATCCTAATTACTCTCCCAATTACTATACCCTAAAACAAAGTTTAGTCATTGATGAAACTCTCTGTACGTGACCTCCCCCAATCGTTAGTACAAATACCTACTTTATTGTAAAGGGTATACCAACAATCATCTATCATCACGATTACAACTTCTTTGAAAAAAATAGACTCAAGGAATTTCAATACCCATTGTTTATTCCATAGAAATCATGTTCAGATAATGTAATACGTCATTGTAATGTTCGTAATGTTTCAAAGGGTGATAGAAGGGTCTATTGAAATTTTAAAAAAAAAATTGATTTTCGAAAGTGGTTGCGATCATGTTTGTCATGCATGGATACAATTTTATTTTTCAGACGGCGTGGGAAAAATAGATCATCTTTATCATCATCATCATCCTCCTCGTCAGTGAGGAAGGCTGATTTTCTGAGTAAAACGACAATCTCCTAGAAACTTGCCAGCAGCGACCTATTCTGGTAGATGGACCCGGGAGATGGACAAGCTTGAATAAACTCCCAGGACTACCCAATCGGCTACGTGAATGCGTCCAAAGTACTTACTTGGCTTTCAATATTGCCTATGTCTCTAACATTTTTTCATCAGACATTTGAGCATTTTTCATAAAACCGTCGTAAGTTCAACTTCACCGACATCCCGTTATTCAGAGCGCGTGTTAAATTTAATACACGCATTTTAATGGGTTGCCGGCGAACTTCGTACTTAGAACAGATTCGTGAAACGTTGCCCTGATCGCTTGCAAATTAATTTCTGATACACTTACATCTCACATATTAAAGTATCCACCTCTGATATTTTGACTTGCATTCTAATATCCGATTCACAACAAGAGACCGACACCAGATCGAACTCGGTTGGTGTGGACTGTGGAGTCAGTTTGGAGTCGGTTTGGGAATGATGACCGAATCATAACCGCTGTTATTTTTTACTTTTGACGTTTTGACATCTGAACTACCTCTGGAATTTGTATTATCTCTTACATTTTAACTAAGAACCCTGTAAGATTTACCTGCAATTTTAGCGAGAAATGATGTAAACCGATTCAACTACTGCAATAAACGACTCAAATTAATTGTGCCGGAAATAATTATGTGGGTACTTAATGCTGAAACTTGGTTCCGTGATTTTGAAATATCTATCTCATAATTTCGTTAATATAATGCTTATGAAACAATTAATGTTGACGATGTAACACTTTTCTTAAAAGACTTTATAGTAAAATGGTGAAAAGGAATTTTACCTAGGCCGTTTGTAGTGTTCTTTTTCATTATGTTGAAATACAAAAACATGAAGACTTGTATCGTTAAGAATTTTATTTTTTTGTGATTTAAAACTTTGTAAAACTGAAATAAGTGACTCACCATGTGATGTGTGAAATGCAACGGGATTTAAGAAGATCTGTGTATTTTAAAAGTTTTTTAAAAACTACTTATTAACTAAGAACGTGTCATTCAACGGATGATAATTTTATATTGGATAGATGAACATAGTTTTTACGTATGTTTCTAGTCATATAAAGGTCGGGTGACATCCAAACATAAGTTCATTCTAACAAGAGACAGTGGTATGTAACTTCCCCTAGCTCAGCACATGCTCACAAAAGAATTGCATGCGATCATACGATACCTCCACATTACCTTTCTTTTCCTGGAGATGGTAAAGCATGTCTGACATAGCAACTCCTATGTTGGTATTATATGGTATATTGTAATTGTATAATTGTAATTAAACAAGCGGTCAGCTCTGGTAAAGCTTACATACCACTGTCGCTTGTTAGCGCAATAGTGATTGACAGATGATGTCATTTAGGGAATGAGATCTGGAGCATTTTTAGGATGGAGCTTAGCAGGAGTGAGAAAATTATTTCAAAAAAATATTTAAAAATCGATGAAATATATTTAGATGTTTGAATAACAAAATATGAGTTGTATGCAGCCCTGCAAGCACGTGAACAGAAATCAACTTATATTTGGATTTCACCCGACCCTTAAATGAATTGTTGTAATAAGTGTAAATAATTTCGCAACAAAATTGTAATCAGTTTGTAACAACCCTCAAAAGCACATTAAGTTTTTCATATTGAGGAAAAATAGCCTTGGGAAATATACGTCATTGTGTACGCCAATAACCAACTCATGCATGAACATTTGTACAAATGCCCCCCCCCCCCCCAATATCCACAGATCTTTTACACATGCAGACGTCCCACTTTGTGCATTTTATAATAATCACTACCAACGTAGTGATGGAGGTGCTTCATGAATACCTTTTTCTTTGCCCTCTTGAAAAGAATACCCTTCACGAATACGAATCCAGCAGTGGACTCGGTGAGTTTTACAGTTTCATACAAATGAACTTTATCTGCCCACGCATTCGCAGATAACTTCTCTCAAGTGGCTTATTTATATCGAAATATCTCATGAGATAGAACAGAAGTACGAATCTTTTGATTGCTTTACTGCATTTCCTGTGTAGCCTAAAGATCTGTTACTGAAAGTGGCGTAGCGGTGGTCCAAGCAGCAAGCTGCATTGGCGAGACACCATGATTTATCATCTTCTGTAATTCCACGTTCCCTTCTCCATCTCCTCCTTTGTTCTCCCCTCCCTCCCTCCCTCCCTCTCTCTGTTCCCCTTTCACCCGCTGTTTTATTTCTTTTGCCCACCTTTTGCTATAAATAGTGGCCCTTGCCCCTCTTGCCCCTAAGCCCCCATGTAGCTACGCCACTAAATATAGGATTATGTAGATACGTCTACATACAAAGATATAACCAAAAAACAAAATAGCGACACAAGACACATTCTCACATGGATAAATTTTCTATAGAGGTTGAGTTACTTTTATAATGTATCCCCTTATTCTGTTTAATCATTTTTTTTTATTTTGAAACTTGTCAATAGCAATGCTGTAAATACAAATTACAAACAATAATGAATAAAAATAAATATTTCATTGATCATTTTACTTGTTGTAAGTCAATTGTACTTATTCGCTAATGATACGTAACATGGAATGATGAGGTAATATCCAGTTGTGTCTAACCAGTGAAGGGACACTGCCAACGTAACATGGGGGGGGGAGGGGTGGCACCAGTCACATTTGATGAGTGGACTGTGAAACAACAAAGTGATCGATTGGGGCAAGGGCAGGGGATGGGAACTTATCCGTTGTTATCTCCTCTCCAAGTTCATTATTTAAATCATCTTCACCCTCCCTGCCCCTCTCCCTCTCTCCATTCTTTCCTCTATCTCTCTCTCATTTTTCTCTCTCCCATTTTTCTCTTCTCTTCCTCCCCTCTCTCTGTCTCTATCTTTCACTCTGTCTCTCTCCCTCTCTTCCCCTCTCTTACTCTCTCTCTCTCTATCCTTCCTTCTTCCCTCTCTCTCTCTATCTCCCTCTCTCCATTTTTCCCTCTCTCGCTCTGTCTCTATCCATTCTCTTTCTCTCTCTCTCTCTCTCTCTGTCCCTTATCCATGCACCTCGTTGTCTCATTCCTATTGCAACAAACTCTCACATTCTTCTTGTCTACCATATTCTCTTCCTTTGTCTACATATTCCTCTGCATCTCGAACTACCTATCTGTCCCAGTCTTTCCCTTGTCTTTGTGGCCACTCTCTATAAAGGCCACCTGTCTATAGCGGCCATGTATCCTCCCCCTCAAAAAAGATATGTGTGTTGTAGAACCTGTATAGGAAGGCCATTTGTCTACAGTGGCCACTTTCCATGTTTCCTTTGGGTGGCCTTTGTAGACAGGTTTGACCTTGTTCAATATGCCATTATCAATATGTAATCCAATTTATTCAAGTTTACTTAGTAACAAGCTGTTATATATTCTTATATTTCAATAGTAAGAATGCAAATTGCATAAATAGTTGTTGCTAGGTAGGATAAACAAACTACCTAACAACACGTAATGTATTAGTATGCAATTTGCGTTTAGACTATTAAAATACAATCATTCATAACAGGTGTATGAAATATTCTGTATCAAGGTACTTCACAAAGATATAATGCATTAAATTTGATTATATCAGGAAAAGGGCCCATTCCAATCAAATCTCATTCTGTTTTATATATCAGGCTAAATCACTGTCATGTTTTCTTCGTACTTTTATTCTTCTAAAGTGATACACCTACTCTTCTACAGCTAGTGGGTATATAACAATTATTTCAAGAGTCAATCTCAGTTACTGTAGACTTCAAAAGTTTCTCAGAGTATTTCTATTGTCAATGGTGCTTGACTCTTGACTCTTTTCAGACAGCCGATGGTAATTTCCTGATTGTTTTTATAAATACTAAGATCAATGCCTGGTATGTGCTCAACAGATGGAAGTCTTGGAGGTTTCCAACCTGGTTGAAACCAAGTCAATTCGCTAGAGCCCTTTAGTTAGGCACAGATACTCACTACCAAGTCCCTGAGAGTGGACTTAAAGCTGTCACACCCTGGTTGCTTACTCCCAAGCATAAACATGCTTTCTTTGGTAGTCAGGTAAAAACAAACCATCAAACAAATGCACATATGCACTTCCAGTCTGACAGTCTCAACATATCAATGCCTCTGTCCTCTTCCTTGGAGATAAACATTAATTGCCATTTCCAGTCAATCCACCTGTCTTAAAGGGAGTGTGTCATGACGAGATTATGTGTCCTTCCCGTGGCCCTACTCGGGGCCAATCGGGTATAATATGACTAAGGACGACGCGACCCCAGCATTCACGTGCATCCAACATCCGCGAACCGGAAGCATGAGGGAAACTTCGGTCTGTTTCGCGAACGCTAGCGCGCTGACCCACTCAATCAATTCCATTCGTTTACGTGCAGTCGTCCAAAAGAATACGTAGATGGCGTTAACCAGTATTTGCCATGATACATTCCCTTTAACATATCTCAGTGGGATATGTACATCCATGACTTCCTATCAGGGAGTCTCCATAACTCTGCATCTTTATCTTCAACCTGGTGATATTCACACCATTACTCTAATTCCCAGTGGGCACCGACAGTCTTCTTGGTAGCTTACGCTACCAAGAATGATGATTGGAGTCTTATCATTTCCAATCCGGTGTTGAATGTCTCGTAGCAAGCATTTTCACAGTAACCATCGACAGTCTTGGTAGCTAACGCTCTCTTTGATGATTGGAGTCTTATCATTTCCAATCCGGTGTAGAATGTCTGGTAGCAAGCATGGTGTTGATATCCCACATCAAGTGCCGCATCTGCTCCATCACTTGTCTTAGCTGACGATTCTTAGCTTGTAGTTGCTACAAAATTGTGAGTGAAAACAAAGTTGAATAGTAATAACAACATATGAATAAAGATAGTGCAGTTAAGGATTTGAATCCACGTACCACATGATCTATTATATCTATGATCTATGCATTATCATTTGGAAAAAGATATGGACAATACATCTCCTCCATCACACATATTATTTATGGGTGTCATCAATATCTATTGTCACCCCCCCCCCCCCCCCCCCAATCACCACCAGATTACAGACAAATCAGTTCTATGTTATGAAAAAAAGAACACAAATACAGATATAATTAGAAATTAACAGAGAACCAACAGAGAAGAAAGTCTTTAACTTGAAGAGAGGATGGTATGTCTTTAGATAGCATAATAAAGATCTAGGCCCTGTTTCATAAAACTTGTTATCGATAACAAATGCTAAATTAATATGATAAATTTGCTCTCAGCCAACCGGATGCAACTATTTCAGTAGCTTTTAACAGTTATTGTAACTTGTTATTGATAACAAGTTTCATGAAAAAGGGCCCAGATCCTTCTACATTTACTTGACAGGGTATTGTACCTCAAAAAATAAAATAAAATACAAATTTTCAGTTACATCAAAACAGTAACTGTAATAAGAAGGAACCTCAAAACCCACCTCCATCAAGTGTAGTCTTTCATCATTCAAATACTGTGCTTTCTCTCTTGATCCTAGGGCTATCAGATCTTTACTGCTGATTACATCTTTCCACATGATGAGATCCTGGCAAAAAAAAAAAGATAAATTATTTGTGTTAATTTAAAGAGATGTTAGCTATATAAAATAAGGGTTTTACCACGGCTTGACACCAACTAGGCTCATGGGGCATGTGAGCTTCCAAAATCCAAGTCCTGGGCCCTGTCTTACAAAGACTTGATATTAATCGCAACTTATTTGAATATTTTTTATATTTTTATTTTAAAAAAAAGGGTCTACCTTTATATAAGGATTATGTTTCCATTCAGGTTGCAACCTATTTAGTATATGTCCTGGTCAAATATGTTCTTAATAGGCATTTTATGTTATATAACTGATTGTTATATGAAATGTTGTCTTTTTAACTGAATGAAATAAAATTGAATTATTTGCGATTGATATCAATCGCAACTATGTACATAAGAGGTAGGAGACTGCAAACTTGCGATTGAATAGAGCTTTAGAGGACTTGCAATTGATCCAAATCAATCGCAACTCTTTGTAAGACAGGGCCCAGACCCCCTGAATTTCAAGATTTTGTATATATGGCTCATGCATATAGACTTCAACATTGTGAATCCGAGCCCCCTTCCTTAAGAGTTAGTGTGGAGCCCTGATTATACACAACCCCTAGAGAATATCGCTGTAAATCAGAGTTTAGATTAAGTGAAATTTGAATAATCTTATTGCTGTAAATCAGAGTTTAGATTAAGTGAAATTTGAATAATCTGAAAATTAAAATTAAAATTAAGTATATGGTTGTGTAGTTTATAGGTCACTTTTGTCTGGAAATATTTTTACATCAAATAAATTATGTTCTCCTATTTTTTTGCTTACGGTGAAATTAAAGTTGCTATCAAAAGGCTTTGTTCTATTATTTTGTTCCTTTCTTTACATCAAAATATAACATCTGGAAAACAGATCAGTCAGAAACATTCTCAGTGGCTGATTAATGTTATAATAATACATTTTGCTGCCCAGGGAAGCCATTTCAGCATCAATGCTATTCTTTGTGAGGGCCCTGCAATTATTATTACCCCAGGAGATGCCAGGTTCCCACTTGCACCTGGGTGGAGGGTGGCAAATCCGGATTAATTCCTTTCAAAGGACGTTATTGCCCAGCTGAGATTTAAACTCTCATCCCTAAGATTGAGATTCAAGTCAATGAACCACTACGCCTCCACAATATTGTAATCTCCATGAAAAGGGATGTACCATGAAACTATTTTTCTGTGGGGGTGAGGGGGGGGGGGGTAGTTGATCAAAATTAATCTTGATTTAACACTCACTTCACTGGGCGTGTGAGTACCACTGGCTGTGTGAACTCCACTAGATATCTGGATACACTTATCATAGAGCAGCCGTAGTTTCTTGAAGTGAACCTCGATGTGCTTGGTGATATCTTGTAGCTTAGTTATTTTATCCTGATGACTCTGCTGTGTGTTACTTCTCCCATTAGGTAGCTGGAAGGTAAACAAAATCAAAAGGGGTAATCTAAATAAACACATCATTCATGTGCCTTGAACATCTTTTAAGATGGGTATGCGTGCCTTTTAATAGTTAAACATTGTCATGATTATTTACAGTCATGCCATGGAACTGTAAAGTGATGGGATTAAACGCCCAAATACTCTTTATCTTGAATGCTAACAATAGGTATCACAGATTCACAGTGACATTTTAAAAGTTTCTAAATTTCACTTCCCCTGCCCATTTCCTTTTTGAGCACATGAAAAGAAGAATTTTTATGTCTCATTTGTCAAATTTGAATAAGTACTTTTGAAAATACAGCCACTTACATAAGAGACGAAATGGTCAAATTTTGCTTAATTAAGCTATAACTGACAATTAGCCATTTTCAAGGTGATATAATTTTGTAATTAATTGATGAATCACCTTTCTTTTCAAGAAATCTGTTCTCTGTATGGATTTCTACATGCCTATTTTTTTTCAGGTTTTTTTGACAAATATTTTGTGTGTGGAATTTTTCAAATAATTATATGAAGCCCATTTTGATGCGTGTGACAAATGGCTATTTTTGCGTCGCCGGAACAAGTTTTCATGTGTTTTGAAACATGGCTAGATTTAAGAGTATCTATCAAGACGGGCTGAATTTCGGCATATCTGGGGTATATATATAGATTAACTATTTCTGCAAGTTTGGACCATCAAATCCATTTAAATTAATTTTAAATGGCATTTGAAAATGGCTCTAAACTCTTCAAGAAGTCCAGGTAGACCAAGGAACATCCCTTCACTGCTATTGTGTAAAAATGTGTAGAACAGGTGTCACATGCATATTCACCTGTTCTACACATTTTTACATAATAGCAGTGAAGGGATGTTCCTTTGTCTACCTGAGGAACTGTATATTTTGTACGCTTTCTTTGTCTGTCATGTTCATAGTGTCAGGGTATAGCTGTATTCATCGGATTTTCGCTCAAGCACCATCTCGCAGTCATTCTTAATATTTACATGATTGTATTCTCCAGTAAATTCTCTTTCTTCTCGTATAAAAATTGAATTAAATGTATGTTTTTCTGATATAGAAAAATTGTTTCAAACTTTTCACTCTGATTTTTCACGATCTTTTTAAAACATACCCCCATCATTTTTTATATGAAAATAAAGCTTAAGATGTGCTCTTTCCAACCAGTGGATTTTTAAAACTCAAAGACAAATGGTGTTCAAGCGCATTGAGCTAAAACTAGCGATACGAATCGGCGATCAAATAAAAATGGGGACAAACGAAGTGACACGGTACAAAATAGAGGGTAAATCTCAAGCAATTGTGTCGTAAGTAATTGATGGATTTTGATGAAAATGACATGATATGAAAGACAGAATCCTGAGCTTTCGAGAGACATATAATTTTATAATATTTATTTTTTCCATGATATGAAAATCTTCCTTGATAAAGAGAATTTACATGGTTGAGCTCTGTGTGTCCCCACTCAATTCAGCTTTTCTGCGATACCTACTAACAACATGCCACCTTGAAGAGAACAGATACAGATCATTACCTGATAATATAACACTTGGACCCATTTGGTGTTCAGACTAAAGTTAAGAATTTTGACTTGAAACATCAGCCGATTTTCAGCCCCAAATCTTGTTGCGTGACTTGACTGATCATACTACTGTTGTTACATATTGCAATTGATTTGTAAACAGAAGATATTCATTCAATCATAACACTTATAACAGATTTACATTAATTAATTTATGATTTCCTGACATCAATGACTTTGTATCAAGATGGCAGTGTAAATCTAATAACTGACGAAGTTCCCAATATGATAGTTTGATAGTTTTTTTTATGATGGGTCAGTAATTTTTTTTACTATTTTACCCATTATTAACTAATATATCCTGCATCAAAAATTTGTTCGCTTTTGATTGGTTGAGAGCTCGTCACATGACCAGAAATATTTGAACTATTTTTAGAAAGTACTATATGAGAGTACTATTTGGGAGTTGAAAAAAAAAATGTTTTTTCTATTAAATCTTTATTTAATGAAAACAAAATATTTTAAATCTTTTTATCTTTTTTTTATAAAATAAATTTTTGATGCAGGATATAAAACAAATATACCATGCCTTCTATTCGAGGTACTGGTTAAAACTAAGGGCCTCGATGACTCCAAAAGTATCATTTGCTTTGGGGCTGCGCCCCTCAGCAAATAGTACTATTGGAGTCACCTCTTGCTCATAGTTTTAACCAGAACCTCTCAAGACAGTGTATATTTGTATACTACCGGTACCTTCACAAAATTGATATGCTGTGCTGATGACCTGATGTAATAATTGATAACAAAAATTTAGAGCATCTAGGGTATTTCAGATCTAAACTAAGAACTCCTTGAAACACTTGATCAGTAACTGCAAGTTGACAGTAAGTATTTTTTTAGAAGTAACTGACACATAGGCCAAGTTAAATTTCTATTAAACAGAACTCCTTTTTCATTCCCAAACACATCGTGTGCTCAGAGACAGAAGGGCACTAACATAATTCATTTACAGAGTTAACACCCTTCTTGCTCCCAACAGATGACTTGATGGGAGTTAAAGGCCGCCTGTACTAGTTTGGCTAGGAGGGATTAGACCACCCAGGGAGGTCACTGACAGGTGGCTATCTCATCAACTCAGCCCTTAATTAACATAAGAAAAAGAGGATCATAGTGGACCAATGGTCACCAATTAGGCATTGTTTTCTATATAGAGGGAGCAAGTAGCTACAAGTAGTACAGTGGGGCTTTAATTACCTGGACTCCCTTGAGATTACTGAACATATCCTGTGTTTCTGTAACAAGATCCTGCACAGTCTCCTGTCCCAGACGGCAGAGAGACGCTGCATTCACCTCCTTGGTTGATGAGCCTCCTAGTGATTGCCCCACACCGGACATGTTGATTTACGTCTTCAAAGAAGTCTAGAAACTCTGTTTTTAGGAAAAATAAACAAATTGAAGTTACAAAAACATCAATAACGTACAATCAAATTTAAAAAGAGAGACCCTTTTTTGACATTCTAGACCCTAATATGAAATGAATGTAGTCTACATGTTATGGGAGCCATGTCTTTTTCTTAAAATGGTTTGAGAGATTCCTATTTTTGTTGGGAATGTGCATGAACCCCATCAAATTATAAGGTTTTAATATGAAGCCACAGAAAACCAAAGAAAAGTGAAAAGCGGTAGTGTGGAAAAACATAGTCAAGTCTATCACTGCACTGCTAAAGACTGGCTATTACTATTTTATAACAGCAAAAGGTTGTTTTCATCAATTCACACAGAGAGACAGCTGCACACATACACACTGCACAGTGAACAAAATGCCACAGACTTCTTCTTACACAGAATTTAACATATGGGCACGTGTTACGACATGGCTTTGTCAAAGGAGAAATTAGATGAGAGGTTTTATGCCGTTTATACGACTGTATTTGCCATTTCAACTAAGCCCACGAATATTTTTCACATCAAATAATACTTACCTAATTCTTAAAAAGCTCTTTTGGTGATCGAACATCCAACAACGTTAAACAAAAGTGCCAAATTAAAAGCTGAGATGAGCCTGAGATTTTTGGAAGTGAGATGAGAAGATCGAATTCGGGTTGGGTGCACGATCGACCGTCGAATTCGTTTATTCCTGAATGTCATGGAGATTTACCGAGGTCTGATATTATTTACACTTTCTTCTGTATTTCAAAAGTACTACTGAATGTCTTATCAATTATTTAAATTACCGAATATTTTAACAGTGCATCAAAAGAAGCAATGTAACGCGGACAGTTACATTACTACAGCTAGCCCCACATACTCTAAATTGTGTATGGCCAGTTGTTGTTGTTGTGTTTTGAGTTATTGGCGATTAGTCAGTGATTTGACTATTGTCGCCAAAATACTTTACGGCACGTGTTATATCTCTCAATTTTGGATTTAAAAAAAAAAAAAAATTTATTTCGTTTTATATTTATCTATCTTTTAAGATAGTATCGTAAAATAATATCGTAAGCAAAACATTCATGGGCTTTGTTAGTGTTTCTTAACAGTACGTGCAGATTATTTGTTATATCACATACACACCATACATAAATATGTATATAAGATAGCACCTACACAAGCTTCTATATTCAGTAATCTTATCATACCTTTTATCATTGTTGTTACTTTTTCTTATTTTATTTTCTTAATACATTATGTTATTATATTTTTTAATGTACTGAGTGTAATTTAACATATTTATAATATTGTATTATGTTTTACTGTTCTTATTTTATTTTCTTATATGTTATTATATTTTTAATGTACTGAGTGTAATTTAGCATATTATAATATTGTATAATGTTTTACTATTCTTATTTTCTTTTCTTATTACATTATGTTATTATATTTTTAATGTACTGAGTGTAATTTAGCATATTTATAATATTGTATTATATTTTACTGTTCATCAAGGGAGGTATTACTTCCTGATAGGGAACCGTTTCGTTCTGAGAAAGAACCGTACAATAGCTTTTTGTATACTGGACTCACTCTTTTTTAAGTATTCCATAATTTTTTCCGGTTGGGATTCGTTAATTTCTGTTAAAAACATAGCCCTTTCAATAATATAGTTAGGGCAATGTACTAAAAAATATTTTACAGTCTCTATTTCACTGGGGCATCTATTACAGAAACCAGTAGCATGAATTCCCAATCTGAGGAGATCCTGGTTAAGTCCAAGGACTCCAAAGCGGAGTCGATGAATTATTGTTGAATGTTGTCTCTCTAATGAACATATATATGGTTTATTAACATCTTTTTGATATGTTTATACGAGTTGGTTTTGTTCCACCTTTCTTGCCAAAGGAGTTTGGAACTTGTAGTAATTAAGCTTTTCATTTCTGACATATTTAGATTATTATTGACTTCTATTTTCTTTACTAATGCGGCCTTTGTGTGGAAATCCGCCATCTCGTTCCCTTTTATTCCACAATGTCCAGGTATCCACTCTACATATATATCAACTCCTTTATTCTTTAAGTGAGTAGTCATGGTGAGAATTTCCAGAATAAAAGATTCGTCCTTCTGTTGTTGTAATGCAATAAGTGCACTCAGTGAATCACTAAAAATAACAACCCCCACATAAATGTCTAATTCATCTACCCATCTGAGAGCAAGAATGATGGCAGCCAATTCAGCCCTGTACGAAGAGGTGAAATTTGCTAACCTTTTGCTCCGATGTACAGAGTAGTAAGGGACGTAAAAAGCAGCTGCAGAGGTCCCTCTTTCAGGTACTTTTGATCCATCGGTGTATATATGTAATTGAGTCGCCCATTTAGTATGTATGATTTCCAGGCTGCTTTGTTTTTGTTGTGTAGGATGATCTGTTTTCTTTATTCGAGTACTTAATTCCGTTGACACTGCCGGAGGGTAGAATAACCATGGTGGAAATGGGGAGTAGGTTATCGTTTCTATACGTTTTCCCAGATTGCTTTGTATTCTATATCCAAAAGGTTTGTTTACGTTTTTCCCCTTCAAGTATTCAAAATGCCAACATGGTTCAATGTTTTTTAACAACGGATGATTCGCCCATCTTTCGATGTTTTGTCTATATTTACTTGAAAGCATTTGTCTTCTTATATCCAAAGGCATTTCCCCCATTTCCACCTGTAGTGATTCTAAGGAGGTTAAGGGCAGCCCACCTGCGCATATCCTCAGTGCTTGATATTGGACAGAGTCAATGGCTTTTTCGGTGGTAGCAGCTGCACTGTCATACGCCTCACATCCGTAATCAAAAAGAGACCTTATAAGTGCTCTGTACACCATAATAAGTGATTTCGAGGAACTTCCCCAGTTTGTTCCAGTTAGACATCTTAAGATATTTAATTTTCTTTTACTTCTCGTGATTACATTTTCGATATGTGGTTGCCAAGTTAACCTTTTATCAAATATAACCCCTAAAAAGCGATGAGATTTTTCGTACATTAACACATTTCCATTCAGTTCTATAACAGGCGGTAGAACGGCATTCCAACTTTTCGTAAAAAGTACGGGCACTGTTTTGACAGGTGAGAGTCGAAACCCCCACTCTTCAAACCAACGATTTAAAAGATTCAAATATTTCTGTATTTTTTCAGTATTATGTACAATGTTCCTGCCTGATATCCATATTGCGCAGTCATCTGCATACATAGATATTCTTACATCTTGGTCTGTCGGTATATCACCCATCATTATATTATATAAAAGAGGACTTAAAACACTCCCTTGTGGACTTGTGGTAACCCGTTATGCGTTTTATAAGTTTTAGATTCTGTATTTCCAATTCGTATTTGAAAAGTTTGTGCTGTTAGATAATTTTCTATATATCTCAGCATGTTCCCTTCTATTCCATTTTTTGCTAATTTAAAAACCAGACCCTTTATCCAAACTGTATCGAAAGCCTTTTCGACATCCAAGAAAACCGCTATTACAATTTATACTCTTTTGGATGTCGTTTTCTAATTGTACAATATTGTCCGTCACACTACGACCTTTCCTAAATCCACTTAAAAAATTGGGTAATAAATCATGCTTTTCAACATACCATTGTAGTCTTTCTTTTATCATTCGTTCAATTATTTTGGCAAAACATGATGTTAAAGAGATTGGTCTATATGACGATGTATTTCTGGGATCTTTTCCATGTTTGTGAATGGGGATTATTATAGAATGCTTTAATTGAATTGGAATTTCCCCGGTTTTCCATATTAAGTTAATGATGTTCAGCATGATTTCCTTGTTTGCTTTTGGCAGATTTTCATAAACAACGTAAGGTATATTATCTTTTCCTGGGGCAGTCTTTTTTCGCGATTGCACTGCCTTTTCAAATTCTGTTATAAAAAAGGGTTCATTTATAACATGATCTACATTTAAAATATGAATGTCATTATTTGGTGCCTTCGGTAATTCCTTATTAGTATCCCTGTCTTTTATTCCTATTTTTTGAAAGTAATTTCCAAAGGCATTTGCTTTCTCCTGATCGGAGACAATATCTTTACTATTTACAATCAATGTTGACATATTTTTTTTTTTTTTTATTAGTACACCATTCAGCCGTTTTATACAAGCCCAGATCTTAGATTCTGGCATATACTGATCAAGCTTCGTGCAAAATGCTCGCCAGTAATTTCGTTCTGCTTGGCGGAGCACACGCTGTGCTTTTGCTTTCTTTTTTAAGTACTCATCTACCTTTTCAAAAGTTATTTTCCGTGACATCTTATTACACATTCTATTTCTCTCTTTGATTTTCTCTGTACATTCTTTGGTCCACCAAGGCACCGGATTTTTAGAGACATTTCTCCTTTTCGGTACAGTTTCTTTTATACACAGTTTTAAATATTTCATGAAATTATCATATATTTCCTGTATATCATTATTTATAAGTATGAGATCATTTGTAATCATCTCTTCACATTTCTTAGCAAATTTTTTCAAATTTATATGTTTAAAGGAGATAAAATCATCTGCACTACTTATTGAAGCATCTTTATATTCAGAGCTTTTCCCGTTTAAAGTTGTTTGGATATTTATTGGGAAGTGATCACTTCCAAAAAGGCTTTCCATGACTCTCCAAGTACTTCTACATGCCAGTGAAGGAGTGGTTATACATAAATCTAAGCATGACAGTTTTCCTGTTCGTGGATCCAGTCTGGTTCCTTCGCCATCATTCAAAACAGTTAGATTATGATGATTCACAAATTGTTCTATCACTTGTCCATTCTTGTCTGTTTTGTCACTTCCCCACATGGTACCATGAGCGTTAAAATCGCCTACTATAATAACTTTATCATTTTTATTAACGTCTTTTAATAGCACATTCATAATATATTCATTTAATTTCTTACAAGGATTATAAAAGTTCACAATTGATAACTTTTCATTTCCTGCGTGTATGTTTACTTGCTGCATTTCTAAATTTACATCATTCATTGGACCTTCATACTTGATTTTATTATGAACGTATATCGCACATCCTCCCCTCGCCTGATTTTCCCTATTTCTTGGGAGACATGTGTATTCAGGAATTTGAAGAACTCTATTTTCCTGAAACCATGTTTCTTGTATACATATCAAATCATAGCAATGTTTGTGTGTGTTCAAATACTTTATAAGTTCTTTTCCATGTCCTAGTAATCCCTGTGCATTCCATTGTAGTATGGAAAACAGTATCATCAATGTTTTAAGTATCGTTATCAACATTGTTAGCACTACTTATTTGCTGCAGCGATCTTTTCGCTGCGACCAGAACTAAATTATTTATTTCTTTAAGAGTTTTGCCCTCTGTGAGTGAGAGGATCAATTGACATATAAAGTCAATTATCTGATCATCATTTGCTGTAGCTATAAAGTTCGTGGTTACAGAAGGATTTTCTTTCTTTTCATTGTCTTTTTTTGAAGTGATTGTTGTGGAGTTTGTTGATGTTGTTGAAGGATTTTGTGGGATTTTTCGAGGGATTTTCGAAGGATGTTTTGAGGTTGTTCGAGGTGGTAAGACATTTTGAGTTTGTTGGGTGCTGGTGGTTACGGGAGGTACGTTTTGTGTGGTTGCAGCGATGGCATATGAGCCAGGTATCGCATCTCTTGGTTTAATTTGTGTGTTTTCTTGTTCCTCTTTCCTCATTTGGGAGGTTTGTGTGACAATGTTAGTTTGAGGGGTATTTTGTTTATTTGTCCATATTTGTGATGCTTGTGCATATGTGATTTTTTCTGTGATTTTGATGTGTTGTACTTGTTTAGCTTTTTTTGCTTGTGTGCAACCATTATAAGCAGCAGAATGCTCGCCTCCGCAGTTTACACATTTCGGGGTGTCTTTTTTGGCGCACTCCTCAAACTTGTGGCTTTCGCCACATCTAACGCATCTCATGTTAGACCGGCACGCTGCTGCCCCATGCCCAAATCTTTGGCACTTGAAGCACCTGACTACTTTGGGAATGTATAATTTTACCAACTTTATTTGGTAGCACATCCTTATCGATGTTGGTAGAGTGGATGTACTAAAGGTCAGGATGACGCTTGTTAGAGGAATCTGCTTTGATTCGTTTGTTTCCATTTGATCTTTATCTTCTCCATTCTTCACCCTTTTTGTCATTCTTTTAACCGCTGTTACCTGTTGCGTTCTTAATTCAGACAAAATTTCTTCCTCAGTCATTTCTATTGGAATGGCGTAAATTACCCCTTTGGCGCCTCTTGCACCCTCGGTCACTTTGACAGGAATATTCCCTATATTATCCAACTGTATATTGCTCGAACTTGTTTTATGTTCTTACACTTAACTAGTAATCCAGAGCTAACAGGTTTTATGAATTCCACGGGACTAACACACACATCTTTAATCGCTCGTGCGATTTTTATGGGACTCATATTTTTTAAAGATTTATTTTTGTCTATTGGGGTAATGAACAGTTTGAAATCTGTTTGCTTTGGATCTTTGCCAGGAGAAGGGGTTTGATAAACCGTGGTGTTTGAGTCTGATTCTGATGTTTTAGTGTTTAAGTTTTCTACCGCTACACTTTCTTCTCGTCTTCTTTTTTGATTAGGTTCTCCTTTCCTAGGTCGATTATGAGTAACAACTCTGAACACGTCATCACTTTCACTTCTCACAGACAGTTCCGGCTCAGAGAGAGCCGAAGCCGTCGCCATGATTGGCCTCCCAAAAAAGGCGGGAAATTTGAATGCCGTCGCACGTGCTATACTGTTAGAAGGTGCAGGATTGTGTTAGAAGCCCACAAAATAATTGCTTACCTACAGAAATAATCCAAATTCATAAATCTTTCCAAATGCTACCATTTGAATTCCAAAGTACGTTTCAAAGATAATTCCAAATATTTCGGTATATTCCGAGAGAGAACCAAAGACACGTCCGTCACACGTGGCAAACGTGTACTCTTGGCTATGGTGACTCTGAAATTTAGTGCTGTGAAAAAGTAGACACAAAATCAGTGATTTTGATTCAAGGGAATACATAAATTGTAAGTCAAAATATCATATAATCAGATAATTGGTATCACATTTTACTTTTAATTTTGATGACATGCATAATCTCTCGAAATGATTTCCAGACCTTTAGTGGTAAGTTCATATTTTTTTCGGAACAGACGCAATTGCAAAACCAAAAAGTAAAGACTGCAAAATTTGCTAGTCTTTTGTTTTGTCAATATTTTCATGATTTCACACCCTATTCAAAAGAAAATTTCAGCACTAGTCTAGGTAATTATTATGTTCCTTTTTCCATTGCTATTGGTGATACATTATTACATGTATCATGTTTTGGAAATCTTACTGATTTTTGAAAAAAGATACACTGCAACTGTCCACGAATATGGGGGAACTTTGGTCACACCACTGTAATATTGTGGCTGAAATTAGATCTTTAAAAGCGGTTTTAACTTCAATATAATATATGCCCTATTTGTGATTGAATACTTTGCATTCACCTAGGTTAATTCATTGTCCATGTTTCATTGTTATTTTGGGGATGGGGTGGGGCAACAAATTTTATTTTTTGATTGTCAAAGATGGAGCGGTGAAATGTAGTTCTTTGAAGTTTGAAGGAAGAATTCTCTTTTCTTTTCTTCCAGGAATTCCTCATCAAGATAATTCATCTTATAGGAACAACAATTGTCTTGAACAGATACGATGGATTCCTTCAGGGTTCTGCATGACAGCTTGGCACAGAGCTGTTGCCTATGTCACATCGAGACAGGAACTATCCTAGACCAATTACATCTTGGTTCACTTCATAAAGGTCAAGATTTAAATGAGGAGATTTCTATGTCCACCAGGGATCTAGTCTTAGTGAAGTTAGGCTTGATCACAAGCCTTTCTGAGATCAACCATTGCAGCAAATTAAAAGAAGTGCAGCAAGCCCTCCTTTCATCAGAAAAATTTGAGCATCTAGTAAGTCAGGCTGATAAAAACCCGATTTAAATCGGTTTCCCCATTTTTTTCTTCTTCTTCCCGATTTTATCCTGATTTTGCTGATTTTTCTCTTATTTTCTCTATTCTTCTCTATTATTTCCCAATTTTTCTTACTCAAAAGGGGGGGGGGGGGGGGCGGGAATGTTGTTAGATGCCATTTTTCCCCTCGAATCCTTTTTTTTTTTACTCAAGAGGGGCGTGGTTGCATGAGTATGTGTTCCTTTAAAGTAAATTCAATCCAAAATAGTTTTAGATAGAGACAACTCCATTGCAGAGACCTAATTGGTGTATAATATCTTAGTACTGTAAGTAGATTTTTTGCAATAAATATAAGACTACTTGTGCACTTATTTTTGCATCCTTTCCTTGAAGTATAAATCTTTCAAACTACCTTTTCCATCTTATTATGAGATAATAATTTTGTTTCTCTATCCAACTTTTTGTATCGTGCCAAGAGTGCATTTTCCCAATGCTCTATCCCAGAATGAAATGGCTTTCCAGCAAATGTAGTTCACGCTGACAGTCCAGATAACTTCCAGGGACTACTGCTGAGGCACTTAATGCCCTTATCCCAGTAAACCGCACTTGTCTTCCTCATACCATTTGCAATCTTTAATTTATCTTCGTGATTGGCTACATAACCCTTTAATGATTACAAAAAGAAGAAGAAAAAAAAAGAAATTCTATCAAAGCATCATGTAATAATTCCAACTACATCTGTTCATTTCTGTTGACAATCAAGGTGTGAGCTTACAGTTTTTAATTGGCTACAGTTTTTTCAAGTGACACAACTGCTGCAATATGAATGCATAATTATAACGTTCTCAATCTCAATGAATATCACAATTTTACCATCTATCCTGCAGCTTTCTATGTTAAGCTCAACTGATCAGCTAGTTGCATATAGTGCCAGTAGATGCCTTGAAGTTCTTCTGCTGAAATTAGCCAAGATTGACAAAGATAAGGTAAGTACTTACTTAGATACTACACAGTGGGGCTTCAGGGAATGTAACATTTTGATTGGTAGCTTGCATCTAGAATATTACCTTTAAAAAAAATGTACATTTGCAACTGAACTAAACATTTAATTTCCAATCAAATAATTGTGACGCAGGTGAATGAAATTGCATCTTTGTAAATCTGGCAGCAAGTAATTCATGAACTAACAATGTAAGCATTATGATACAAATTTCAGCATTGATTTCTTCTTAGTTTTGAATTATTGTGTGGATTATCATGTACTTGTGACCATTGGGTTATCATTGCATATCAGGCAAATAAATGCCATGAGGAATATCCACCATTCCATCAAATTTGTGATTTCATCAAAACAGTTAGTCCCTGTTTGCATTTGTTATTGCTGGTGACTTAAATTAATTGGATTCCATTCAGTATATTTCATTTATTCGTTTGCAGGCAGAGGGTTTTCTGAGGCAAGCCATCCAGTCCATCCTTCATCCTGGAGGAGGCTTGGAGCAGAAGATGTCTTCAGTCATGAACAGGATCATCTTTACCTTGGATCTCATGACAAACATCTCGAGTGGAGAGTTAGTGAAGACAGACAAAATAGATGGAGACACGCCCACTCTTCCTTGTATGAGAAGCTCTACATCATCTGCAGATGAGGGCAGCAGAGTGATAACGCAGCCTAGCGATGATTGTGCATCTGGTAAGATGTAGGGATACCTTGCTTTTTATGACCAGATTGTATGTAGACGTATTTTATAAGATTTGACCACGTTTGATGTGATTTGAGGACAGACTTAGACTTTTGTTTTAATCACCTTGCCATCTGTCAAGATCGCTTTTCACTCAAAGAGCAGTCCCCCCCCCCCTTCCCCTAACCATCACCACATTTTCTTTAGCAGCTTTCATGATACACAATAACTTTCAGATTCATATGTTTAGCTCATGCTGATGAATAATGATATCATTTCATTTCAAAGAAACTTGTCAACAAATTTAAGAGCATTTGAAGGATGAGATTCAGTTGCTTGAATAGTGGGCCAAAAGAATCAAATTTGGCACTGAATATAGTTAATGATGTAAGGCCTTTAGCTTATAGCTCAAAAGGAGAAGAAAACAAAATATGTTTGGGGATACTGTGCATTATGTTATTTTATATTTGTAAGTTTGACAAATTTTGAAATTATTTTTCAAAATCAATTATACTCTCCAGATCTTACCATATGGTACCATGATGTAATCAAGGAGAACATCACAGAGCTTTGTGCCTTCTCTTCAAGTCAGTTTGACAAAGATTCCAACCAACACTATGTCACTGGACATGAACCATCCTCCATCTTCTGGCTTCATTCATTGAATATCTCCTCCAAACACAAGATCTACCATGCCTTCCTTAGACTTCTCTACTCATATACCAAAGTACATATGAAGAGGGACCCTCACAGCATGCTACCTTTCATACAGGCAACCTTGCCTCACCTCCAGGCAGAGCTAATGACTTACTGCAGGGGTAGTGTTGCCAATTTGAAGATGGTGCTCAGCGTACTGATCATGTGTCTGAAAGCATGTGTGAAAGCTTGTGAGAGTGCAAAGCACAGTGGGGAAGTTGAATCCAACAGTGTAGAGTCACTGCAAACATTGGGTGCGTCATGGAGTAGGCTTGTAGGGGACGTTTGCGAAGAACAGTGGTTAGAGAAGATGCCATATCATGAAGGACCTGTCGGTTTGGGAGGATCTGTGTTTGCTGCAGAAGAGGAGTGTGAGAAATCTTCAGAGGAATACATCAGAGGAGACAGGATGATTCTAAGAAAGCTTGCTCAGCTTGTAATACTAGGTTCAGAGTTAGAAGCAGTGTCTTCTGGAATGGCAGGAAGACGGGGAGTCAGTCACCTTGATCAAGTGTCTCGTTTCATCGTGTCCAAACTGAGAGAGTCATTGCAGAAGGAAGAAACTGTGAGTCAAGGAAGATGGATCTTTGAAATATTTGGGGATCAAGACGATGCTTTGATACAAATTATGCTCATCCTTCTGAAGATTAATCTGTCATCAAAGATGCACATTGATGATGACAGTGGATGCACAGGGAAAAATGAGGATGTTGGTGACCATGGAAAGGAAATTCGTGCTGAGCAAAAGGGGGAATGCATCCTTGATGCACATCATGTCTTCATCTCTTTCTTGGATCATATGTCTTGGGATCATAGCATCTTGCTTGATCTGCTCATCTCAACGGAAACAGATTTCCTGGAGTACTTCATCAGGTATCTGCATTTGGTAACGACTGATTGGCAGGGGTTTGTTCAGGTTCAAAAGCTTTACAGAAGGAAAGAAGAGGATAAGAATAATGTAGCATGTCAGATTCTATCAAGTGATGACAATAGTGATGATGGTGATGATGATGTTGAAGGAAATGATGATGAGGATGATGTAAGCCATAGCAATGAAGGTTGTGATGGCTATGATGATGATATTGATGAAGATGATGATGGTTGTGATGGTGGTTATGAGGTTGGGATTATTAAAGAATTTGCTGAAAAGTTCACTGATGGTACTGATGACGACAATGCTATTGAGAATGATGTCAGTATGAATGAAATCAGTGCAAAGGAGAACGATCTTTACGGACAAATTGGATCCGAACAACTTCCAAAGTCATCAGAAAATCTTCCAGTTAAACGAAAATGTGAACTTGAAGAAGTGGATGAAAATGCAGCAAGGAAAACAAAGAGAACAGAAATAGAAGGGCTTACTAATGTCACTTTACCACTGGAGGATATGGATGAGGCTAGTTGTGGAGACCATACTGTACGTGACGGGAAGAACGAGGTCTGTATCCAGTCAGTATCTGAGTTGGGTTGTTTAGATGATACCATGACAATCTTGATTCGACTCCGTCTTGCCATAGAAAGGCTTGATAGGAAAGGCCTTTTCCCATTCTCGGCCACGCCTCTCATCAGAATACTTGTCAAGGTAGAAGATATATATGAGGCTGTGGATGGATGAGCATTACTTTTCTTCTCTTTGGAGAATTCATAATTACAGTTCAAGTGCGTTTCATGCACTTAATCTCGAGTCTACTGTATTCTTCTTTGTCTTTTTTTTATAAGATTTGTACTGTGCTAAACTTGCCAAAGACTGGAATTTCGGCTGTTACTGTTTTCCTTGTTTCATAAATAAAGATATTCTGCCAACTGCAAAAAATATCTGTAAGAGAATTCTTGATTGTGTCTTTAAACTGTCTTGTATTTGTATTTCAGTACAATTAGACAATCGCTGCCGTTAAAAAATATTCAAAAATGAAAAATGTACTAACTTCAGTCTTGAATTAAACCATACTAAAAGAGTTGTCAATTCACTAATTTATGAAGCACCAAGTCCCAACTTCTTCATCCTCCTGATATATCAATTTATATGAATGAATAAACAGACAATACATAGTCGTGAAATGGTATTTGCATGTTATGACTGAATTCATTTTATGTGTAATAGAATTACAACAACATGTCAGGATAAGAGACCGACACTTGCCCAATGCCATAAACCATATGCTGAGCCAGGTTAAAATATTAGTCATATTTTATGTTTACGGAACTCTGGAGACCAAGCACAAACAAAAAAAAATAAGTTAGAATTCAGTTTACATTTGAGGATTTTTTTTTTATTTACCAGATGTATTTCAAAAATAGTATTTACAAATTTTACACAAACATGTCTTTGAAATTAAGATACTTTTTTTACACAATGTATAAAGAGCATTGTTTCCAAGTGTGTTTAAAGATAAAGGTTAGTCCTGGTCATAGGATTGCATTGTGAAAGAGAAGGTGTGGAGTGGATCAGAAAAAGTTGATCATGTAGCATGTAAGTATTGGTGTGTACTGCAAAGTTCTGGAGTCATCAAAATCATAATAAATTTGGCCAAGTCTTGGTAAAGTAACAAGCACTGTACACAGAAAGATGTATATGGGACTACACAAATGGTGCCGGGGCTACTAACCTTGATTTCCTAATCTTTCTATGCTCATTACTCAGCCAGTATACATTTTCTACCAAAATTGTTTGGCAAATGACATTTATTTGTAATCTTGAACATTCAGTGTAAGTTTCATTTGATTCTGTGAGAATTCATTTTCTTTTTTTTTTTACCAGAACTCACCTTTATCTTTAACAGCCATCACAAGATGTAAAAACTATGATGATCATGCATTATTTATGACTTCATGATTGACTCAAATACATTGTAAGAGAAGAATGAAGGTCATTATGAGGAGAATTATGAAAGGAAGAAAGAGAGATGACATGGGAGAGTGGCGGTAGGGCGTCAATATAGTAAAGGCTTGTTCAAGTATGTCATGGTAAACCGCTGCAAAAAAGGCTGCTGCGTTTTCTTAGGTATAACATTAATGGCAACTGCACGCAACAAAGGACTTGCACGTAGTCACTGAGCCCTGTGAAAAGATTTGAAAATGTGTAGCGTATTACACTTTGGAACATACAAAATGCAGCGGTTTTGCCGCGCCTTATCTATGAATGAGCCTGAGATTGATAGTGAGGAGAGCAAATGATGAAGTCTATTTATATGTCAAAGAAAAGTATTGCAATGAAAGGAAGGGTTTGAACTGCTGAAGAGAAAACTAGCATAAATGAGGTCTTTTAAAATGTTTCCCGGGGCATATTTTACATAATAAAAAAAACGGTTAAAAACAAGGTTATCGGTGAAGAAAACAACCATAATACCAAAGGAAAAAATGAATGTGACCTTGTTTATCTTTCTGGGGTGAACAAGTCCTCAAACAGCCATTCATGAAAACTCCATAGAGGTATGCTACATGTATGAATTAATTCAGTGCCTCTACTGGAATAGCACTCTAAAAAAATTGTAACTTTCTATCAATTAAAATGACAAACGTCAGGCAAATTGACTTTTAGACAATTCAGAAATTAATTTACATTGGGTTGTATTCTTAGATTCATTTTTATCTCAGATATCTGATATCTGATAAGAAATGCTGATTTTCACTCTCTTTATGTACAGCCAATAGAGTCCTGTTCAGCCAGTCTCTTGGGCAAGAGAGCACAAATGCTTTATTTTCTATAATTTTTACCATGCATGCAAGCGCAAACACGCTTTTGCTAGGATTTCCTTACAAATTTTCTGAGGTAGTTTCAAAGGCTTTTGAACACCATTGGAAGTATCATTTGAAGTATGATATTAGTCAGAAAAAATCTTGAAATACAACCCGATAACCCTACAAAAATGTTCCTTGCGAAATATAGTCTGTACTTATTCGTTATTGTTTATTTTGATCACATAACTACCTGCATACTTTAAAATTGATGTCGCTCTTACCGTGATTCCGATAAAATAGCCCTTTTGACTATTTTAACACTTATTTTATCTTTCACGTAAAGGAAGATGGTAATTAGCGTTAAAGCTGCATGTGTCATGCATTTAGGCCTAACTAATGAGAATGGAGAAGAGGTCGAGATAACATGAAAGATAAAATCTGAGATAAAATGTGGTCTCAAAATGCTGAATATTTTAAAAAGATAAAACAAAATGCTTTAGAGATAAAATCATGCTCCGAATACTACCCATGGACTATTAACTCCTAAATTTTAGTAGGTCTTTCTAGTCATCGAATTCAGGCTTGCCCGCATAAATGTATGAATATTCTCCATTTTCTTGGGAGCTTTCCCGCCAGGTGCCATTTTACAGACACTCAAGTTGCTAGCAAACTACGACTTTCGCATCCTACCAGGTATCCACTTAACACCTGGGTGGAGGGTGGCAAATTTGGATTAATGTCTTCCAAAGGATACTAGTTCCGGGCTGGGTTTTGAATCCTCAATCCTTGAAATTAGAATCAAGTGAATGAACCAACAACGACACATCAATGAAAAATAAATTCACCACAGCAGAATAAGTCGACACAAGTGTAGTCTCCATCACAATTCTGTAAGTAGTCGTAGCACTATATAAGGAAGTGGCCTATTTCACAGAGGTCTAGTTTGAGGTTACTCAATCCCAGCTATATGTGTGTATCATAAGCATTGTCAAATCCAATGTGACATATGTGAAACAGCTAGAGTTCAAGTCTTCATCTTCTATGGTAAACGGCTTGAGCTGAAGTGATCATCTCCTGTATCTGTATCTCTTGAAGCGGAACCACAACTGGAAGATGCTGTTACTAAACTGACATCTGAAACCATGGCGATGAGAGTACTCCCATTCACGATTCACTATCTTGAAGGCAATATCCTGTGAAGGCCACATAAGATAGAAACACAACTAGTTAAAATTACGATTTTTGTTTCCATCCTCGTCATTAGCTATATGTACACACACCACCATCCAACTTAACAATATTTCTGTCATTTCCCACGTTTTACCCAATTTCAGAAAGCTGTATTCTGTAATGGTATCCCCCATCAATTTTGAGAACTATTTATTCTTGCATGTCATAAATTTAGGAGAGTTTTTTTGTATCCCCTCCCCCTATGTTTTGTATGCCAAAGACTTAGGCAATATGTAGCCTCAAATCATACAATTCATGATTTGTCACTGCATGAAAAGTGAAGTTGGACACAACGCTATTCTTCAATTTCAATTCAATTTATTTGGCATCATAAAAAACATTACAAATCATAAATACAGAATAAATAATAGGCCAGGACCTCTGAGAAGCAACTTTTGCTTGTACATGAGTCCCCTAACAATGCGAACACAATATCAAATTAAATGGAAAATAAATACATATTAAAAATAATTTTCAGCATTTTACATTTTAGTGCTGTGTATATCATTTCCCCAACAATATATTAGGGTTATTAGATTAAAAAACTTTAGTCATTTGTACAAGTTATTTCCCAATAGTTTTTGGATAAACACATTTTTGTCTTAAATGTACATGGATAATTGCAGGGCCCTCGGGAAGAAGAGCACTGGTGATGATGAGGTCTCCCTGGGTAAACAAAATAATGATTATTCTCATGTACCTAGAGCACCCTTTTGGAGTGGATATTTTGCACATTATAAAGGTCTGTATTATCATTAATATTATTAGTTCCAAGATGAAAATCGATGGAGGTTGTGATATATACAATACAATACAATACAATAAAGTCATTTATATAGCGCTCTTACGAACTAACTGTTGTTTCACAGCGCTTTACATATATAAAGGAATAACACCTACCTCATAGGGTGGCCCAGCACAGAATGTTAGGATAGCAAACTCTGGAGTTAGAGGGATCGGTGTTAAGGTGTACTCCGGGGTCTTTCTCTTGTCAATTAGATCAGGAAAGAAGATCTGGAAAGAAACGGATAAGTACAAATTATTTATGAATTGGAACATAATGCCTAGGAACTTGGGTAGTTCCAGTTTAAAATGGGGACTGGCCCCACTGGCCCGAAATGTAAAGTATATATTCATATTCTTAGTTGGGTAGTTGGCTTTACTTTTAATAAACGTAATCAAGAGGATATATATTTCATAACTAGAATGATGACAATCAATGTCATTGCTGCATTGTAAACCTTGACAAAAATACATATTGCTAACATGATAACATCCCATTCCTAAATAGCACACAATAACAATGAAGACTAATTAAAAATGAAAACACAAGTATAATTCAGGCAGTATACAGTGCAATGTCATAATTAATAAGATTCATTTTTTTCTTCTTGTTAGTATAAATGCAATCCAACACGCTTCCAATAGAATACTGGATTGTTTCTAAATTGGATGTTTTAACTAATGTCTTTTGTGTCTTATTTGTCCAATATTTTATTATGTCTATGCCACAGACACTAAATTCTTTGATGATATCAGAACTAAAAAAGAGAGATTAAGTGAAGATTGAAGTCTTCAGCTTAAATGTCACCAATGTCAATATGCATATCACTACATGCTGAGTTTCCGATAGGAAAGACCCTAATTCTCAGTAACATGAAAGACACTATAGCAAACAATGCCTGATCAGTGCCTGTTGGTCCCCCATGATCCCCTTTTTCTTATGTTAATTGAGAGCTGAGTTAATGAGACAGCCACATGTCAGTGACCACACTGGGTGGTCTAATCCCCCTTGCCAAACTTGTGCAGACAGGCTTTAAAGCCAACTAATGCTGATGTACTCACATTGAACTTGTATCCTTGTACAATCTTTGGAGGAGGGTTATCCATGTCATAATGAGTCTGGTTGTACTTGTTCCACTCAAAGCCCTGGTGAAAAACAAAACAAAGTCATCGTAAAAACATGCTGGTAAATATGAAGATGAATATATCTATAGAGAATCAATGTAGTATCTTTGAATGAAGGGATTGATAATTAGCAAAATCTGACAAGAGTACTGATTAATAACAATGATAATAATAATTGGATTTATGTAGAACTTTTACAGAGGATAGGAGGCACCGTCCCTTGGTCTAAGAACAAATCAAGAGTTAATAGAGGTATGATTTAAGATGTTTTTTTTTTAAAGGCAAGTGAAGTACTGTTTCTCAGAATGCAGTGAGTGTGTTCCATCGCATGGGGAATGGATTGAGTGGGTACATTTTCCTGGTCGAAACAACTTACATGAGATAATAAAATCAAAATGACCCAAAAGTTACATAAATCAGTCATTTAAAACCTGGTCTTCCTACAAGAGAAAAAAGGTTTGGTACTCACAGTGTGTACACGATTGAAGAAGCGTGGTTTACGAGGTCTGTACTTGTCGGACCACATGTAAGGCTTCTGTTGCAAGTTGACCTCGACGGCAAAGGACGATTCATCTTTACCCATCTCTCGCTTGGCTTTCTTGATGAATTCTGTCTCTGCATCAGTCTGTGGAAGGACAAATAATAATAATAATAAAAACGATGCTTATAAAGCGCTTACCACCTAAGTCTCTAAGCGCTATGTTAATTTAGTGAATCACTCAATAGACCATTCGCTCATTTCAGCGATAAAGCCAATTAAAAATCCACTGAATTACCCCAACCATACATATCTTCCTGTAAAACTACATTTTTGTTAACAGCTATTCTTGTATTTTTGTACAATTTTTTTTTTTTTTTAAGACTTGAGCTTTTTAAAATTTTTCCGCAAACTCTTTTCGAGTCTCTGCACCCCAGTGAATATTTTTCTGTTGGTTCCATTGCAGAAGGCTCTATATTTTTGTGCTGTGGACGTAGAAAGTACACAATGGTCCAGAAAGTAAAAAGAATGGCTATTAATAGTAATGTTGATAACCATTTCTTATATAGCACCTTACCAGTAAAGAGCTTGTAGTATTATAAGCCTGATCACAAGTTTCAGGAGGTTTAACACTTTTTATGCACAAATAATCTTACTGTGCCTCAATGTATTTATCACAGATATAAGAAGGTTTCAATCTTATTTGTTTCCAGTACAAGATTAATCTACATCAGTGTTAAAAGGGTTGCCACAGAGCTACTCAAGACTGGAAATGGGTAATTTTGCAAAGCCCATGTGTTGTACAAAGCAATCCTTCCATCAATTTTATGCTTTATGTTATGTGAAAATTGCCAAGCGGTAAACAAGCAAATGTGCATATGGGCAAAGAAAGCAACCAAAGTGTTAAATGTTAGAGGGTCAAGAACGAATCTCACCTCAGCTGATCCTGTACTGATGAGATGTTTCCTAGCTGTCTCAAGCTTGAGATAATCCTCTTCAGGATCCTGTACAAAGACTTCAATGGAGAGGTCTTTCTGCTCCAGGAGCCTTGGACTGTAGTTCCCTTGGACATACTCCACATAGTTCTCTTCTTCAAGATCCTCCTCTGTCAAGATCGACTCTGGTCTATTGGTAGAGATAGGATCGAATGAGAGATTATAGTAATAGTAGTTTCTTGGTTTCAAATATTTCAATTGAGAGATCTTTCTATTCCAGAAGCCTGGAGATGTAGTTGCCTTGAATGTACTCTACATAGCTACACTCCTCCACTAAGATGGACTCTGGTCTACAAGATAGTGATAAAAATACAGATCATGGGAATTTATGTTTATTGGTTGTCAGTATGTAGATTTCAATGGCTCTCTTTTGTGGTAGATAACATTTTGGATCATGATATTAAAACTTTCTTGTATAGTGATCATATTCATACAAATATTGCCTGTTCAGGGCCAGAAGGGTATTAACTCTGTGTTAAAATCATATGAGTTAACACCCTTCTGGCTCCAAACAGACAAGAAGACTTAATGCTCCTGGTACTCCAATTACCCCACTGAATGTGACTGCACTTGTTATAACATGTATTTCCATGTTCACCTGCTCAACTTGTGAATTATCACTCAATTGGTTGAACATCCCCCTGGCTTTTGTATGACTGCCGCGACAACTCTGAAGTCCCTCCAGGAAACCATTTAAATTCATTTGATTCAATTTCATTAACTACAGAATGAATCTCCACATTCATGGATTTAGAAATCAACAGGTTAATCAGTATAGAGACAAGTTAAAGGATAAGTTCACTCCAATGAGTGGATAGTGAGGCAATAACGTCCCAGACTCATGAGTGAGTTCCCAATTGTCTCGTGATTTGTTTATGTCATCAAAAATAACTTTCTTATTAGTAATTTGATTTCACTCAAAACTTTTTTGATTGGTTTGTATGATTTTTCTGCTTCTATTGAAAGTAAGATTATTTTTGGAGTGGACTTGCCCTTTAATCCTGGAAATTTAAAACTTACTCTTCCTCCCCCTTTGCTCCACCAACAGCTCCTTCTTCTTCACCTCCAACAGCGCCCTCTAGAGCTTCCGATGAGCCAGGTTTATCTTCGTCTTCCTTGGTCTGATCCTCATCCTCATCCTCCTCCTCGTCCTGAGAGGGTATGTCTATCTCAGCGCCCTCTGCGGGTGGGTTCTGTCCAGCTTGGGTGGGGTCCCAGTCTGCTGATGTGGACCCAGCCGAAGGGAACAGGGGTGCGGTCTCTACCCCTTGCTGTATGGATAATGGTATTGATTATCATCCTCATCATCATAACTGGATTCATGAAGGACTTCATATAAATATCATTCTAACACAAGCTAAAGCCACTAGTTCATAAAGTGCTTCCTACCAGCTATCCATCTACTACACCTGGGTGTGGTAGCAAAAGTTGACTTAAAGGGCAATGGCTGGGACAGTCAAATCCTGACCAATTCATCTGTATTCCCTTGCAACATTGCATAACATTATTTTTTCTCTGGCAATGATCTTAACACTGATCTGTACCCAGGAAAAATGGGGGCCTCACTGGAAGCAGATATATGTAGTGAATGTCACTAGCATATGTCCTCACGATTATCATACAGTAAGGAAACTCTCCACTGATTTGACATGGTGCACATCCTATACATATACAGAAGTCAGATGGCCGGGGGTAATGGTAATGGTGACACGATTAGAGAAGTTTGAATTAAAATCTAAATCCAGATTACTATCATTAGCATTATGATTAGATGAAAATGATGTTGTTCTTTGGTTGACATACCTGTTGTCGGAGAGCTGCTAATTTACTTCTGAGCTTCTCTTGATGCAGTTCTCTCAGTCTAGCTCTGGCCATGTGAGCATCTAACTGCTGCTGTAACGACTCCCAGTACCCTAAATAATCAATTATATACACCTCATTATAGCACATAATCTCTACAAAGTACATATTGAATTATATTGAATTGAATTCAATTTGGTTTATTCAAATTACAAGGTAGTAGTCCAGGGAGCAATTGCTCAATGTTTCTAGTGTAAAATATGATCATAAAATATGGTCATTGATAAAAAACAAAAAGCAACCAGGGGACTGACAGCTTTAAGTCCTCTCGGAGGGACTTGGTAATGAGAATTAATGCCTAACCAAAGGGCACTAGCACATCAACTTGGTTTCAAACTGGGGACTCCCAGTTACAAGACCACTGCTCTACCACTGAGCCATCGCGCCTCCCTCATAACTGAACAAAATTAAAGCCTGTCTCCACTAGTTTGGCCAGGGAGGACTAGACTCCTGCAAATTTCATCAAATCAGCTCTCAATTAACATACAAAAAATGGGACCATGGGGGACCAACGGTCACCAATTAGGCATTGTGTGCTACATAGAGGGCGCACAAGTAGCTATAAGTAGTACAGTGGGGCTTTAAGTGAAAACAAATAAAGTGATGTATTTACCGATGTCGACAGCATCGCCGCTCTGTATCCTCTGGACGATCTGAGCCTTGAGGGCTAGGAGCTGGATGTGAGTCTTGTTCTTGAACACAGTGGCTACTTCAGAACTGACCGATGAATTGATGCCTTCTCGTCGGTCAGAAACCTCTGCAAAAAGAAATGTATAGAGATTTGACATGTAATATAAATGCTTGCTTCATAGCGGGACATAAATCATTGTAATCAGAGCAGTACAGACATGAAATATTTTTAAAATTTGAATTGAACACATCAAAACTCGAAAGAAATTTGAATTGATCAAAACCAACTTGATTAGAATATAGGTGTATAAATAAACACAACACACTTGACTACAACACATTTGGAAGGAATGTCAATTCACCACAAACAAATTTGAAATGAATCTAATCAAACTTGAAATACACTCGAAAGAAACACAAATTGAATGAAACAATTAGAAGCAAACTTAAAAGAAAATTGGATTGAATAAGACAAACTTGAAATAACCTTCAATTGAACACAGTAAATTTGAAATTAACACAACAATATTAGAAGAACTTAAAAATTAATGTAACTTAAAGCCCCACTGTACTTATTATAGCAAACAATGCCTAATCGGTGCCTGTTGGTCCCCCATGATCCCCTTTTTCTTATGTTAATTAAGAGCTGATTTGATGAGATAACCACCTGTCAGTGACCTTGCAGGAGGTCTAATCCTCCCTGGCCAAACTAGTGCAGGCGGGCTTTAATTCTTACCCTGTCCTTCGGGAGTAATCTTCTTGAGTTTAGTAAGCTCATCTTCAGCGATGACAGTGATATCTTTCCAGAATTCCACATTCTTCCCCTGCTCCAGCTCCACGTACACCTTGATGTCTTCCATCAGATCTTCCAGGTCAGTCATGGTCAAACCCTGCGGCGAAGACAATGACAAATAATGATGAAAATTGCAAATTACCTGCGACCTGCTACATTCAGTAATAGTTATAATAATTGGGTCTAATTTATCAAAGGTAGCAACATCAGTATTAATACTGCTCTTCCTGCGAGCCCTGCAATCATTATTACCCAGCAATCGCAACATACCCATTTACACCTGGGTGAAGAGAGGCAAATGAAGATTAACGTCTTGCCAAAGGATGTTAGTGTCTGGCTGCCAATCGTCCCTCAACCCTAGGATTGAGAATCAAGATTCATCTGCCTTGAAGGGAACAAGCAAACTTACTAACTGTGATCCTCAGATCTCTTCTCCTGATAGAACTGATTGTATCAGTTTAAAAGTATCAAGATTATAAGCACTTGGCTGCAGCATCCTTTGTTGCGACTTAATTGCTATTAGGTCTACAACATCTTCACATCTTGATGATATTTTACATAAATTTACACGGACTGGGTGACGCAAAAAAATAGTCAGAACAAAGTGTTTTGTGCCAGATCTTCAGTTATCGTTCATAGTCACAAGACCAACTTTTCAGCACAACATCTACGAATTAAAGGTTTTGTTTGACAGCTGCTTGTTTGAGGCTACCATACTATGAAAACACTGTTGAGTACCGGACTAGCAATAATGTCACTCTTTAGAACTGGCACTGTCCTTTGGCAAGACATTGATCTACATTTTCCACACTCAACCCGGGTGAGGTAAATGGGTACCTGGTAGGATTATTTCTTGAAATGCACTGTGCGCAGATAACGGTTGCCGGAGCTAAAGCTAGGGTAATAATTTCCAAAGCTCTTTGGAAGTGCATAGAGATGTTATTTCTTAACATATTATGCGCTATAAAAGAACTCAATATTATTATTATTTGTATCTTTTCCTTTTGAGGCTACCATACCTTGAGAACATTGTAGGGTTCTTGCATCTCTATAGAGATATCTTCATCATCCTCAGCACTGATGTACTGGCCTAAGAGATCAATGGGTTTACCTGCAAGGGATACAACAAAACAACAAATAAAAACAAGAGCTTGACAATTTATTTAAAGAGAAGGTTGAGTTCTGGGAAGAGGTGAAAAATAATTTGTGAGCGTTATCATTCTTATTATGCAAATGTGGAAGAACATCAGATAAGACATGTTCCCTGAAAAAACATGGCTCTTCAAATGCCTTCATATTCTAAATATGTCATGTAACATTGTAAAACTCCAGGGTAGGATTTTTACGCCACGTGTTCGTGTAGTCCCATATACATCTTTCTGTGTACAGTGTTTGTAACTTTACCAAGACTTGGCCAAATTTCTGATCATTTTGATGATTCCAGAACCTTGCAATACACACAAATTCTTATTTGCTAGATGATCAACCTTGATCGGGAAGTGCCTCAAAAAGTAAACAAATGTGAGTGACCGGTTTTACCATCCTCATTTTCCCCCAATAGACTGTAGTGTTATAACAACCGTTAGGAAAACGAATTTTGTAATTTCGATTTCCAATCATAAATATCTTGATAATCAGACAGGCAATCTGCTTACATGGGGTTCCTGACTGACCTAAAGGTTTATAATTATCATTGCAGCATAAGCTAACTCTAGGATTTTGTTTCAAAACCTGAGACAACGTAACCCAATCCCTTTAATGACTGGGTGGACCATAGGGCTTCACAGCATCATATTTTAAATGCACTCAAGATAGTTCCTGTTACTCTGAATACATTTCAAAGACATCTCTTTCTATACCACATAATGTTATCTGATGTATCGCTTTATTGTTTTATCATTTTACCTTATTTTGTACTCTTGATGGATTTATACTGTTATTCTGTTATGATTGTATTCTGTTTTGTATATTTTATTGGAATTTAATAAACTGAATTGAATCGAGTTGAATAATCATATTTTAGTCAACAAAACTATTTCAATGAGAAAGCACACACTACTATATGGGTATATATTTTTGTAAACAGTTAATTATTGCAAATGACAAAGAAGAAAAGAGATTTATCATGAAGATAAACGACAGGTAGTTCAATTACAAGACGCATTCACACATGCATTGCCAGCTCATTTTCACATGTTGTAAATTCCCAGCATCTAAAACATCTCACAAAATTGACAATAATTCAACCTTTGCAAAAAATAACAACTTCATCACTTACCTCTGCCATCTTTGATTCTGACCTTTGACCTCAGTTTAGCTTGATTCAGATGGAACTGGAGGGAGGAAAACATGATTCCACTTGACAATACTTCAATTAGACTCCTCAATATCGAAACTGGATGAGTAGCAATATCTACACCAACTAACTAGTGAAACATAATCTATTGCTATAGCAAATCTTTATGGATAAGAACAAACAAATTTAAAAGACATTCTAATAACTCTGACCTGATTGTGGATTGTATTCTATTGAACATATCTTGTCTTTCACAGACCAGTCAATATCTTTTTCTTGTTTCACAGGATTCAGGTAATGACATGTAAAGTTTAAAATTTCTGAAATATCAGTTTTGCCTGGAGTGCATAAATGGATTTTAAACATTCTGTCTAAAATAGATTTAATTTTCATAGTTCACAATCAAAAAGGGTGTATAGAGCTTGCAGCAACAAGCAGGCGAGAGTTTCACAGGTAAAACAACCTTTATGAATGTGAAACTATGAATATTCAATTTATGGAATTACTACCAATCAGATGAACCTCTTCAGGGATTCTGTCTAAAATAAATAAAAACAAGTGGCTTACTAAGATGATGATTGACTTACACTGTCTTCCTGTCTCTCCCATTCCTTGTAATAGTCTGCTTCTCTTGCTCTCTGTAACTCCTCCTGTTAACAAAAAAAAGAAAAAAAAAGAAGAATTTTAAGGCAAGTTGTACATGTGTCTACCTTTAAAGCCCCGCTGCACTACTTATAGCTACTTGCGCCCTCTATATAGCAAACAATGCCTAAACGGTGCCTGTTGGTCCCCCATGATCCCTTTTTCTTATGTTAATTGAGAGCTGATTTGATGAGATAACTGCCTGTCAGTGACCTTACAGGGAGGTCTAATCCCCCTGGCCAAACTAGTACAGAGGGGGTTTAATAGGTCATGATATTTTTTCCATGTCATTCCATTTACTGTTCCTTTATGAAGAGTTCGTTAAATTATTTCCTCACATGGTCATGATCGTTTGATTGAGTGAAATGAATCATATTCTATCATATACTCTAACTAGGGAAGACTAGAAACCTGATGATATTGAGACAGTTGTAAGTATTTGTTTAAGATCATGCATCTGGTTCACATTTTCATTCTTGTATCTGTAACATTGATAACATTTTACATGTATTCCTTTTGTTTTCCCTTAGGTGAGTTTACAGTCTCAGCATTATGTACTTTATACACAAAATAGATGTATATAATGAATGCAGTTCAGTTCTCTGAATTGTTGCCTCATGATGATCCTCAAAACTACTCAACCATACCACTTTCAATACAAGAGCACAATCAAAACTACTTTATATGAAGCCAATACCTGGGGGTGTTTCACAGAACTTGTCATCGGTGACAAATGACAGTTTTTGTTATAAGCTACTGAAATCCTTGCTTCTGATTGGTCATCAGCTGATTTGTCACTGTTTTTTTTTTATCATTGAAAAAAGGCTTTGTGAAACACCCCCTGCAGATGCAGACAAATGGATAACATCTTACCATTTCCTTGTCTCTCTGTTCTCTCTCCTTTTCTCTTTCTATTCTTCTCTGTTTAACTTTCTGAAGCTCCAGCTGTAAATATGGAAAGAAAACCAAAACGATTAAAAACACAAATATTCATTACAAACCTTTTCAGAGATTGTTGCAAGATATATATATATATATATATATATATATATATATATATATTTCAATTTCAATTTCAATTTCAATTTCAATTTAGTATTTATTGTCCATTTCTGGATATTTGGTTTTCACTGGTGTAACATATACAGGTTAACATTTACTAATGAGTTTACAAAAATGTTGACATTAACAGTAAATAAACAAGGTTTAACATATGATTAGGCACAGATTAACAGAGGATGTTGTTTTATAAACACTAATTCAGGACAATGGTTTACATAGTATGAATACTCCAACTAATAAACTTTAAAAACTGGCTTTAACAAAAAATATTTCAACACTTAAATGTCTGGAATGGTATATAGGACCAATTCATTGCTTTGTGACGATTTTCATTCAACTGAAATTTAATTAAACTGTAATAATATGGTTGGGAGAATTAAGGAATTGATCAGATCAGTTTTTCCCAATTTTTATCATTAATAATGGTCCATTTTCACTCAAACTTAGCACCTTAAAGTTTTATCTAAACAATGTCACCAAGTCCCTTTAACACAATAAGTTTGAAGAGTGCTTCAAATATCTCACCCTGCTCTCAATCTGCTTCTTTTTCACAATCTTCTTCATCTGGTCAGGTTCAACATCCGCGATGCCAAGTTTCTCATTTTTCTACAAAGATAAGACAAAAGAAATCACGCGTCTTACAAAATACACTCATACATGGTATCCGTAGGTAACAAAATTCATGTATCTCTCTAAGCCCCAAGCATGTCAGGTTAATTGTATTAATTTAGCTGATAAATACATGAACAGTTGAATAAATGGTTTCTTGTACATGCACAACCAATTCCAGTAGTCTGCTTCCTAAATTTCGAACTAATATCACCTGAAAATTAATTTAAAATCAAAACAAAAAATAAAGACTTGTAGGAAAAGTAATACTTAAACAAATGATAGGCTTCATACTATATATCCTCAGTACTGCAAATCTTTCAATAAATTTACTTTGTCTTGAAAATTGTCTCAAATTAGTAGCTTACAAAGCATTATTAATTTATCTGTAACATGCATGTAAATGTAATATTTTAAACCAAGAGATGGGGAAAAACAGTTTACACTTTAACTGCTACTACATGTACCAATATTACATTATTTATTGCTCTGCAGTAACATAATGCGAACCAGTCATTCACAGGATTACTATATTAGACCAATTGGATTTACTTCTCATTCATCTTGTCTCATTGATAAATGTAATTCATCAGTGTTACAGAAAAACTGATCGACTAACAAGTAATGATAGCTAAATATTAAACTTACCTTGACCCACACAAATGTATCCAGTAGATTAGGATCTCCAAATGGATTGTCTTCATTGGTATAGCCCTGCAAAAACAAAAAATACAAATATAGTATAATCATACTACTATTCATTTGTTGTGCACACATTGTGTGCGGGCAAGCACTAAATCCAATGACTGGGGTAATAGTATACATGTAAAGCGCTTAGAGACATCGTAGATGTATTAAGCACTATATAAAAGCGGAATATTATATTATTAAGGGAAAGGGAATACCCAACCCCACAGAGTAGCTCCAAAGAGATGATGATGATGATGTGCAGTGTTTCTTATTCAATGCAGTAATAAAGGAGCCGGCATATTGTTTCCATGAAGTGGTCTTTGTAGGTTTGAATGTAGTCTCATGATGACGTGGATCCTAATCAAATGATTGGTTGAGAGCGTACACATGACCAGGCATTTATTTTGCCTAACACGTAATTTTGATAATGACCGGTCATTATCAAATGCTAATGACCGGTCATTAGTAAAATCATGTTATAAAAACATCATTTTTCAAAACAAATAAAACATAATCTTATAAAACAAATAATACATATTATTTTGTTTGGACATTAGTAAAATTACCCACACTCGGTACCTTCTAAACAGTCCAAACACCCTTGGCTATCGCCTCAGGCGTGTTAGACTGTTCTAAAGATACCTTGTGTGGGTAATTCTTACTAATGCCCTCACTGCTGTGTATTATTTGTATACTAATCACTTAGCTTATCAATCTTACCATCATTTCTTCATCCCATCCCATCTGCTCCTTCCTCTTCCGGTCTTTGACCTCTTTCTTGTTCATCCTCCTCACTCTCTTCTCTTCCATCGTCTCCGTTGCTTTAATCATCGACTTCTTCATCCTGATAAGAATAATACAATCAAATATTTGTTACAAGCTTTTCCTTTTTCTTAACAGACAGTCAAACCTGCTATAAAGGCCACCCTAGAGAAACACACAAAATGGCCACCAAAGAAAGGCGGCCGTTCTAGACAGATCCGAATGCACACATTTCTTCCCAGCAGGAGACACTATCAGTGACCACTATAGACAAGTGGCCTTTAAAGACAGGTTGCCCCTAAGACAGGTTAGACTGTACTACATTATTTCTATACATTATACATTTGTATTATACAGCCTTACAGGTTTATCTCCAAAAGTTGTATGGAAATGAAATGGCTATTCTAAAGGGTAAATGCCACCTAAATCCTCTAATTCTCATATCTTTTAGCAATTTTTTTTTTTAAACAATCACTTGCTAAGTGTTTCTTATTACCAGTTTCATGATAAATATCTTGTGTCATTGCTAAGAAACAAACAAGCTAACCAACAGAAGATTGCAAAAGGAATGGTGTATTCAAATTTAAAGCATCTACAATGTACATCTAGTTGGTCTTTTTAAATCTATCACAGCAACTGGAATAACACATACCGGTACCAGTACTCCATTTCAACTTAATGTAAAGTAAAATACTTCAAAGTTTTGTTGTTTTAACCTGTCTAGATGAACACACTATATTCTACCTAATCCCAGACCCTGATCAACACTGTTGATAAGCTCAAATAACTTACGATTGTAACTAATCAATTAAAGATACAGTTTTAAAAATCCTGAAGACATATTTACTTTTCATTGACAGCAGGATTTGGTCTGATATCAGGTTGTCGTATGGGAGACCGAGATCTTGTCCGACTGCGAGATCTTCTCTTTTTGTGCTTATGGCTGTGATGACGATCTCTGTCTTCATATTTTGACTTGCCCCTAGACCTAGACTCGGATCTGGACCTAGACCTGGACCTGTGCTTCTTCTGCTTGTGTCGTCGTCTCTCTGCCTCACTGTCACTGCTCTCTGGCGTCACACTTCTATAAAGAGGAAATTAAAGCCAAATACAGGTACATCTCAGCAAGGAGCTTTAATATTTTGTACAAAGAAGAAAGAACAACACAAGCTTGTATTTCATCGCCTGGCTGGCAGAAGGGCGTTAGCTCGAATTTCAGGTAAAAAATGAAGCGCTAAGCAGAAGGGGGTTAACATTAAACTCAACCTCAAACTTTTATAAAACTGACTTATTTCCCAAAAAAATTATAACATTTCTATTAGTCTTCAAGTTTTAAAACCATTTTTGGGACGAAAATCAGTTTAAATATAAAACAAATTTTGAAATGCGAATAATTTGAAAAGTAGTTTTCGAGACGCTAACGCCCTTCTGCCAGCCGGGCGACGATTTCATTGCAGCAGTATGCATAAGCTCCTACATGTCAAGCTCTAAGGCTGCATACTACAAGTTTGTGCATGTCATTCAGCACATGTATTTTAAAGTCATTCAGTGCAGTGCTATAAGGCAGAGAAACAAATTATAAAACTACTGATGATTGCCAAAGTCATTTTCAGAGCCTACAAATATAGGTCTACATGGATTGTAGAACAAAATATCAGTCTATTTCGTTTGGGATAGGTTCCACCGAGACTACTCCTACAAGGACTGAAGTTTGGCTTGGGACTTTGTTATGTGCTAACCTACAATGCTACAATGCATGGTGCTGATCCGAGAATAAGCATTTTCATCGTAAATGCAGACAGATACAACCGCAAAAATAAGGATCGTCCGTTGGCAATGCGAAAAACGGGTTCCGCAAAGATTTGCTTGATGCATTTTACATCGACTTTGTACAGAGACTTTCACGTTATGAGCAATAAATCCTAGCTCGGAAAGACAGACAACCCATAAAAGTAGACGGTGAACTAGAGTTATATTATTATGCACGCGGTTCGTTCGGGAACCCAAAACCCACAGAGCAACGATGAAAAAACCCCTCTGTAAACAATCCTTATTTTTAGGATGCAATTTGTCTGCGTTTACAAGGATATCCTTGTTGATCCTCATTCTCGAATATCCTCGTTTATCCTCATTCTCGGACCAGCGCCACTACTGATTACACAACAACAAAGACAACCATAAATCGCATGTAGACTCTACACACAACACAAGTCCATACAAACCACATTTAACAGCACATCATTTGGAGCACACGGGACCACAGTAAAACCACCGACGTTGTAACTACGGCTGAAAGGGAAAAAAATAAATTAACATAACCAGTTTCATACCTTTTTCTATGCCGTGAACGGTCTCGTTGTCTTTCTCTTGACCTTGATCTACTTCGTCGTGTTTTCTTGTCACTTTTAGATCTACCCATTTTGAATTTAACTCGGAAAAGCTCCAAACGTGAACGCAACAAATTAGATTATGGTATCTTCGAAGAATGCGAAAGCAAAACATGAAAGAAAATGGGGGGAAACACTGATCAGTACGGATTTTTTTATAATACAAATCATGCAGTGGGGGAAATCGTATTGGGACAATTACACCCTGGACAATTACCCCCGGAAAACTACCCAGCGAAAAACTACCCTCCACGGACCGTATCCCCCGGAAAATTATCCCGAGGACAATTATAGGCCCCACCCCTGAAAATTCGAATAATTACCCCCCCCCCCGGACAACCAAGGAAATAAACCACCCCGAGGACAATTGCCCCACCCCTGAAAAGTATCCCCTAGGAAAATAACCCCCAAGGATAACCAAAGATAACCACCCCCCCCCCCCCCGAGGACAAGTTGCCCCCCCCCCCCCCCGCAAAAAAAAAAAAAAAAACGTGGTTTATTTCTAATTCGATACCAATGACTTACAAATGTTGCTGAAATTACATGATTTTTCGGGATTTGTTCACATTTTTTGGTAAGAAAGCGACAAATTTACAGTCAGGCAAAAAATATGCTTATTTAGAAGCTTACAAGACTCGAGCCCTCCCCCCCCCCCACCCCCACTAGCCTAAAAAAATATATGCTAAAGAGAAATAGAAAAAAAGAAAGAAAGAAATGACTCGACTGAAAACTGAAGTGTCACACATAAGGTATCAAAATATGCTCATCTAACCTAAACGAAATGCCCAGTGGCGTAGACAGGTTCGTACACCTGGGGGGATGACTCAGGGGCGGATCTAGCTTTTTGCTAAGGGGGGGGGGTTGACCAATAATGACGATGCGGAGCATCATCCACGAGCCGCGAAGCGGCGAGCCGATTTTTTTTGGGGGTGTTTATTTGAACCCCGTAAGTGATGTTTTCCTGGCATCTATTAACACAATGGAGACTATAAAAAGCAGTGCATGATAACGTCTTTTTAAATCAAGTAACAGTTAAATACACAGTTATATCCAGAGTTATCATGTGTTTGGTTAAGTTACCAGATGAGTTGAATATCTTCTCACAATATTTGCACTTGAAAGGGTTTCTCTCCAGCGTGCGTTCTTTTTTCTTTCTTTTTTTTTTTTTTTTTTTTTTTTTTCTTCCTTTTTTTGTTGTTTGTTTTTTGGGCCGCCCAAGGGGGGGGGTTAAACCCCCTAACCCCCCCCCCCCCCCGTAGATCCGCGCCTGTTTTATCTTGTGGTTTCTAAACCACAAGATAACCACAAAATACTTGTAAGATATTCTTTTTTTTACCGTCTGAATTGGCTTTCACCGTGTGAATGCGGCTAATAACAATAAACACAATAACAATAATGATGAGGATTATTATTATCATCATCATAATTATTATTATTATTAATATTATAATTGTTATCATTATTATTATTACTATTATTATCATCATTATGACTTATTAAGTAAGCAAATATCATTCCCCAAAACCTGGGGGGATGATTGTACATGCCATCCCCCCCACCTTGTGAGGTGGGGGGGATGCATCCCCCTCATCCCCCCCGTTGTCTACGCCCCTGGAAATGCCTAAAAACCCCGAGCTTGCGGGGACTCCGCCCCCTGGACAACAGCAGGGGCCCTAAAGCGGGCCCCTGGATGCTCATCTGACCGTAATATGCCTAAAACCCCTAAGCTTTCGAGGGCCTTGACCCCCGCCGGGGCTTTACCCTTAGACCCAACGATAGTTTACGTTCCACTCCCTTCGCATGCTACGCTCTTCCTAACTACAAATACTTTAGCCCCCCCCCCCCCCCCCCCCCCCCACTTTGGGTGGTGGTGAGCAACTATTTTTTTTTTTTTTTTGCCCTCGGAAATTTGGAAATCGCGCCGGCCGATAACCCCATTCCTAGTTAAAGTGACACGGATTCCGAATCAATTTGACTCGGATTGTGTGGCATCAGCTGAGAATAGACTCAATTCAGAGTCAAGATGACTCCTTTTCCGTGTCACTTTAACTAGGAATAGAGTTGACTCCCAGCTGACGCCATTTAGAGTGAACTTTGACGCTGTAGAAATAAGAGTGCACCCCCCGCCCCTTGAGCAACTGAAAAAAGGTAAATTTCTGGTCACAATTAACCGTTTTTTTTTGGGGGGGGGGCAAGGGGGCCATGGCCCGGCCCCCCCCCCCTGGATCCGCGTCTGGTTGGACCGACGTCTTTTTGGCCGTTGGGCCAACGATGGCTCGACAGCGACAATTACGTTTAGCTCGTTTGTCAGTGAAAAAATGGCGACAATGACCCAACGTTGACTCGCGGACTGCGACCCTGCCGACCATGGCCGACGGTGACACAACGTCGCATTGTTATCTGGGTACTTTCATGATTGCAATGATAGTTCAAGTTCAAGTTCATTTTATTCAAAACCATACAAAACATGATAAAAAGAAACTGCTTATAGTACATAAAACAACATATTAACTTGATAAGATCATTATAATGAATGGTTTAAGGACCCCTTTAGAAGCTATGATATATAATTGACAGTTCCATGAACTGGGTTTAGTCAAATGCATTTTCCGCCAAATTAGTATGTAGTTTGGTTTCAAATGTGTAGCTCTCTTTATTGTGGATGGTTTGGACCAGGGAAACCCTATATTAGGGATGCTGGAGCATAAAATCTCGGAACTGTTGGAAAGACAAATGTTTACAATCATGTAGTGACGTAAATCGTCCGTGCAACCTTTTCATAAGAGTTTGGACGAAGATAATAATATTGTCTAACGATTTCCAAATTTATATTGTTAGTAAAATACCTGATATAGTTACACGACTCAGACCCGAACAGTGATATTTTGTTATTAACCAACATAAATATTCGTAAATAACGTTTCTTGCTTGGTACATTAAACTTTGTCCTTTATTCGTATTCGACCTTTATTCCGAATCAGATAAAGTTTATCACATCAGTATCATCACAATAGGCTTATCACCTTGGTCACGTGATGAGCTTATATAGGCTGGACGTATTAGGTAAATTAGTGTTGATTTAGTTATCTAACGAGCCAGCTTTGTATTAAACCTGCAAAAATTAATCATTAAAATTGAAGCGCGACATGCAGACATAATTATTATAGTGATGGGAAAATCAAGTCCGATCCATAGTATAGTAAGGATGTAATTAAATAGGCTTATTTCATATTTAGAGGTGATGCCACGGAATGGATGTTCGAAGTTTGGTGATGATCGCCTTGACCAACGTCCCAGAATTCAGATTTAACCATCGAGTAGACGTGTCGAAGCCAGAGGAAAACCACTGACAAGCTAAATCATTGCCATTCTCATCCAAGTCAACAAAGTAGTGATTTTGAGTGATTGACCGAAATCATCGAGTATAACCTCAAAATGACGATCACCAGGCAACTTGCATCACTTCTGGTTGGACTTCTCTTCATCTTCCTCGGTCTTCTCAAGGTCGCTCCAGTAGAGCTCGATTACGGGTTCAGTCACGAGGAGTTTAAAGCCATCTTCAACACCTACTTCGACGTCTTGCCCATCAAGAGTTTATTCACGATCACGATGACGCCCGATATCTACATGTCTGCGGTTGGATTTATCGAAGTCGTCTGCGGGACGATGTTAGCGTTTGGTCGCCCATCATGGCAGAGGGTTGGAGTGTTCTATCTTTTGTTCATCGTGGTTGGAGCCTACATCGCCCAGCAGCAGGTCGCGGGTTCGAATCTCTACATGAATATTTCTACATTCGCTCTCGGCATCGTGCTGGCGTTTATGTTGATTCGTAAAGATGACGATTAACCAGAAAGCGCAGGAAAAACATAGCGAATATTTATTTTTTTTTAAATTTATTTTTCACATATGGGAAGGATCACCCTTTTCAGCTAAAAGCTGGTCTTCAAAGGGGTTAGCCAACTGGTTAGCCAAAACTGAGGAAGCATGATAAAATAAAAGAAACGCATTATAGGCTACTGACAACCTCATATAATGTTGCTAATAATAAAAACGTTGAACTTCCAAATAAGTGTGAGAGAAAATAGAAATTTAAAAGATCTTATCTTTATGAAGCAGTATTGTATGGTCCAGTGTCGCGGATTACCAACTTTCAAATTTCAGGTTAAAATCATATAGGGCCTAATACACTGCAGTTTACATTGCACCCCTATAATTATGAGAGAGAATAGCAATCTGGTTAGATAAGAGATATTTTAGCGTAAAATATTGTCATTTGTACAGCCCTGTATGCGAATGGTGCACAAAGAATGCTCCAAATTGAGAGGTGAGGGTGCACACAATGTTGGCACAATAAATTATCATAGACCGACCACCAACTGCAAATTGTCAAGTACAGTGCTAAAAACTTATGTTGCCTGTTCAATATTTCCCTGACGTAATCTTGTTAATGATATTCTCGAGACTCTGTTGAAGGATGTTTATACTTAGGATTCATTTTTATACATCCTGCGTGATCATTTTTATACCTTTTACGGTCACTTCCAGACAAAATGTTATTGCTATATTTTCAAGATTGGTTAAAAACAGTTTATATTTCAGATTTTTTTTATTTTCCTGTTTTGCTTTTTTGCTATATCTAATAATATATTGACCTGTTGGCCACAACTTGAAGTCATACTCTCCGACATTGACAATTGCTTGATGTTGTACTTTATTCTTCCTCTAAAAACTGGACAAGATTGGTTGTTCGTCACCGATCGCTATACAGAAAGAAGAAAAAATCGTATAGATGACTGTCGTTTATCCGTTTAGCGCCCTCATGCATGGGAGCTAGTGTTAGTATAGAGATCGAAGTGACGTCTTTGCGATTATTTTTGTTATATTTTGTTTTATTTAACACCAGTGTAGCCTATGCTTTGAAGGAATCATACTGATCTAAATATATTAGAACGATCTAAATGCACTTGAATGATGTAATCAATTTTTGTTATTCACTTTGGCGGCCCTATGGTCGCACCTATTTTCTTACGGTGAAAACAATATAATATTTTATTGAACTTTTATTAGAGCTTGAATTGCATTTTGATGACTAA